TTTTTTTTTTTTTTTTTTTTTTTTTTTTTTTTTTTTTTCCTATCATGCACAGGTCCAACTGTTATCACTCACGAGGGACCACTCATCTCGAGCGCTGCCATTATCGGCATAGTCATCGCTATCCTATTCATCCTGATAGTCATCATCGACGTGATCTGCTGCTGCACCCATAAGACTGGTGAGAGTTCTTAAGCTTTGCATTACGACCGATAATAAATATCACGTCCTCTGGCACCCTTATAACGTACTCCATTCGGTGCCATCGTCCGGAAGGCGCCATGGGTGGGTTTATTATAACGATCCTCACGGACGAACCCGCGATATCCGGTTATCGAAGCTCCTACCTGGGGGGATATTATTCATCGATCTTGTTCAGCCGTGCTTTAAAGGCCTTGAACAACGTTGAACCCTACGTGATTCCTTACTACGGTAACTACGTGGGCATTAGGCTTTACGCAATTCTCTCGCACCACTTCTGGCTTTATAAATAATTATTTCTCACGGATCGTCAACGTTTGCTCTCGGCTAAACGCACTGACATTGTCGAGCGGCTCGCGGTACTCTTGAAAAATGTTATTTCGCACGTGTCGCTTTTAGACCGTACAACAGTCGTTAACGTTAATTGATACTAAGTGCCATGGACGAGTAGGTTTATTATCTGGTGAAAAGTAATACCGATGACCTTCAAAGTGGGGGTTGTGGTTATTTTTAACACATTTTTTTTTTTTTTCATCAGGTATCATATTTTACGTCTGCGAACGTTCCAGAAGGAAACCGGTCGACGAGGAAGACGCCAAGCTGGGAAGGTTGGTATCTGTTTTGGAGGAACTTTCATGATATTCTCTATATTACACATATAGTATAGCGAACATTGTGAAAAATTACTGCAGTCATCGTATATAAATATACTGGGTCTTATATATCTTCTTAGTAAGTCGAAAAATCTCTATATTGTGCTTTGGCAAGTCTGGCGCTATAATGATCATGTCATTTAAAAATTCATTCACTTGGACGGGATGACTTTTTCTTTAATATTAATTTCGTACCTCATTCAAGGCCATATCATAGTGATCCGGGGTAAGGGGGGGGGGGGTATACACCAAATAAAAATGATAGAAAATAATGCTAAAGAGTGTATAAAGGTAACTGTAAAGAGTAGTACGTATCTTGTGTGATATATTTAGAATAGTCATTATATAATGTGAATTTAGAATCATTAGTGGAAAAATAATAATTCAGCCCACGTATCGTGGTCTTATTCGATTATCAGAATTCTTTCATACTCTCGTATTCTCTTCTTTTTTTTGTTCTTTCTTTACCGATAGTCTTTACGGTTGGCGATTTCCGTTGCCGTATTGCGACCAAAAAATGGCCAATGTCGCCGGGGTAACGGCCATCCAAGACTCGGGTAGTGGAAAAAATACCATTAGATTGGTCAAACATACCGCCATGTAAGAGAAATACGAAACCACCATCAGTAAGAGAAAAGCATGGCTCCGTCCGAAAGGACTCTTTTTTTTTTTTTTATTTTTTTTTAACAAACAAAAGCTATTTGGCATGATCCCCTTTTATCACGTTCCATTCCTACCTTGAACTACCGTCTGATCTCCTGTACTCGGCGTACCTCATCCAATGTTATTCTTACTTAAATAGCTTTACAACCACGTTATTCTCCAATTAACCCGAAGCCCTACGAAAAGGAATTATCAAAGAGAAATCCGCGACGGAGACTTTGCATGGTGATCAATTGATTCGTGTTTATATGCCTTTTGTGTAATATGGGATTACAGCCAGTCTGAAGATTTATATTCTTATATTTTATAATATGGATTTCACGATTCATCCTACATTCTTTGATTACATAGGGCTTGTGCTTTGGCCATGCTGCATGCTCGTGTGTGCACCTCTTGTTAGTGGCGAGATACCAATCTTATTGTAGCACTGATAACAGAGACTAGTTTAACTAACAGTAGACGATAACTTGATATTCTTTTTAATACGTGAGAGTTTATTGAATCGTAACCTGTGCTACTTTAATTAATATATATAGTTTATTAGATTACTGTTATTGATCTTTAATAGACTATATATATATATATGTATTGCATTAATATACCCAAATAATATTTTACTTAGTGACCAAGAAGTTATCGTCTTTAGGTATAGAATTTCTATGGCATGCCTGAGTCGTCGATGTTGCACAGATTTCTCATTTCGTCATCATATTGATAAGTATCATGTTTTTTGTAATGAAAAAAAGGAAAAAGATAAGAGAATGAAAAGAAAAAGGGGTCGGTGCGTGCGGAGGGTTTATTAAAAAAAAAAAAAATGAATATTTTCAGAGAAGAGAAGGAGCCGCTCAAGGAAGAGAAGAAGATAACGCCGATAATCGACTCTGGATTGCGTCGGGAGACGTCCATCACCTTCGACGGCAAGAGGTCCGTCTCCAAGACCGGCTTCGTTGGCAAGGACTCGGCCGTCTAGATATTCTTCCGGCGTACTAGATTATAAATTGGCAAGGGCCGCCATCGAGGATGGAGCAAGAGTAAATCATCCACTGGCGAATAGGTACCCGTCGGCTTCTTAAGGACAATCCGAAGCAGAATAATTCGGCCAATCGTTGCACGAGGCAAGATCACGTGGCGGCGCAGCCTTGCGAGGTGAAATTTTGAAAAAAATTATGTCACGAAGAAGTAAAAGGAAACGAGGAGCAGCAACACACAGACACACTGACGCAAGGACAAAAAGAGGATATCAGGAAGCAGTTACGTAACACTTGTACTCGCTTTCGGCACGCGAGCGGAAGCGTACTTTTGGCAGAATCGAGAGATCAAGGTTTATTGGTCGGTGGGAGAGAATTCGCTGAGAAAAGATAATATTGGTAATAGATTAAAAACTTTAAGGGAACGAAGAGTCGATGAAGATGAGAAAGTGGAAAAAAACAAATTCGAATCACAATTATCTGTAGTTGTCACATTTTTAGAGCATATTATGTAACGTGTCCTTGACACTTTTTCTAGTTGACAATAGTCGGTCCGCTTTTATCTGTCCTCCATTTTCTCTTCCGTGATGCGCGGGAGATATGAACTGTACAAAATTTAGCGCTCATATGGATTGACATGAATGATAAATGAAAAATACGTAGAGGTGTGTTTGTCCTATCCGGGTTATCGGTAGCTAGTGTTTGATAACGCTTCGAGATTGAGGTCACCGTTTAGATTATTACGGTCTGGTACGCTGGGTTATGGATATGTCTTTTGGCGCATTTAATTACGAATGCGATTGCCACGTGTTCGTGGGAAAAAAAAAAAAAAAAACGAATGCACAAGATAATTTTGATGTTTTGTGTTTATCTTTCTTTTTTTTTTTCTTCGAATTTCGGTGTTTACTTAATATTCAAAATTAACGTCTTGCTGCTTAAGGGGCGAGACGATCGTCTACTTAATCGCAATTTTGTAATGTCATTATTGCGACAGCCTGTATATAGTTTTGCAAATTTTCTTCATTCTGGGACGATCTTTTATTCGGTCCAGATACGTCAGACAATGCACATCTTTATATTCGCACGGTAGTGCGAATATTTTTATTATGACAAACTTTCATGCCATTTTGTTTTGTAGTTCCAGTTAATCGATTGTTTTCTTTAGTTACGTCATTTCTTTGTAAGACTGATTCCTTTAAGCAAAACTTATTAATCTTATTACTCTATACCGGTTATCTGTAGCGAGGGGTTGTTCTTACTCATAAAATATTTTTATTTTAATAATTTTGTGTATTACTTCACTTACCAATTTTGCTTTTTCACTTTGATACTGTTTTGCGAGCTTTTCTCGCAGGATTAAGTCTTCGTGTCCTGTGATGTTTGCGCTTTTTCAACGGTGAAAATTATACCGGGATAACTTCACGTCTGTTTATTTTATTTTTAACTGTTAATTGTAATTTTCGCAATTACCGAGCCACACGTTGCTCACAAAGGAATCCTTTACGATTGTATATTTATGTTCTGGTCGCAGAAAGATACACCGCAAGTAGCTCTTACGAAATGTATTTTTTAATTTGACATTGTGTATATTGTGAAGTTTATCACTGAGGTGTACCGACCTTGAGAACGATGGTCGACAAATGCAATTGTCGCGTTAAACGTATTCAAAAGAATTGCCATTATTCCGATATAAGATAACTCAACAATTTTTTAATATTACGACTACTGTGTATACCACTTTTGGATAAAGATTTTAGGACTTACGGATCGAATTGTTCTCATTGTCGTCACCTGAATCTTGATCATGAAGAAACTACGTTCCCAATGACGCTCAATAATCTATAGAAAAAGGACATTGATTCTGACCAGTTTGTACCAAAAAAAATCATCAAGTAACAAATGGAAGTCTATGCGTCAACTGTAATGTGGCTGGGATCATTGTTTCTTCTGACCATGATCTTATCTTTGACATGAAAAAAAAAAATCTCTTTAGATATATACAAATATATGTATAGTGTAATCGGAAAACAGTGGCATTTTTGATATCATATTACTTTGGGATGATTAATAATTACTTAATTGTTTGACTATATAATATATATGGTCATCGGATAACAAGATCTTGGGAACCCAGGATAAAATTTTATTGAAAATCATTCAACATGTGAATACACAAAAGTATGTGTCCACCCGTATCCGTATTTAATGATTTTTTCGATGCGTCATTATCATGCCAGAAGGTGCGATGAGATGCAGCAAAGTAAAGAATACGGTCATGATTTATTTACAATGATATCAAACAATGCCATCCTCTCTACGCTAGAATGGTAAGAGGGCTTTTTGCAAAAACGCAGTTGAAAATGTGATAAGTTTTTGTAAATGCTTGTAAACGTTTTCTCTAACTTTAAGAAACATTGAAATTAAGCTTAGGAGAATCCCAGTAGATAATATAACGGCGTCGTACGTGGAGCGAGGAAAACGCGTTCGTGCGAAAAACTCGCGTTTGATCCATTTCTTTCATTGTTTCCGTGAAAAGAAGAAAGAAAATTGCTCGTGCGTATTTCACAAGAGTGTTTGCGGAAACGATGAAGGAAATTGTGAAGGCCGCTTTTTTGCGGTCGCGAACGCGATTTTCTACGCAGGTAGCTTTTTTACGTAATGTGACAAGTTTTTGCCAAATATAGTACTTATTAGCATATAAGTCGGAATTACGTTAATTATGGGAATTATTGTCGCGTGAAGGGTGATGATGAACAATAGCTTGTCAAGTTGACGGTTAATGTTGTCTCTTCGTTGTACCAGCCAGTATTGTCGGAGAGAGCGAGAAAAAATGTGAGGAAAGTAAGAGGATATATAGAATGTAGGAGATCAGCGCAAGACCGATGCAGCTATTTTATATCTGTTGCCAAAATCAAACCCAAGTAGCTTCCCAAATGAAAAAAAGTATTATCGCGCATCTTCCAGTTTCAAGAACAATTTATGACTAATAATATTATATAAAAGTTTTTAGGTATAAGGCATATTTTTTATGTATGCTTTTTCTGTACGCGAGGGAAAAAAAGGACATCAATAAAGAGAAAAACATTTTCAAAACCAAATGCACGTGTTGCATATGGTATATGCTTCTATTCGTGTTTTATAATTATACTTTTTTTATTTAACAAATAAATAAACGGGTGTACTTTGTAAACGAAAATTCCAGCAAGGATGGAAGGTAAACTGCTAAGGTGTCTAAATCTTTCTTTTAGTTTTTACAGAGAATGGTCGTTTTAAGGATTGTAACGGCTGTGAGAATTTACTTTATTAGAATAACAATTTCAATTCATTGCCCCTTACTTAACTTAACAATACATAAAAATACTATTAGACTTCTATACCAGCATTTGACGGTTTTCCTTTTTTAATCAGAAGCTGCTCATCATTTAGTTTTGGAGGTTCGGTACGTGTATGCCATACGTACACCTGTTAAGAAAATAAATAAACTGTGAATATATAAAAAGAAATATAATAATCTAATAAAAATATTTAATTACCTTTGTACAAAAATCAGCTAAAGGTTCTAGATGTTCAATTCCTGGAATCATTTGCCTTAATATTTCACTTTCCTGATAACCACTTTGAACTGTAAATGAAAACCAGGCATTCTTATGCTCAAGAATAAGCCTCAAATTTACAGCAAATCCTGCCATATCCAATGGAAAAGGTCTATCTGGTTTCCACACAGAATTAAAACCCACTACCTTCCTCGTAACATTATCACAAATAGGTTTTTCAACCATTAAGCCACCGACAAGGCCAACAGGCCAAACACCAACTGTTTTAATTTTCTCCATCTACAAAATATCATTTTAAAAATGCATCAATATGGTTGTTTAAAAAAAAACTAAGTAATCACTATCATCGCACGATGAATATTAGCACCTTTAGTTAACGGCACATCTTATTACCTCTCTAAACAATTTAATGGAATAAGTATTATCGTCATCAGCAAAAAAAACTATTCCGTTGTCATCCTGAGTCAAGCTTTCCCTTATCCACCTAAGAGCTGCATTCCGTTGTTCGACTCCACGCGGTTTTTTCCAATTAGGATCATTCTTGCCTAATTTATAATTCGGAGGTGTGGACACATTCAAATGCGTGTACGCTAATCTGCTCTGCGCCAAAAAATTCGTCACCAAATCCGTTTTCTTTACAGAATCCTCTACAACAATCCAGTGGAAATTAAAAATGTGTAAAAACGTCTGTGCCAAACGTGTCAACTCTGCCTTTTGAACGGGTCTGGCGAACGTTGGCGTTATTGCATATATAGTAGGTCGTGATTTAATATCTGCAATTTTCCCTTCAAGCTCATTTATTCTCGAAATTTTTGTTTGCACATCGCTCAGCTCGGATATATAGTTATTCCATTTTTCTTGGAATGCCTGCCATTTGTGATACTCTTGATAGACTGCAAAAAAAATACAAAATATTCAAGTATTATTTCAAACTTATGCGGCTTTAGAAACGTAACTGAGCACTGAGCAATGCTATTGCGCAAATGGACTCGGACGGCGTATTCACATAGACACCGCAATCTTATGTCAAAACAACTGGTACTATTTACAAGATGATAAAATAACTCACAGATTAACCATTGGGTTAGAATGACGCTTATGAGGAATAGCACCACATTGCTTTTGCTACAGCAGAATCTACTCCACATTTTCTTCTTTGGATTCGACTCCTCCACAAAGAAAATGCTTTCTGTCATCGCGGTCACGCCATGACACTGTTCTGCGGTGCCGACCATGCCGACTGTATGTACCTTGTCATGAACAGGCTCAAATATGAAAGTTCACAGACATGGGATCAATGCCATCATGGAGACTAGAGTAGAGGAGTCCCATCTATGTACATAAGGAATGACACCTAAAAGCTGTTAAAATTGAGGTTGCCCGAAACGACACTTGCGACGCTGACTCCGCTAGAGAACCCGTCGATGGTGGGGAGAGTACCGGGCGAAAAGATATACATATATATATATTTATTATAAAAAGAGGACGGGGTCGAATGACACATTTTTAGGCTAACTTTTGGACCATTTTTGGAATAACTTTTCTTTTTATTTGAATGAATAAAACATTTGTATAATTTTGGCCTTTATTTATAAGTTGTGCATAAACAGCGGACTGGCGTCAATGATACCAGAACGAAAAACGAAGGATCCTGAGTTATTGAGAAACACGAACAAATTGTGAATCCAGATACTTTTGAATTTGCAAGAAAAAAAATAATATAATTGCATATTACATAAATTTCTCTACTCTTCTCTACTCTAGGCTCCATGGTTGGAACGGAATTTTCCAAACTGATATGCATAAAATGTCTCTAAATGTACTCTAGTCTCCATGAATGCCATGATAAAAATTCTAAGAAAAAAATAAAGATCATGAGGATTCCGCTGAACTCCTATGAATTACAGTAACCGAAGATGGTGTCAGGATAATAAAAAGTTTGCCTTTGATTTTCTGTACCAAACTGTTACGTTAGGAAACTTCTTTTTAAAGAATAACGGGACAACAGCATAAATACAAGTGGTACAAGTTTAAATGTTTATTATAAACCAAAGCTTACATATTATTAGATCATTAAATAACAATATCTCACCTGAGAGCCAGAATACCTAAATTACCACTTTCATAAACGGCTTTGAATTACAGCTGCTACGGCTGATTAACATTCGTGCGCAGTTTTATAATTTCCCGAGGAATATCGAGGGATAATTTAAAAAAAAAAACATACTTTACACACATAACCTGGCGATTTATCAGAATGATGGCTCTCTGTATATAAAATAGTTCAAAATTCTATTTTCTTCACGATAATCATGCACATTCGGATGCACGTTGCACTTTGCAACAGTCTAAAAATTCATATAAACAAAGATGAATCTTATAAAACGACTAATAAAATTGTCATCTAGAAAATCATCATATCATTATAGTGTATTTCTAAATCACGTGAAAAGAAAGCCCGATAGATCACGGTATCAGTGTTAAAAAATGAATGATACACGATTTACGCAATATGTATTGGCAACAAAATTGGTTTTTATCTTTAAAGAATACTTATAAATGAACTGAACTCAAAATTTTTCTTTTTTGCAGAATGCACGAATGCATCGCATTAAAAAATTATGTATCTAACCCTTAATCTCAGTAGAATTATTCGATTCCGTGTCTCAATACGGCAACAGTAATACTGCTATATCAAATAGAGTTACGTTTGAGACGTGATAAAGATACTTGCATACAAAATGTGACTCCCTTCAATATAGTCTTATCACTAGCCTAACACTCCTGATAGATACAAACACAAAGGACATGATTTCGTTGATACTGGGTTAATAATTTCTATGGCGCGAGTGAACAAAAACTATTTTCTAAAAACAATTGTCATTCGAAAAGCCGTTAAGAGTACGAATCCAGTCTGTCCTATACTTTTTGTAGGAGTAACAACAATCGTATAATGACTTTAGGCCTTTAAGCTCTCAGGCGCATACGCGGTATTGTAAATGCATAAACTCAAAAGGATGAGGATGAGAATGGGCTGAGGATATTAGCGAGCACGCTAGAAATCAAAAATAAAAAAAAAATAAAAGGAATAATGAGATAGAAAACGAACGGAGGACTGTTATGTGTAAGCCCATGTTAAACAATTCCACATTTTGTCGTTTAATATCTCCCTATTTCATATAAAATATGAATTTCGCCGCTCGATCGAGACTCTTAACGTCATAAGGAATTGCACAGGTTAAATCAAATGCAACCTTTCGCTGGTTAATATCCTAATAACATGGCGTACAACTATAACTATGCACCGTCGTATATTAAGAGATTGATACTTTAAATAATACACAATTCCAGGTAGCCATTGAGTGAAGTACGAAAGATCCTGACAATTAGGATATTAAAACTAAGCCAATACGTATTGCTAAACCGATCAACTAAGGCATCCTGTATTACAATTACTTACACAGCGCAACCATCATTAGAGTATTACTGTGCAATAGTAATCATTACATATAGTATCAAGATCTTACGGTCTTGGCTCTTCATGCTCACCAAGGAATCATAGCGGTAAGAATAGCTGCCAAATAAATAATAATCGTTAAGATTACAACTTAATAAATGTACATCAACGCACGGCCAGTCTCGAAGTAACCTCAAAACTTTCACCACTTCCATTTTACGCCTGTATCAATATTTGCACGAGCTTCTACAACATCCAATTGCAACCAATCTAACTGGTCTCAGAGTTTTCTCCTTTGTTGAGTTATAACATCAGACTCACAATAGTAATCGTATACTCAAGAGCCTAAATGACAGATCGAACAAAGCTGTTCCTCTAAAATCACTACGTAGGACAAATAATAGTCTTGAATGTTTTGTCATGATACGTATAAATAAATTACAATGTTTCATCTTGGACAAACTTGATCCACAATGCATAGATATGCCCATTGAATATAGATATTGTAGCCAAAAAAAAAATGTCTTATGGGGCCAGGCTTTTGGTAGAAATTTGTTGAACTTCATTAAAAATAAAATATTCTAGTTAACCACCATTGTAAATTAAATTCAAATAGTTCACATGCATTCAATACTTTATCGCAACTCATCAATTCTCCCACATTGACCACTGGGCGAATTTTATACGAAGCTGTTGGATGAGCGGACTTTCATTAAAATCGTTGCACCCCGATGACTTAATACTCAAATCGCTAATACCGACTCAATAAGTACGATATTGAATCGCCTGCCACTGTTTAAGACCAATAGAATTCACTCAGGAAATTTCTTAACTGTTTAAATCTCGCGCGTACAACACGTGCAACGTATTAAACGGTTTTGCTTGGCGTACGGTTAAATAAGCAACAGTGATGAAAATTAGCCATGCAGCAACCGTATAGGACACGGACTTCTTTTCGAGGTTTTTTTTCCTCGAGAAATACTCATTGAAGAGCTATAAAAAATGTCGAAGAGACCGGCCGATCGAAAACGAGCCACGTATTCTCGCGTCTCGTTAAAAGCAGCTGGAATGTGCCGTGTAATTGTAAATAATGCAGACATTTTCTTGTATTCTTAATCGGACGTCGCTCAATGTTTTTAGGGAAACATTGTAGAGTCCTCTTCCTTCCTTCTCACATATGCCATTAGCCTCTTCATCAATCTTCCTTCCTGCCTCCTTCTCCAAGCGTTATACAATCCTTTATCCATCATCTTCTTTACTGAGCACGAACCGAGTGCTTTCTATCCTGAAACAGAAGAAAGTCACGTCTTCTACCAGGGATCGTTAAAAAAAAATAAAAATAAAAAAATAAAAATCAAAGTGTTTGTGATTCTCTTCCATAAACGTAACAAGTAATACATGTCAGAGCATTGGCGTATAAAATTAAAAATGACAGAAACGAAGAGAATCAAAGACACCAGGAACACGTTGAATCCGTGGACTGCATTTCTAGTATGAAAAAAAAAATATATCAATACTCGAAACAAATCCAACTTGAATAAATAACTTCAATAAGTATCATAAACAAGCCAAACCAGGACAACCACATTCCTGTGACTTGATGACTGAATGATACTTTCAAAAGGATCCTATATACCAACAAAGTATATAAATCTTTTGAAAGAAGCAAACAATCACGTCGCAGGACAAAAACTAGAATTATTCTTGTATCTCTACAGAAGTTATACTAACCAGACAAACAAAAACAAAAAAAGACAATCTTATGCTTGGCCAATGAGAGATTGTAAAAACGTTGACAAGAAAATCTCAGAGATACACGAATATACGGATGATACAACAGGAGTAGACCCTATTCCTACACGTATTACAATTAATATCATCTAATGTGCATTAGGCATTCAAGATGGAGAAACTTAAACGGGTGTAAAAGTCTACGTTGTTACGCACCTGTCGAATCCCATGAGTCATTCGCAGCTCGTGTCCAGGTGAATCGCGTTCCATGGCCATCCCGTACCTAAGCCCGGGCCCGCAGTACTCAAATCAAAGCGAAACAAAAAAGAAACGACAACGCAGATATCCAAGAAAGAAAGAACAAGAAAAAAAATGGGTCCAACAACAATGTTAACAGAGACATACGTGCGAAGGTAGAAAAATCAAAAGTAATATAAATGCTCTCTCAATTCTAAAGGAACGTCACTTTGTTTTCTTTTACAAAGACCTCGTAGCTCTCTCCTTACAAATTGCAACAATACGCGCGAACAAGTAACAATTAAGTTGAACGAAGCTTGGTTTGTTTGTAAAATAATTTATTATCTTTATATTTATTAAAGTATCAAGGCACTACCCTCCATTATTCATCATCGTTAGACTACGTCCAACGGATCAGCCAACAGTGAATCATTGGAAGCAGTAGATTATAAAACTTAGCGACACGACCTACCTAGCGATACGTTATTAAAATATTTATCATTACTCATATTAAAAGACGTAATTACACTATCTAGTAAAGTACAATACAAGGTGCCTCGAATGGAAGCGATACAGGAATTCAATCTGTCTACCACACAGTGCCTATCACGTACTGCTGAGATCCTTCGTAACTCGTGGGTCTCCCAATTATTTAACGTCCTCAAAGCATCCGTTTAACAAAATCATTAAAACGAAAGCATACAAAACGTTCTTGTGTCAAGTATCTATAATCACTTGTATATACGCATTGCTCTCCTGCAGTGTTTACAAAGTTTTATGGTTTTCGACTAAATTCGAGACACCCTATACGAGAATATTTGGACTCGAACGCGAACGTTGTGAACACGAAGTTGAAAAAGATTTTTTTTTATGACAAATTCATTCGTTTAAAATCACATTTTCCATATATCTCTATGTACCTACAATTTTCGACCGTTAACTGGGTGTTCTTAAAGCGATTTAATAAACGCGAGGAGACTTTTACGACTTCGTAAAAAGTATTATGCGAAACGCGTGTATAAATCTTCGGAAAGACATTATTCCGTCTGCTACAACTTTTGCGAATACATTGACAAATCCTTGAGCGTCGGTTTCCTTTTTTAACATTAAAATCGCATTTGCGCATCTATACTAATCCTATATAGTTATGCAAAGCAAAGTAGTATACATTGTTAATTAATAATTATCTCTTCAGAACGAAACGAAGCACAGTGTGAACTCGAAGGTATGTCTTGTACCAACGCGAGAAAGATAAACTATCCTCAAATACGTACTAAGACCGTAAATGCATCTCGATCATCTAGAATAAAGCGTGAAACGCGTCGTGGTGCAAAGACAAATGAATTTCTAAAGTAATCGAGAGCCTCGAAGTAAATTTTTCGTCTGACAAGGCTGCATAATCTTTTTTAATTATCAAACGGAAGCACCTATTTTCTTCGATGGAAGCTACTTTGGTAAATGCGCGGGAAATACAAATTTCTCATATTACTCTTTCTTTTTCTGTCTCCGATTATAAGTAATTTGTCAATTTCCTTTGTGGAATATACTGTCAATATAAAAGTAGTTTGTATTAAAAGAAAAAAAGAAAAATAAAACATACCGGAAGCAATCTTTCCCTATAAAATGAATATATCGACTAAAGTCGCGCGACAATTCGATGCTCTCTGTGAAAAACCAAGACGAAATCGGCAATCAGGACTGTGTCAAACAGCCGATGATCACCGGATACCCGCGTCTACGTAGCACAAAGTATTTCACGTCGGGATTTATACTCAATAATAAGAGAGAGAAGGCATTCTGCACAAAATTTACGTGGTGATCGCCGCGATTTATGCAACTGGCAATAAAACTTTAACAGGCACCTAGAACAGTGCTGCTGAAAACCTCGCTGTTCCACACTACTAAACCGCTTAATCCTAGAAAAACGAAGAATACGGATTCGCAGCGTTGCATACACCATGTATAAAAAGAAAACAAGAGACAGAAACTATGTAGTGAAATTCCCCCTACTAACGCCCGACGAACGTCATACAAACGACCAGGCAATGCAACCAGCAAGACACGTCATCCTACGTGGAGGAGTTGATACCGAAAACGTGAAAGATCTTGTGTTTAAAACCGGGTTTGTTAGGACTAGCGTCGTTGTGGCCAGACTGTCCTTCGTGGAGTGCCCTCTGTACCAGCGGCAGGGAGCTCTGTGATTGAGTGTCGAGAGGTCGCCGAATCGTCAGATCGGGCCGGACAACGAAAAAAGAACAAAAAGAAAAGAAGAAAAAAGGATAGTAGACGACTAATGGTGTAACTACTGCATGCGGTGCGACTAACGTCTTAAGGTTCTCTTAAGGATGGACTCACCTCCTCCTGTTGCTCGTGCTCGCTGTTCGCCAGGCTAGATCTTGAACCACGCCTGGTTGTACCCTTCTCGTCTCCTAGGATCTGCGCTACCTTTGCCTGCTTCACCAGGTCCAGGGCCTGTACAAAATATACGTGGGTTACTTTAAGAGTAATACTGTGAAGGTGGAAATTATTTTTCCTTTTCTTTTTTTTGAGAGAACCATTTTTTTGTAATTTCGAAATTGTAATGGACAAGGGTAATTGTCACAATTCACATGTCCTAAACTACTTACCTGCTGTATATGCTGCTTGTAAAGGAGAAAAAAAAAAGGACTGTCATTAAATGTGCAGACGCGAACGTGATTATGATACGAGACACTGAGTGTTACCAATGTACTTCGTGATAATGCTATACTGAAACGTTGTAAGAATTACCTCTTTTCGTGACCTCAGGGCGCAATCTTCAAGTGTCTCCGCAGCCTCGTATTTCCCTTGCCGTCTGTAGAGAGCGCCAAGATTTTTCAATGTCGTAGTTACGGTAGGAGAATCGACTTTTGCAGCTTTGTGCCATCCGCCATATTCGCCGTATGGGGCATTCTCCTTGTTCCTGTGCTTGTTTGCTTCCCGCTCCTCTGCTACCTGTAAGCAATTGAACGATTGATCGTGACAATTCGACTTTGAAGAGTCGTATATTCAATTAATTATTTTATTGTTAAATCAATCCTTGCCTGCCAGATGGGTTTGTTATCACCGTCAATAGCACCGAACTCTTTCTCGTGAGCCCTAGTCAAGACTTGCTTGTAGAGTACTTCGGCGGCTTTGTATTTGCCCTGCTTGAGGTAGCAGGAAGCAAGGTTATTTTTCGTCTTAGCGACGTTTGAGTCGTCAGGTCCAAGCTTGGCCTCGTAGATCTCCAGAGCACGCTGGTAATAACGTTCGACTTCCTCGTATTTACCTTGGTTCTGGCAGAGCAACGCGAGGTTGTTCAACTGCTTAGCAACGTCCGGATGCTCGCAGCCAAGGACCTTCTCACGAATCTCCAAAGCACGCTTACAAAGTGGCTCGGCTTCCTTGTACTTGCCGCGCTTCCCGTAGAGAACGGCAAGATTATTCAAGGTGGCAGCAACGGCTGGATGATTCTCACCGAGCGTTTTCTCGCGAATGGCTAGCGCATCGTTCAAAAGATTAGCAGCCTCTTTGTATTTGTTCTGATCACGATATACCAGCGCGAGGATGTTGAGCATCGTCGCGACATCCGGATGATCGTGACCGGAAGTCTTTTCCAAATCCTCCAGTGCCTGCTTGCACAGTGGCACAGCAACCTCGTAGCGACCCTGGCTAGCGTACTGAATTACCAAATTGTGCAGGGTACGTAAACGCGCAGGTATTTCATAGCCAGCGTTTACTTGTTGTGCGAATTGCGATGGCAGAGTCGGTGACATCGCTAAAAAAAGATAACAAAAGCATAAAGAAATAAATAGGGCCAATTCGTTATCTGAAGAGATTCAAGCTTATGCCAATACATTGAACGAACCAGCCATTTGAGACTGCCTGATTCAAGATTCATTCACAAGTGAGCACAATCTCGAATCTTAAGAAGAGAAGGGTGCTCTTGGAAACGGCAGTGATAAGAAACTCATTGTCCTTAATTGTGAAACACGTATGACTTGAGACTGGTGCATTAGGCACTCGTGCACAAAGCTTGCAGAATAAGTAGAGGTGAAAAGGTCAACATACACTTACTGTTTCGCTCGTCAGCCTCATCGTCCGGGAATAGGTCGACTACAGGATCGTCCTTAGGTCTGTCCTTAGCATTTTCATCCACTGCCGGAGGATCTGGATCATACTGTCGAATGCTCGCCATGAAGTCCAGATGCCGCTGTTCCTCTTCAAGCTGAGCAACCTGGATAGAAATTTATAAATTGACCAATAGCACAAGAGAAGCACTGAGCCAGGTGAATCATATCTAATTCTAGTATGACCGTACCGCTTGCTCGCTGGCTTGCAGCTTCTGCTGGGTGCCAGCTAGCTCATCCCTGAGCCACGCATTCTCTTGACACAGTCGTCTGACCTGAGTCCTGAGCTTTTGCTTTTCAGCCTCTACCATCTGCAAGTGACTCGCCAGAGCCATCATGACCTGAGCCTCGCCTAGGCCAAGTTCAATCATCTCGATATTCTTCGACAAGAGACTAGCCTTCTCCCGGGCAGCTGGTGCATCCTGGGACTGTAGACCTTGAAGAAGACCACCATGCTCAACGCGTAAAGCCTCCAGACCCTGGGCAACGGTGCGGGCACCGGCCACAATCTCTTCCTGCGTCATGGCCGTCATTCTGCCAATGTGTTCTATTTTTTTGCTGAAAACAAACAAGATCGTCAATTACTTTCTCTGCACTTTCATTGAAATAATTAAATTGACCCTCTAGAAAAAATTTAACGAATAAAGATTCAATCTTGTCATTGATCAAATATATATTAAATTCGATGAAAACAAATCACCGCAGCCTATGAAAGAGATATTCCACTTATTGCTAGCATTTTCATATTACGTTGCTTCAATTATTTTTTTTAAAACGTCCACAACCCAGTACAACAAAGTGGGAACGCCATCGTGTTTACTTGAAATGATCAAGCAGACATACAACGACTCCGGTTACCTCCGAAGGTCTCAACGATCGACGAGAATCGTAAAGTAAAAATGGAATGAACCAGGTAAGATTGTAACAAGACCGATCCTTGAGTGGGAAACGATTTGTTTCAGTCAAAGACACGAGGACGCGCACAATCGGTTGAAAATTGTACGAGCTGTCATTTCGCGCCGGTGTTTTCTACGTGCGACGTATGGCCCTTAAAGAATAACGGTTTCCGAACGATTTAATCCGTGAAATTCAAACGACCCGAACGAGTATAACAGAGAAGCGTATGATTACGCAATAAAATGCACAAGATACACCAATGTACAAATCTTTTTAATAAATTTAATCGAGATGCGAACTTACCCCATGTCAGGGCCGCGTATCCCATCAAAATCAATGGCTCAATAGTTCCGCGCATGCGCATTCCGCGTCTTTCTAATGCGCCACTATGTACAGATAGAGAATACGTGAAAATGCACGAGAATGACAGAGAAAAATACTTGATATTTCTAGATGGAAAATACGGAAATGCATAGGACGCAAACGATTACGTGTAAATAACAAAAATAAAATACATAAATGCAGAGAGCTACTCGACAAGGTTACACTAAGAGTCTTGGGGGGTTGAACCTTGACCTCGGAGAATTGCGACATGGCAGAAAATAATTTCCGATCAATCCAAGAATATTGAGCTAATCGTGAAATCGCAGTACATATGAATATCGGTAATAAGGAGTTAAATATTTCATAAGCGAATCCTATACACGATGTATATTTCATTACGATAATTTTTCAAGTAAACTAGAAGTGTAATTAGAAATCAACAAAAATATTCAACGTAATTTCGGTCAATCTTCGAAAAAGAAAGATGGCGCGACTGCAGTCGCCCAGACAGCAATACGGTATCAACATTTGAAACGGCTGCACATGGCAAACGACTTAACAGCTGATGACTAAGATTGGCGCAAGAAACAAAGTAAAATTATTTTCCAGACAAATTTAAACCTAAAATGATTTCTAGGCTGTTTCGCGATGCGCGAAACTCGAGCACACGTTGAAGCAAAATATTCAACAGATTTTATCGGTAAAAACAGAAATTGGCATCTGAACCTTCATCGCAATTCTTACGGCTAACGAGTAGACAATTTCATTATTAATTACGTATATAACAGGTAGAACACGTGGATAGATATTTATAAAAAAAAAAAAAAAGAAAATATAAACCATTGGCCACTGTTGCCTGTCATAGAAAAAGATCGATTGACGAAGCCAATAATCAATCTTGCGATTTCTGTCTTAATATTTAAATGACAGAAATATATACATATGTACATTGCACCCAAAAAAATTATTCCTAATTGACTATACATACAAGGCTATTCTAAAAGACCAATCGGGTGCACAAATTCACTTAATAATTTTCATCATCCAATCTAACATCCAGTGGTGCAGAATGCATATTCCCGCAAGGATGCAGTCGTATCCTTTATGGAAACCAATCAAATGCCATATTAATTTATCGACGAGTCTCAATAACGTACTAAAGTATTGCACACGGAGCGAAGGGACGATTTCAATTTACGTTACAAGACATTTGGAATCTACTCACATTCTATAAGCGTTCAGCGTTTTTGACATATCTGTTCTACCCATTGGAAATGGAGTGGAAGAGTGAATACTCGGCCAAACCTACCTATTCCTTGAAAAGAGATTACTTAATAAAACGATATTGATCTATCTCGTTGATACATTCGCGTCGGTATTGTCACTTCTCAGTCGGATACAAAAATCACGTACAAAAATCATCTATCCTCGCGTCGGTATAAAAATATATATAGATGTGTATATATATATACTGGTAATCTGATTGCTAAGGGGGGTTGCTCACGGTATCACGTTTTATTCGTTACTGAGCCTTGGCTGGCTTCACACCCCAATACGATGGGGGTTGGAAAATGCGCATGCGCAGTCCGATACTGCTTTATATATACATATACACACAATGCCAAATAAAAGTACAGCAGACTGTGAAAATTTAGTGGTCGCACAAAGCCTCGGTACAGGTCCACTTAAAAGAAATTAATACTGTCCCCGTCAACTTGTTACATTATCAAGTACACCCATAACGAGTATGCTGATACGTGGTTGGTGGTTTTAAAGAAAGAAAAAGTGAAGGGAAAATTAAAAGATCGCCAAGAGTTCTGTCAGAAAGAAGATAAGCACACGAACGACCTTAATTAGTAAGGATTGTAAAAACGTTCGAGAATAAAGTCGTCGCCGTGCGAGTGTGTTCCTTTTTCGTTTAGGAATAAGATTAGAATTTCCTTGAGTTGGAAGGCGTGCGTGAGTGCGTGAAACTACTTTTGGTATAGCGTTCTATTTTCGGCATTTGTTTAGAAAGTTAACAGAGATACTTTCGTATATAATAATGTGATGGTATTAGCAGCGATTTGTATCGTAGAGGTATCAATCTGTCGGAGAATCTAACGGGTATACCGAAAAGGGGAAGAAAAAAGGGAAAAAGAATCAACATTCACCCAAGAGACCTACTTACAGGGAATTGATTGGAATACTTGATTTAAGTAACTATAAGATATTCTCTTCGTGTAAAGAAATTTACAATTCATGTATTATCGATGATACATTACCGAGTGAGAATATATTTATATATACGTATGAAAGGTCTATGGAAAATCAGTTCTTTCGATCAAATTCGCACACGTCATCCGGCGTCCTTTTACGCCGTGTATAGCACGGCCTGGACCCCGAATGATTCATAGAGTGACGACACGATTGGCTTCACCATGTATCAGGCGTTTCAGTGTACAGACAAGCATACACGTGTGTAACGTACTTCCTTTCTTAAATTAAGTTGGCAGAACACGCAACGCGAGTAAACGAGACTGTCGATACGAATCTTCATGTGATTCAAGAGTCATGAATGGAATCCTGTCAAATGTTCCTGTCTTGGATTCTTCGGTTACTTTGCCACTTTTCCACGGTTGCCAACTCCTTAGAGATATTTCTATCTAAGGTCTAGGAGGCGTTTTCCTCTTCTCCTTCCTTTTCTTCACGTTCCTCTTGTCGACGTTTTCGGATTAGTTTCTCTGAAGGCGTCAGACGCAATGCGGCAAAAATATATAGTCCTTGGACAAAGAGATGCGACGCGAATGACGCTATGAATGTAAGAAAAAATTCTTTGCATTTACTCTCCTAGGCTTACTTTCAATGTCCGAAAAGATCTTGGAAACTATGGAATCTCGTGGACGGTGTCGCTTCTTATCTTGGTGATTAACTTTTTTTTTTTTAGGTAGAGTACACTGTCTCGTGTCGTAGGGAAAATTGTTAATCATAATCCAGACAGGTACTGGAAAACTCCTTTCATCCTAAAATGGAGTCTTACTGTAAAACGATGCTGTCACCATATTTGAGTTAAGAAACGCAGTTATTATTATTCATAATAGGTTACAATGTCTCCGTCATATACTGTTACGTTGTCAAGCTGAGAATTAATTATAGTATTTCTATTGCTAGAATAATAAGTCATATCGGAAACGTTTAAGTTTCTTATTTGGAAACCATCTTCAATGCAGCTAAGCACACGTACCTTTTATCTATTTGACTTTTGTCCAAATGTATACATGGATCTCACTTTGTAATCTGAAGATTATGTCTAGTGTATTGTGTGAGCCAGTGGAAACGATAAAAATATCAATGTAACGCATATTCTATCTGGTTTTTAGTACTCATTATATTAGAAAGATGGCAGAGGTATATACAATAATGTACATCAACATCAATAGCCTCATAATGATTCAACGTAGGCACTTGGATTACGACGTACTATTATAAAGCACTACAGGAAGATGGCCACTGCTTGTTTATTTCTCCAAGACGCTTATCGCTCGTCCGGTTTAGTACTAATTTAAAGTGGCGTATTTGTAGCTAGCAGCACGCTTGACATCAGTGTTTGATCAACGGATTTTTAGTGGGAAATTTGAAAAAAAATCAGTAGATTGATATAAGTGTGTTAAATCCTGACTAAGGAGTGCAGCTGAGTTATTTCTCAGAGAAAATAGGAAAACACCAGAGATTAAAGCGAAGACGAGAATTATTGGTGCAAGGATGGTCATGGTCACTGGTTTTTCGTCACGGTATCGCGACAGCCCGCGGAAACGGATTAAAAGAATTAACTTCCGGTTGCACCTGCCTGTCCCAGAAGGCGTGGTCTCCGAAAAATGTAACAGCTTCACACGACGTGTGATCCGCCCTTTAATATGAATAATAAAAAATGTATATTTCATATGTCTGAATGGAAAAACAACTCACTCTTGAGAATGGTCCATGCAGGGATCCTACGACGATTTTCAATGTACCATCGCACCACTGTAAGAAAAAGACAGAAAACGATACACAATCATTTGAAACCTTTGTGAAACACCAATAACACCTGCACCGTCCATCAAGAGATGTTCCAGAGGTTAAATTACAGTAGAAATTTGATAGTCGACCCGAACTCAAAAATGCAAAACTCGAGTACGGTTGCTTGGTGGAAAAAAAAGTTTTCACTGCTCAAGTAGAAGTATTCGGGACAATCACAGGGTTATGTAGAAGGTAGAGACATTTGAGCTGTTAAAAGTTGTCAAATAACTCCCGTAAGATACTTTGTAATCGCGGAGAAAATACTCTTGGTAAAATCTTGACACGGATCGTAGACCGATGACAGGCTAAAATGGCGAGGGCAATGGTAGTCGAGTCAATACGACAATCACATATTTGTATGCTTTAATGGAAGGAATATTAACCATCACTTTTTGTTACCTCTTTGGCGGACGGTGAATGTTCACGTAACAATTCAATTTGCGGAATGCGGTATCTCGCGTACGGGAAATTAACAAGAAATTTTCACAGCGAAAGACGGCCGTCAGCCGAACGTAAAAACGCGACTGGGGCGACTCTGCTGTCGACGACAGCGCCGCGTATCACCGGAACTAGCCGATAAAACTAACGATATAAGAATACACGGGCTGGAGAATTTATTATGATGAACGGTGTTGTCCAGTGTTGTCCAAGAGACGAAAGGGGGCAATACGGACAATTTGCAAGTAGCGCGTGTTTATACGTAATGGGGCATTGTGTTAGACTGGAAATATTCTGTATTGTTTTAGTGCGTAACTTGTCATCACTTTACGCGCGGTCAATTCACTCTGGGCATGCGCGCACTAACCTAACTCATATTGCCATTCCATATAATTCCAATTTATGCACATATGTCCGCTCTTATGCAAAAGATTTTTACTTACTTCTTCTGTCTTTTGGACCACTAATCATGGTATAGCCTTCATCCCGTGTATTTCTGCAAGATCTGCGGATAAAGCCACTTTGTTTTGGCCGTGATTGGTGGTGAGCAGTTTTCAAAATTTTAATTTTTCAACAGTTCTAGTAAATAACTACGTTATACTCGTATCACTGTTCGGATTGCACAGTGGATTGAGATTCTGAAAAGCTTGTGATCTTTGAAAATATATTGTTCGAACCTCTATAATCTACTATTGATGCACTACGAACGTCTGACAAGTTATCGTAATCTTTTACCGACAGTTTTCAGATAACAGGTGCAATGATCTCTCATTGGATTTAAGTCGCATCAATCACTTATGCCTTGTACAATTTAGGATGGGATAGGGATTATAAATAGTATTTATATAAATTGCGATAAACGACATTTATTTGAATAATCATTATCAGAATAGTAAATAGGTACAATAGAGAACGCGTTTAGCAGGCCAACTTCTTATTAACGGTCGAAAACGTTTGGTATTTTGCATGAAAGATATTTTGTCTTTAAGGCGGCAAAGTAATTGAATAATGTTTCGATAATAATTGTAATAGATAATGGATAATTCGCAGCTGCATTATTAAAAAAAAAAAGATAATAATTAAAAACAGAATATCAATATACGGATAAAGATTGCTAAACTTGGAAATTCTAAAAATTTATATGTCCTTTTCATTAGAACATTGATATTGCATCGTTTTCCATTTGCGGGTGGCATAAAATTCTAACAACTCTCATCGTGCAGTTCCATGTTGGAGTATTCTATCATAGAAGTATCGAATTTGAAGCAACATTTGTGGATTTTATAATTATTAAAAGCAATGACGAAAGCGACATGTGTAATTCTGTATGTGTGGATCGCATTTTATAATCGCTTCACGGTCTAAAGTAGGAAAAAATTCTATGTGTAAACTGACATTGCGCTGCGACTCATTGTATCCAATGGCTAATCGTTTAATCATCATATCGGTCTCATCGTTCACTGGCTTTGGGGCACTTTGAACATATATCCGTTTCCGGTTCCTTTATGTTACTTAAATGGCATCAATATCGAAATCGTCTCCTTCGTCACTGTCATTTTTAACGGGCTTCTTCACGGGCTGCTGTTGCTGTTGCTTTAACGGTTGTTTCGCTCTGTCGTCGTACTCGATCTGAAACGCACAAAAATAAAATTACCAAATACCCTCAATAATCTATTTTACAATCATTATATTGTCAGATATTATTACCTCCAAATCGTCATCATCTTCTTCAGATTCAGACTCTTCCTCCTCGGCTTCGTTGAGCCACGTAAGAAATGGTGCAGCTTTGTCATGGATTTCTTGGGACAAGTCTTTCGAAACGTATTTCTTGCTCACTTTACTAGCCCATTCAACGAAGGCTTTCTCTTCCAAGATGTCAGCGTCGTAGAAAAGCTGCGACAAGAGTTGTAAAGATTACTAATGAGAAATTTATGTAACCAAGATGGACAAAGTTCAATATTAGATTGCGTTAACCTACCTTCAGTATACCAGGCACCTTGGGCATTAACGAATCCTTGTGCAATGCAATAACCTGTTCAATCCCTCTAATCAAATATTTCTGTGCCTTGATATCGTCATGAGTAAAACGTAACAAGAGGACACGATGTTTTTTCGCCTGAACAGCAATGGCCTGATCGAATAGAAGTTCCGCCAGAACGAGGGGCGCCTTGGTCTTAATTTCAAGACGTTCGGCTTCAGCCACCAATTCCTTATGATTATCAAGCTGTCCAGCATCGCGACGGCACTTGACCAGCTTATAAAATATATCCATACGCTCTTTCTCAGACTTATCGAGATCATCGCTGATGGTCATACCCTTCGCACCATCGGTCAAGTCCTGAAGACGAGCCCTGACTGCCTCCTCAGATACATCAACGGCCCACTTGGCATCATCGTCGTCGTCAGCAGCAATCTTCTTCGGTGCTTCCACAACGATATCAGTAGTGCTAGTTTCGTTCTCAGGAGAACCAGATCGATCACCGTTAGCGTCGCCATTGGCACGTTTGGAACGCTTGCCACGTTTACCTTCGGTCAACGAGCTGCCCTGAGCGGCGGGATTCAAACTTGGAGGATTCTTCAAAATGAAGGTGTTCAGCTTGTGATTGCATTCAACTAGACCGTGATGTCCGCAGGCTTTACAACCCTGCGAGATGGTTCCCTTCTTGGCACTGACCAACAGTTCAGTCTCAGGATTGTCGCAGGCCGGGCAAAGGACGTACTTGCGAATGAATCCATCCAAGAGATCTTGAAGCTTGGTTGCGTCGTGCGAACCATTAACGATAAATCTCTCATTTTTGAAATCAAACTGTGTCTGCGCACCGAGCTCACATCCAAAATACTTAGTCGGATATGTAGCCGGTCTACCGATAGCTTTAGCCACGTCGACCATGTTAACTATGACAGTCTTTATACCATTTCCTTTGCCTTCGACCTTAGCCTGGATCCGTGGCATCTTATAGCGATAGAACGCATCGCTGACATTGCGATTGACATTGACGCTCCCCATGATGATATATGCTTCCGCCTTTTACTCCGCACTAGCTTACGGGTCCGACCGAACGAGAGTAACTTCCGACGTGGCGTCGTCGTGAAACGTTGGCGCAACGTGGTTAGGAGGGACGTTGAAGCAGTGTTATTTTACTTTATCTCTCTTCCTTCTTTATCGTACGCGCTTGCTTGCCTCAGCTCGAATTAAATTTGCCTCAGGTAGGTAACGTCTTCGTCCTCGTTCTCCTAGATCTCGTTTTCGCGTTCCCGAGCGGCAGTTTGATTGCTGCGTGGCGAACTTGCCTGGCAATGGCTACCAAATGGTAGCTTGTGTCGTGTCGAGTCAGGGTGGTTCTCGTTGGTTGCGGTAAGGCGTGCCGCACTACCCGGTGACGACAGTCACGTTTCTCTGAACGGCTGAAGCTTCCGATGCCTGTTACTGATCATCAAATAAAATAAACAATCAAGTTTTTTTTTTTTCAACATCACTATCTTAACTTCCGTCGGTATTTACCATTAACGTTGTGATTACCTGGAAAATTTTGAGGTCCTGTGTTTAGGCAGGACCAGATGATTTAGAAATCGTTGGGTGGTATCTTGGTGCAGGTTTTGCCTCGGTCTGTTGGGCAGAGGGGGATGATCTTCAATGATCATACACGCTGCCTGTCCGTCGCTCGTGCCCTTAAGAAAGTCTGTGTTCCACGCCGGAGTTGTCGACTCGATGACTACGCGTAACAAACGATTGTCCCGAGAGTACGAGATGATTCGGCCGTTATGAGCAAGCTTGGACAACGTCCTGACACCACCGCCTTTGCTGTACACCGATCCTTTCCCTCTGGATGATATCCTGGATGTTTCTGCAACAAAAAAATTACACTTCAATAAAATGTATATCATTACGATAAAGTGATGCGACCTCAGGAAGCATAAGAACGAACCTATATAGCATGGTCTAAGTATATCTAACGCAACAAGGACATGAATATGTTTCAAAGTGACAAATAAATCATCTGCCACAGAATAACGTAGCGAGTCGAGATTTGGACTCCAAAAAATTTTTTTTTTATCACAACCGCAATCCGCGTGCACTGTTATTATCTTATTAAAGTGGAAAACTAGCAAATTGCGTATGTACGGTTAATCATGATTTTTAACATCGTTTTCGAATATGTTCCAGGACTTTCATTTGCAGGCTTGAACGGTTATTTTTTATTTTTACAAAATTTCTATATCACGTGTGTATATGTGTCCAGTGGTATTTCTAAAGTTTATCGATCATCCGTATGGTTTTCGCGAGAACTCAGCAAACCCAGGGTCATGATAGCGATAAGGATTTTCTAAGCGATCCCGATGAAAGTTTCCCCGACGTGTATAAGAAAACGACTGCGAGAAAGGAATCGTGAAATAATCAACATAAATAAAAAAAAATGAGCATAACTAACGCTGCCTGTATTCAGACGTATCTGCGTCTACAGGCTACTTCAGAGGAATTCCTTCCCTCGAAAACTCTCCTCTCGTAAATAGTTAAATCAATCATGAAAATCACATTTAGCCATTACCTCCGAATAACTAACGGCCATAATAAAAAGACTTCAAAATCCACCAGCGAGAATTCTGCGTCATCGTACTAAGATTAGCACCAGAAAAAATAATATCCAATTATCACAAGCGCTCCACTGGTACTTCGAACAAATTAGGGAAACCGCGAATCTTACGTAAGGCAAAAGCATCGCACTTGCCGTTACACGAGACGCCCTGTAAAAACACTACCAAAAAGGATTAGTAAATCCGCACGAGTCAAAGGGTACTGCCGTAAAATGTATATATATGTATACAAACACGCACACTCGATTAAAAAAAAAAACCAATCTACCTATTCGTAAAAATTACTGATAATGATATGTGCCCCAATAACAAAATTACATTAGATTAATTTCGAAAAGCTCGCACCAGCTCCGTACTCACGTAATCTTGCAAACGTTACAATAAACGGTAGGGACAGAATCCCCATAAATAATTCAGTACCATTTGCGAGCCACTGTAAATCATTAATGCCAACATTATATCCAGTGACGGGATAGTACCAAAAGACGTTAAATGTTTACTGCCTTAAATATATCACCCAGTATTAAACTCAGATCTTTACCAGTTACAGTTACACATAAATGAAGCATAAAAAAGTCAAGGTGATTCATAAAAAATAAAAAAAAAATAAAAAAAAATTGAATCAGTCACCCGCTGAAAATTGACCCATAAGAGGCTGGTAAAGGAACTAGTTAAAATGTTCAGCTGGCCAATGCACCAAACAGGCGTATTTCCATATTGCCAAGAGGTAACGTTTATCGACTAAGCAAAACAGCCTTAAGCTTTAGGAACACGTAAACGTTCCAGAAGCATATAAATACCTTCAGCCCGTAGGGTAGTTACGCTGCAAGGGGTGTTAGTCGTAAGTTGGGTTTCTTCATCGAGTCAAAAATTTTAGTATAAAACTCTGATACAAGTAGTGGTTCAATCAGGGTGAAGATTGTACAGTCAATTTCAAATATTATCTCGAAGAGTATCGAATACAGTGACGCGTTAAAATTTGACTGTATTAATAATATTTTAGGTTTCTCGCTATTCAAACATCTCTGATCTAACATTCCAAGCCTTTTTCTATATTGAAATTGATAGTGGTTTCTGATAAGGTTGATAGAATTTATACATACTTTTTGTCTCTCAGTCAAATAAATAGATTTGGCTTGATATCAAAATATTAATACATGTGGCTACGGTGCCTGGTACTATAAAAGGAATAATTGACGATTAAGCGAACCCTACCATTAATTACTTAATTAATCAATTAATTATCAAATGCTTTTTTTTTTTATATTTACACAGCTTTCACCCGCGAGATTATTAACTGTTGAAAATTTGTCCGCTTTTTTTCAACCAGAGTTCCAACTTTCATTACTGCTAGTAATTGGTATACAAAGAAATAAATCATATGCAACATTCTTTTTTTGTTAATTAACTTGTAATTTTTTTTTTGATCGCTTATTAAAATTTCTGTATTTATTATTTTCTTTTTAATAACTTTCTTTCTACCGCTTTCGTTCTCTTTCGGTTCTTATCGTGTGAGTTGACGTTACCGATTACAAATTGTGTTACACATGACTATAAACATTGGCCACTATGTTAATGAAAAAAAAAAAAACACGTAAATAATGACGCAAGGTGCTGCAAACATAAATAGACAAACTTTTTTTTTTCCTTATACAAGATAACGAATTAACTCTGACAACCATCTCACCATATAACTAATGACAAGCGACACTAAACACGATTCGGTCAAAGAGCAGTGCAATGAGGTAAAAATCAGCAGAGAGGCAGATTAGAAAATTATATATCCTAAAGTCCGGTTCGCAATATTCATCAATACGTCCAACGTCCATTCCCATGAAAAGATGATGAAAACAGAAAGAAAGAAAAAAGACGTACCAGAGGAACAAGCACAGCCGTACAACCGGCAATGACATAATTACACACATGGCAGGTTTACGACTAAATTTCACATCTGCTAATAAAAGCGGCATAAGTACTATTAGAAATATTCAACATGTCAAGATTGATGATCAACCATAACGTATACGGTGCTTTAATGAAATTCGAAACCATTTTAAATTCTTCCTATTCGATCGGGCCTCGGGTAAAGAAACTCCCAGAACAAGTACACGAGGTATCTCCTACCGTGTGACATGAGCCCAGTGCACCAGGAGCACAGAACTATTTATTCCCTGGACACGTTAGCGTATGCGACGTTATTACCTCCTCGGTGTAGACGCATAAGTCGTGATTTCCGAAGGTGGTTGGCCCGCGTTCGGTGTTACGTGACTTTCAAGGTGGGTCCGTATGTATGCTAGCCCGAGAGAGATATCGCTCTGAACTGAACTGAGTCGAATACGTACACGGGTTCGAATCCCGGATCGGGCAGCGACTGACTTATCTTCTGCGCAGGCGTGGACAACGCGAAACCGTAAGCGTATTGATCCGAGGGGGTCCGATCGGGACATGTATAACTTGCGCTACCCTCGGACAAGGTCAGATTTTCGCGAGTTTTCGCGAGTGCAATGCGGAAATTTAACGTGGGATAGGTCAGGGTGAATGCCGCATTTCCGGTCGCTATAACGGCAGACCGGAAGCAGCTGCCCCGTAAGAGCTAATCAAAGGTCAAGGAGAGCAGATCCTTGGTCCTCCTTGTGAACAATAATAATTTCATAGTTTTTTTTTTAAATGATTTTATGGAACTATAGTTATAGGATGTTAATTCATTTATTTTTTTAAAAATAAATTTATGTTTCTGCATTACGTTCTGCCTATTGTGGTAATGCTATGTCTAATGGACGATGCATGAGATATTCAGTCCTCCATATGCATAATGGTAACGTGTCACATTTTGTAGTGAAAATAGACTTATAATGGTTAAGTACTTACGTCAAGGTTTAACAGTATACGATAAAAGTTGAATCATAAGTGCGAGTCGTTTCGTCGTATAGCGAATTACAATGGTGTAATGGTTTATGAGTATGCGATAACGGCGATAAGTCATCCAATTTAAGTTTACATGCGTATACGTATTGTGTACTAATTCTTTTTTACCCTTTGCATTACTTCAAATCTAATCTAACGATTTTTATTGGAAAAATTTCCATTTATATACGTAAATGAGTACCCTGGTTTTGAGGAATCCAGGATAAGACTTGTTCCAGTAAAATTTAGTTCAATGTCTCTGTGCATATGCAAGACAGAATGAAAATATTCCAAACATTACGGACAAGCTCGTCGTCAGACTCTTTGCTCTTGCAAAACTAATCTCTGTTTCAATGTGGGCCAGGAAGTTTTTGTTCGCCCTTGATATTGCAAGCTGAATTATCAATTCAGCTGACTTAGCTTTAGCTTACAACGCTCTTCACTTTGTAAATGAAAGAGGTATGGCTATGTGAATTTTGCAGCAATAGTGTAAGCTGGCATGGGCGGTATTTTGAAACTTATGCAATGAAATATTGTAATAATGTCAGTGGTTTTCAAGGAAGAATCCACTCTGAAAAATACGCCGAGTGTGATGAAGAAAAAGATATGTGAGAATATACCCATGTGTTTACAAAGGATGTATCTAAGAATGTTTCACTGATAAGTATTTCCAGGTAAATCTTTTCTTCGGACAGTGTCATACTAGGCAGATTATATTATTCTATCTGGCAGAATCCTTCATCAAGGATTACTTCATGATGCTTGTTTGTGCATTACATATGGTATTTTTGCTTGAGAACCACTGGATGCAGTGATTAACAGGATATTATTTTTGCATTGTTATCAAAACCTTAGTGCATGCCTGAGGGTCAAAGAAGGCCATCGTGCTGTATGGATAAGCGAAGGAAAAATATTAATGATTATGTATTGTAGGGGTCGGTTTCACCAAAGTAACTGCAGTTTATCTGGTAAGATTAACCAATCAGATGCCTGTATTTCTAGAAATTCCAAATCTAATTGGCTAATCTCAATAGTTAAGTGGATTAACTTTCCTAAACCAGCCCTAAGTCAATATTAAGTTTGGATTGCTTTTCAAGGATGTTGCAGACCTAGTTTTTGCATAACGCCATCATAATATTAATTTACTAATTTGTAATTAACTTAATAATAGCAGTATAATATAGTTTTGGAGAAAACTAAAGTGGAGAAGTACTATAATCTTAAAGTACACATATCAAGAACTTTATTATCGATAAGAGCCTGAATTGACGTAGATAACATAGTACAATCAACGTGGAAAACAGCTCTAATATGCAATACTGTGAATATTCATTCATTAGTTGCAAAAATCAGAAGCATGATGGAACCACAATTTACCATTAAAGTATTCAAAATGGATATATTTTCTAGCAGATTAGATTAGATAAAGCATACAAAATTATTTGTATTAATCATTTTTTTACACACAATAAAGTTATGTAAGAGTTAAAATATTTCTTAGTAAAAGTGTTAATATGAACAATACAGGAATAAGCTCTGAAAAAGTTTGAGAGTATCTGTAATCTCAAAACAGATAATTTTACATATGAAGTCAGTATTGTGTGAAGCAAAATTAAAATGGCGAGATCTCAAAATTAAAGACACAAATAAATTTTTATTAGAAATCTTCTCGCTTGTTTCGTCATGTAGGGGAAAAAAAGAGGCAAAGAAAAAGTTTACCAATGCGTACTAAGCAATTTATGACCAAGCAACTCGGTCAACGTACCAGGAACGTAACTAAGAATGACTGACCTCTGCCAGCCATTATAAAATTAGTGCATTTTAATTCGGTAGACATGCCCTATTGAATCATTGTTATTTAAAAATAGAAAACATAACGTTCGGTAGTTTCATGGATTTTTGTATAAACGTATCGTTCGCGAAAGAAGCACATCGTGTCCAAAATGGCTGGTCGCTAAAATTAGCTCAATCGAGTCAAGAAAATTTGTCGCGTATGGGATACGATAAATGAATCCAATCGCACATAACGATGCTCACCTTGTCGACGAAGAAAAGTCATATAAAATGGTAACGCCCTGCTGGACGGCCGCCTTCTAGCGTGAAAATTCAAAGGAAACCCACGGGAATATCGAGACAGATGGATCGCCCTTTCGAGAGCACCCCAGAAGTCGCTTTACGGCTGTGCTCGCTGTAAAACACAATATGAAATAACGTAGTTGGATTGAATACCACTAGTTTCATAAACTTAATTATGGTTTACCTATTTAATTTTCAAAATTAGCTTCACGAGTTGAGGATCACGTCGATGTCTTTAAATGCGTGGTCAACGTAATTCTTCGCAATGAAATGCAACGAAACACTCCAACTTGCAAGCGGCTACTGGTGGCTACTGCCTGAATACATCCACGAGTATCGAAAAACAGTGACGTAAACTTCGATTCTTGAGTCCTCGATTTTTTCCCTACTCATCTCTGGTTCAAGCTTGTGTATTCTAGTTTTCTAGTGTCTTATCATTGAAATTGTGATCCTGCGTTTGTCTGATTTCAGGCGTAACAGCCGTGGTAAATGTAAAGAGATATTATAAATGAGGTAATTTTCATAGAATTATTCATCTTTGATCTTTTGGATCGTTACGGACGACTCAAATTACGTAAAATGTTATTGGCATTGATTGATTCTCTTTTATTGAGTCATCATATACGGTCCTGAGAGACTGTAGTCCTAAGTATCGATAGGGATGATGTGATTGATATTTTTTCAATGTAAATTCTTTATAGATCAAATGCTTGACTGTTGATCCGAGCATTTAATAAAAAAATTACTTTCATAGGAAAACGATATTATTTTAGATTGTTATCAGATTTTAATTGGCGTTAGATACGTTATCGTTGTGAGTAGTATAGTGAAATCGTATTGACTTATCCTAACCCTAATTGTCGTGTGAATTCGATGAACACGTGATGACATTTGTGAATTTTAAGCATAACACGTTGCCGATTCCTCTTGTCAGCTCGACAGTGAAAATCAGGTATATTTCATGTTGGATAAAATATTGCGATACCATCAGACGTCTTGTGAATAATTGATACCTCAGTGTGAATGGAATATTTGTAACTTTTAGTATATTAATAATTTTAACTTATCAATCTTTAAATATTTTTCTTTCAATATTGTTTTCAGATTGGAAAAGTACTCTACTTCTTACAGTATTAATAAAGTCCTGAGTAATAGCAACAGCTATTAATTACAAATATGACTTCTCAATATACATGCATTACATGCCGTGTGGCATTTAGAGATTTAGAAATTCAAAGGCAGCATTACAAGTCAGATTGGCATCGATATAATTTAAAGAGGAAGGTCGCTGAATTACCTCCTGTCACGTCTGAAGAGTTTCAAAGAAGAGTGATTGCTCAGCGTGGTAAACATGATCAAATGAAGCAAGAACAGTCTATAAGTTGTAAAGCATGCAGAAAGAATTTCAATACCAAAAATCAGTATGAAAATCATATACTGTCAAAGAAACATAAAGAAAAAGTACAGAAAATAGAAAATTCCTCAGTGGAAACAACAGAAAATGTAATGCCTGATGACTCCGAAAAATCCAATACTAAGAGTAATGAAATAAGAGCACAGTCTAAGGATAACAAAAGTACCACTGATGATATGGAAATTGATTCTGATGTGGAGTCTATAGATTCCGATGAATGGCTTGAAGATACTGAAAATCCTGTAGGAAACAATGACTGTCTGTTTTGCAATCATCATAGTCGATCTTATGTGAGAAATCTCAAGCATATGACATTAGCTCATACATTCTTCATTCCTGATCCTGAATATTGCATAGACATAAAGGGTTTACTTGTATACTTGGGAGAAAAAGTATTTGCAGGCTACATGTGTCTCTGGTGCAATGACTCTGGTATGAATCTATTTTACGCAATATGATATAATTAATAGAACATTCAGAGCTAAATCAATATCCTTTGTTTTTTAGGAAGAGCATTTCAAAGTGCTGATGCAGCAAGAGCACACATGATTGACAAAGGTCACTGTAAGATGTTGCACGAGGGTGAAGCTTTAGCCGAATATGCAGAGTTCTATGATTATTCGTCAAGTTATCCAGATGCAGAGCAAGGAGATCCTGATGCAGAAGTTGAAATACCAGAACTGGAAGATAGCGATTATCAACTAGTTTTACCTTCAGGCTCTGTCATTGGACACCGTTCCCTGATGAGATACTATAAGCAAAGCTTAAATCCCAACAGAGCCGTGGCCATACCAAAAAGTGAGAAGCTCCGAAGAGTACTTTCTCACTACAGAGCTCTCGGCTGGACTGAGACACAACATGAATTGGCCTCAAGAAAGGCACGGGATATTAAGTACATGCAGAAGATTCAGTCCAAGTATTCCACGCAGTTGCAATTTAAAGCAAATAAATTCCAGCGGCATTTCCGTCCGCAAGTCAACTTCTAGATTTCACTTGACATACATTTTTAGCAGCGTAAAGATAATGCCGTCTACAATTTGTTAGATTTTTTTTCCATTGTAAGCTTTACCTAACTTATATATGAATCATTCGACTACTATTTCTAAATAATAATCAACTTAATAAAGTACATATGTCCTGCCGTATATGCATTGTTATTCAATAAATATACTTACTTCGGATATTTAAAGTTCTGAAAAGTGGTACTACACTACAGACCCCATATATTAGTAAACTCAGGTATTTATTTAGCGGATAAAAAATAACGTGTATTACATCTTTACAATATGAGAGAACAACAAAAATATTGTATGTTGTATAATATTCGTATAATAATTCTTCATCTGGTGATTCATGGACCCATCTAGTAAATTGGTTATCTTTTCAATTCACACATAGCAATCCTTATTATGGACGAGTAATAGTCATGCAAAAAGGTATTTGCACTTGTAAATATCTTCGTAACGACCTGATACTTGCAAGAAACGTACCATGCTTCGACTTCTTCTCAAGTAAAATTATGATTTTTCAATTTATCTCATAATTAGGTGTACTTCTAAATCATTCAATCACAAAACACTTGTGTTTTTAGTATCACAATAAACTATCTTCGTGCGCAAGAACTTTTTTCATCGTCCTAATCTTCCATAGTGGTACATGTATAAATATATATATTATATATGTATATATTTATATATCATATAATGTATATTTCGAAATTTGCAACGATCGTATAACCATTTTTTAATTCTAAATCTCAGTATAAGGTACAATTTTACAACAGTAACCAATGTTGTTCACTTTCCAAACATATCCCAATCGGCCTAAACACTAGAGTGAAAGTCCTGGCTCTTGTTATTACTTGACTTTCAACATTGGACATCAAAAGACTTTCTTTAAATTCATTATATGAATTTTCAATGCCTTGGCTGACCCGTGGGACATTAAACAATTTAACATCAATGTGATCGGTAGGAGACAGTCCGAGTTTCTAATTCCTAAGCAATACGAATTTTTACTCAGCAAAACGAATTTTCAGCTCTTTTTTTTCTGTGGACATATGTATAATATGCATTTATACCCGTTGCGTCTTGTTGCGCGTTAATATTTATAATATGTGTACAAATAATAGAGAGCTGTTATTGTCACGTCCAACGATCAAAACACTTAGTTCATCTACTCTTCGTTCTTACTCCTTATATTTTAGATACTCTCATTACCTTGTAACTTTATCTTTTTTTTTAATCTATCACTTTTACCATGAGCTTCAATGCAGTATGCGGTGGTTCAGGCCGCGCGAATTCTTCAATTTCTGAATATAAAATTTCAGCCTCAGTTTTCAGGCCGTGGCTCGCGCATACTTTTTGGGAATAAATTCCCGTAGCGTCTACTTTGAAGACCTAAAAAACATATTCTCATGCTATTGTCGTGCTGTTATTTTTATGAGTGTTTCAGGTTCACAGTACTTTTCGGTAACGTTACGAATAAAGAATGAAAATAACGAGGAAATAGAAAATAATATAACCAAACGAAATACCTTTTTCAAATGAAAAGCATTCCATGCAAACTAATGGTAAGTCATGCTGAAACAAAAGATCCAATGTGAAATTCCACATGTTGTATAATTCTAATAATAATAAGGAAATTCGGAATATTAATGAAGTAACTATTTTTGGAATCTGTTTATTAATATACCTTGAATCCTGCTGTCCTCGCAGTCTTTATACTGTCTGCCATCAAAGTGTTGGCAAAGCCTCGACCTCGAAAACCTTCGTCCACACTTAAAATTCGACATTCGAATAACTCTTGCACGTTATAATTTGAGAATAAATCTATCTTTTCGTTCACTTTATATAAAAGACCAAAAATGATTTTGAATTTTTCATCGGCTATTTCCAGCAGACGACGTTCCGCCTCTTCGCGTTCACCCTTTTTCAAAATGCCATTCAGGGCCACACCCGCTATCTGAAATTATATATACTTTTCTTTTATCTCTTGAGAAATTGAATTGCATAACAAGAGTTTTCCTTTTGACATATTTATACTATTACAACAATTGTTATACTCACTCTTCCATCCTGAGTAAGCAACATCCTGGAAAATCCTTGTTTCAAAGTGAGCATACAGTGTCTCTCTAACTCAAAATGCGGCTGTCCCCGCTTGCAGAGATCTAATGCCTTATTTAGTGGTTCATCCGCGAAGAAATTCTGTCTCAGATGATAGATTACCTCTGGGAAATAATCTTCCGTAATATCGGTGGCCGTCACAAGATCGGAGGACATCTTTGGGTTGAGCTTTACGTAATTTTCCTCTAAGCGAAGACTATTTTTCTATGCACGTATCTTTTCCCGCAAGAGGGCTGCTTTCATTGGAAAGGATTTATTGATTGACCCAGTTTGAGCTTGAGAAACATGATTATTATGTTATCACTGTACATCCCCTATTGTGAGATTGAACTTCCCCAAAATGGCCGAATAATAGCACGTGATATCAAAATCGTATCGTGAGACATTGCGAAATTGTTTTTCAGATTTAATGTGAACTTTTGTAAATAAGGATACAGCATTGTTACAGATCAATTTTGTTTTCTTTGCTGTGTTGTTAATTAGAATGGTTTAGAATTTTTCTTTTTATTGGAAGATAGCCGGACGAGCTTGATAGGTGTTGATAAATAAATTAAACCCAATGACAGTGTTGCCAATGAACCGTAACCATTTAACGAGCATAATTAAGATACATGTGTTTATTATTTATAAACGATTGCTATAAAGTAATTATATCTCTTATCACACTATACAAGCCGTGAAATAATATACAATATGAATTGCAACATCCACATCAGTTGAACGGCGATACTGGAATACTTGGAATACTTTGTTAAAAAATAATAGCAAGCCTTTGAAGAACCTTCTGAACAGTTACAGTGTAGGACATAGGGAGAATTATACCTGCGACTTTATCAAACTCTTTTAATCCGAGAAGAAGACGGACAGCAGTAGGTAATATTTAACACGAGAGGACACTTGATGAGAAATAGAAAATAATCTATAACGCTCAAAAATCGCGTTAAGATCTCATGGTACCGAGTCTGTTAACAAGGGAGCTAGGGAGCTATAGCTTTCTTGATTAGAGACTCGTATTATAATTTTTTATACAATCCTTTGTTTGAATTCCTTTTTTCGAAACCAGTATTGTCTAAGAGTAAAATTCTGTTACCAGGTGTGTTTTCTTACAATTTTTTTAAGGACTGCAAGAAATATGCTTCACGGCGTGGCGTGCAGATTCCTCGCAAGGCCCTTAATGCAAAGATGCTATTTACAATATTTAGAAGAGTAGATCCTCGTCACCCTCGTCCAGCATATTAGCGGCATCAACGGCTTTACCAGAGGCGATCATCTCCAACCTGGCAGCCTCAACCTTAAAGTAGAAAAACATGGTGAAATATAAAAAATTTGGAAGAACATTAAGTTAGTTTGTAAAGCTGCCTTACTTTGGCTTTTGCCTGCTTCTTCTTGTCTTGAATCTTCTTCAATCGGTAGAACTCTTCTCTCTCAAGCTCGTCTAGCTCAGAGATGATGTAGGCTAGAGTTTTCTCGATTCTTGGAATGATAACGTGCTCAATGGCGTTCACACGGCGATTTGTGATTTTGATCACCTCGTCCAATGTGACAAAGCTGGTTTGAAGAGAAGCTAATTCGACCAAAAGCTTCACTGAACTTTGATAATTTTTCTTCAGCTTGGCTAGCTGTTGTCCACCACGAGCCAATCCAGCTAGCTCGTAAGTGTCCGTACCATCTTGGTATGATTCAAACACTGGGAGATTTACACCAGCAACGTTATCCTTTTTAGAACGTATTTTTATTTGTGCTTTAGTCACATTCTGAAGGACTACTTGATTAAAGTCTCCAGTTGCAAACTTTGCTTCAGCTAGAGAGAAGGCGGCTTCTTTCATCACCTCTCCCATGAGAGTTTTCGTCTAAAAAGAAGAGATATTATTCACAATTGTAATAATTATTCTGTTGAAGACAGTTATATTGTGACAATGGTGTATTGTAAGATCTTTTAATAGGTGGAGATCTGTAACTTGAAGGATTATACATTGCTTGTACATACCTCAATGATTTTTCCTAAAATCATCCTAAAACGCATTTGCAATGCATCTGCCTTTTTCTTAAGCAATCCATGACCCTTTTGTGCCCCTTGAAGACGGGACTTCATTAACATTTGGGCACTGCAAAAAGAGAAAAATAAATTGGATGAAAAAACTGACACCATTAATAAATACTTCACTAATATTGGACTGCAATCACGAAAAGCAAATGAATAATATCAAAATATGTATAGTGAAACTGTAGCACAACAATGCTAATACTATTATAGCATTGTAAAATTAAACATAAAAATCAAGGTTTGTATCATTGATTTATGAAATAATTGTAATACTAATGAGAAACTAAAATTGAAAAACTAATGTAAATCATACAAATCCAAATAAAAAAATTGCGAATTTCTGAAAGTAGGGTTACACCCACTTTTTGGAGCATAGACAAAATCTAGGATAACAATGATTTTAGAATTTTGCAAACAGTACTAAAATATAGTATGAGCATTCCAAAATACGTAGACAATTATTTTAAATAGAATTTCATGAAAGACTCACCCCCGAGAAGGGAAAATTGGAAGCCTGTCTTTTCCCGACATATTTGCTAGTACAGTCAAGCAGCCAGGAACGGGATTGATCAGCTGACTCTGAAGAGCCGAGGCTCGAGGTGCATAAAAGGAAATGGATCGGTACCAGCAAGACTTCCATTTTCCCCCTAAATAAAATATTACTCTTACATGCAATATCAATCATTCGGTATTTCTTCATGGTATAGAGTATCAATAAAATACTTATTGTCATGGAATCATGATATATTTTGCTTCGTATGATGTGAGAAAGGTCAATCTTTTTTCTGTATCTAGGAACTTTTTCAACTGCTAGGTTAACTTCGTGGGAGGACTGTATATGCTTGTGATGACGAATTTGAAAAGATATTACCTGCGTAGAATTAAGAAAATTACAAATTGAAAATATGCATGAAATTTATAAGTTGATAGAAATCATTGACGAGTCTTATATTTTTACTAATATTAATTTTTTGGACACACAATAGAAACTAAACACAAGAATGATGATGTTGAGCAGTTATAAAAATATGGAACCAACAGTTTGACAGTTTAGATTTTATAATCATTAAAGCTTTTGGAATTAGGTCTGAAAATTATAAAAGAATTTTGGAATATATATTTTATTGATTGTTGACATGAAGTTGTTGGTCGATGCATATTATTCTTTTTCGGATCTCAAAAAATTTTTTATATACCAACTAACAGTGGAGAATCGCTGTTTCTACGTGGGTGAAAGTAAATCCAATAATTCTTTGAGGATTGATTTTCGTGCTCTTAATTTTCCACGAAGAAATAACTGGCAACCAGGAGTCATAAGAACAGCTTGCGAAGAAATACTCATAAGGATGAGTATACCACAATTTCGAAAAATAAATGTGAAAATTAGGTTTGTATATTTCCTTTACTGGTACCCGGCAAATCTTTATTCAAATGACAGTATTTGATATCTCTTGTTTTTATTTTTTTCCTTGAGATATTCAAGACGATTAAACCGCCAATAGAGTTTCGTTTGGGCATATTTATTGGCGAAAAGTATTCTAATAGGACTTACGTAATATTTATAGTGAATTATCGGCCGCTTAGGACGTGATGGCAGCAACATGGTCCTTCATGCCCCATTAGTATCAAAAGACTTCTTATTGAATAACGCGGTCGAGGAAGCGATCTGTATCATACTGGGTCCATATGTTCCAACTTCAAAGAGAAAAATTAGCCATACCGAGGATTATACTTTACAACCGTTAATTACAATTTATTCAGCGGAAAACCAATTAAAGGATCGTGTGGAACGACAAGAACGTATGAAAAATTCTAACAAATTTTTGACTCAAATGGCTATGGTTGCTTGGGACTTTTTAAATTTATCAAGTATTTTTGAACGAAACAGAGATGACAGAAACTAACACAGACTAATAACTGTATGTACATTAATGATGATCAAGTATTTTGATACATGATGGATATACAAAAAAGAATTTTTGAACAATAAATATCATTATCACATATTTTAATATTTTGTACATTTTAATATAAAGTCATCTGACCAGACTTTAATACTTGTCGTATATTCATATTTATTCTAGCTTCTGATATATACATCTTTGCCTTTTTCCAGTGGTCAACATTTTTTGATATGGATGTATTGCTTTCACTTGCATTATTTGTTTCCCAAGGTTTTATAATTGTTGGTAAGATTTTTGGTACTCCGTGATATCTCAATCTGGAACCTTCTGACATCACTACAATATCACCACTTCTTAAATACATGGCTACAGCTGGTTCTTCTTGTGTGAGACCTCCAATAAGAAAAATAGCTGTTTGCCCGAAACTTATTGAAAACAATGGTGCGTCTATATTGATTTCAGAGTGATCTGTGTGTCCTGCTAATGTTGAATTCATTCTGTAGTAATTTATAATGGCTGCTTCTGCTTTAAAACCTTGAAAACCAATTGCATCTGCTAAAATATCCATAAGCTTAACAATTTCCAGAGGCATTTGCGTTTTCAAATCTTCTGAATACTTCTTGGTGTCCCAATTGTGATGATAGCCGAGTGTTGTCCATCTTAATTTGGACAAAAGATTTTTCCCTTTTTCTGGATTCCTATGATAGCAGATTTCTTTTCTCAAATCCAGTTATATACAAATAAATAATAAGATTTTACTTACCCAAAAGTAATGTCCCACCATGATTCATTGTCATTTAAAACATTATGTATATCTAAATTTAATTTATTTGGTTTTTTGGAATAATCTTTAAGACATTTAAGTATCCAATACTGTTGACCAATTTCAGTGAACGGATTTTCAATAAAAATCAGCCCTAAAAAGCAAGAACTATAACCAATAATATTTTTTTCAAAGACACATACTGTCGTAAGAATGCATGTCCAGCAATAATCATGAAAAAGCTAAATAAGCTAAATAAACTCAAATGTACCTGGAACGTCAATTAGTTCATAGACTCTCCATTCTTTTATAGGTTTCAAACCTAATTTATCTCCCTGTTGATTTTCAACACACTGTGTCGTTATGATTCTAACCTAAAACAACCTGACGTGTGTAATCATGACGAAAATACTGCACAACAATACTACACATACCTTGTTCAGATCTGGTATTGAAAAATCAACAACATCTTTTAAATCCGGAGGTGGATTTCTACTTTTATAATATTTAAAACTGTCTTTAAACATTCTACATCCAAGCCATGGAGGCTGCCATTTTTCGAACTACACATAACTATCGGGTACCCAGTCGCAGTGATTCTCGCAATGTTCATAAAAAACTTTGCATTGGTTATCATCAATCACATACTTTTTTCCAATTGATTTGAAAGTAGAGCTGCACCCAAGTAAGCGCGTTCTTTAATAATACCGAAATCATTACTCATTCAATAATCCGTTATTGAATGTCAATCAGAAGTATTCGCGGCAATGATCTAGACATATATTCATAAGAAGATCAACAAGTCCTGATCCACTTTTACTCAAGTAGATGCAGGATCCGAGCAGACCCACCTTAAGTAGTTACGCAGAAAATTCTAATACGTAAAGAATTATATATTTATCCACTATAAAAATGTCTACCTAATGAATTCCACCATCGACTTAATGTAACCGGTAGCATTAATAGCTTCCAATTACGTTCATTGTTTTACATATCTGACCATTTGCCAGTGCAAATTGCATTGAGAAAGCGCGCATTTCCTTGCATCTTTTTAGGCCCATCCCATTCCCAGCTAATAGTGTATGACTAAGTTTAGAGTGTAATTTTCGCATAATAGCCAACACTGCTTGGAAACTATGATTTCATAGAACAAGAGAGGCACGCCGCATTAGCCTCAAGGTTTTTGAAAGCTCGCCGTAAATTAATAGCGCACCTCCGTCGGCAAGGATTTAATAATCGGCATTTACTCTCTGCCCGCTATTTGCGGTAGATCTTGACCACCCTGCCTCTGTTGAATTTCCATAAACTCTGGAATAGCCAACCCACGCCTGAACGAAAACCTCTTCCCGGTTCGTCTACAAGAACAACCATATGAGTGGATAATGCCGGAAACTCAATCCCACAATCAAAATCTTATTCCACACTCATTAATAATAAACACATCTTGTGTAGAAAATCTTCGCCATATTTAGTTTCATCATTCTAACTTTTCCTAGGAATGGATTCATTCCCAGAAGATGTATGACTACGGCTTAACGATAAATCCGTAAATCTCCAACAATGATCTGTCTAAACAGTATTTAAATGTTTTCCATAATTTACCATGTACATACTTTCAATCATTAAATCTTTTAATGCCTCCAAGCGTAGTTTTTATAACGATGTCCCTTTTCGCAAGCACCATTGCGTAAATTCCTTTTAATCCCATACAAGATTCGGGACAGGCTCAGTCCGCGTTTCAATTTTCATCGTCCGCTCGAGAAAATTTTAAGACGAAGCAAATGCATAGTACTAAAAACATATACATTCCTCTTCCGGTTTGCGTTTTTTTAAATCTCATTTTTCTCTCCTCAACAGATTTACATAGATACGTACGGAGTGCCGGTGCGAGAGATGGCTTGCGAATTCCCTGACAGTTTCATGTCAACAAATGTCGCGTTCGCGAGTCGCACCCAGCGGCTTCGATTCCCTCCTATATTCGCAGCCGTCCAATGAGCGTCAACGGTCACGTCACTGCCAGCCAATCCCTGACTTTCTCGGTGACGACAGAACCTAAAAATAACCCGTATATATCTAGGCCGGTCGCGGCCGCGAATTATCTACAGTCGTGCGCCGGCAGCCGACAGTGGAAGACCCTTGGGCGTCTGTTCGGAACACAGTTTGCATCCAAGGTAGGACCCGTACCTACAGCATGCTTTACAAACCGCGTGTCCTACGGACGCACGTGTGTACGACCTCTCATACCCTTCCTCTACTTCCAGTTCCTTTTCCACTTCATGTACGACTCCTATATATATATATGTACATACTACATATCACATACGCTTGCTTTACGCATCTACCGGGTGGAACGTGAATTATCTTGACAATTCATCAGTGCGGTTTAAATTTTCAAGACTATACAAAACCGCTCACCCGTTAGCTGTCACGAAATCGTTTCGAACCTTCGAAAACTCCAGGGTTGATGTTGCGATTCTCTACAGTATAATAACTTTCGGTCGTACATGCCGGTTCGGCACTCGGAGATGTTTTATATGACCAGTTTATTGGGTCGTACGCGCGACAGCAATTATTTGGAGTCGTTTACGAGTACGTTTTACGTACCGATCGTAAAGATCGGCTTTGCTAAGGCTGTTATTACTTTATTGTATTTAGTTAGTGCATCAGTTCTTTATTTTTGAAAGTGAAGATCGACGACATTGCTTTTATGTCTCAAGGATACACGCGAAGGTTAGGATTTTCAGTGATGTCGAATTTTTCGTATGTTAAAAATGGCTGCTCGCGTAGTGACACTTTTCTTCCTACATTGCTGCACATAAATTTGAGTGAGACAACAAATGCAAAATAACATACGAACATCTGGATGGTTCAAGGAGTCAGACCGACTTGACCTTTGTTTTTTTTTTCGTCGTTCCCACAAATGATTCGACGGTACCGTTAAAGAAGAGATGCGTTAAGGATTTACAGTGGTTAATATTTATTTTCTATACTCTCTGACACCCGAGACAAACTGATATTACGCTAAAGCGTTACTTGCTATCTTTGACATCACCGTATTGTTACGTCGCCTCGCTTATTATCATTAAAAATTGAAATCGAATCGAAATCAAAAGTCAACGAATATAACTGACATTTTCAAAAGTTCAGAGAACGTCACTAGCGCAGGGCTTTGATATCCATCGTAAAAACATCAAGGCAGCGCGGAGCAGTCAGTTATCTCGACAGTTTTGTTTTGACTCTTCCAGATCGTTCGACAATCGACACCAAAAGGTATTAAGATATAAAGAAAACAGAGCAAATTTTTCAACATAATATGTGAGAATTAAGTCTTTATTTTTCCTTCATTTTTATATAATCGCCCGGGAAACTAGGACGTCTCGCTTATATGTTTTTCTCATGAATATGAAGTCGCATAACTATTCGTCTCGGAGACTCGTTACCGTCAGACGCCCTCTAGATTCTTAACAGCACACACATATTTGTTTCTCCACGTATTTATATTCTATGGCACATATATATATATATATATATATATATATATATGCAATCTAGTGTTTTTAATGGAAAGACCTTAAGCACCAGTTACGTTCGTTTCGTTTCATAGATAACCTGCTTTAGCACGCTTTAGCTTACTGACCCCACTTACGTTAATTACAGATACCATTACCGTATACAGCCGAATTGTCACACTTCATATAAATTATTAGAAAATTGGTTAAGCTCATTTACGATTACCGAGGTCGTATTGGCTTCGATCAGTATGATTTTAACGTCGGCGTGTCGGATCTTTCAAAACGAGGAACAGGTGTTAGACGAGTCTCGTGGTTGCGTTCGAGTAGACCCATATGTTACATACGCATCTTTCATACTTATACGGACATATACGTAAGTACCTCAAGTGCTATCGGTTATCGAACAATTATCCAAAAAGTTCATAAGAGAAAATTTCGGTTCGCAACAAGATCGGCCGTCAGCGAACTTATTGTGTTGATATTTGCAAGTTTACGATTAGCGACCTGGCGTTGATTTTATTTGTCAGATTTACACAGGGATTAGACTAATTAAAAAGAAGAAATATTTTGTATTGGTAACACGTCCGCAGATTAAACGTCAACTTACGTGCACAGAGGGAATCACGCTAAGAACGTGACAATTGACAGGAAAAGCTTAAACAACCAACTGACAGTTGGGATCCAGTTGAGCAGCGTTGGGTAGCTGTTCACGTAGGTAATAATTGTCTTGCAAGAATGTCAGAGATTCTCTGCGCTTCGACCATGACCTTACTGACATTTGACTGGAAACCGAGTCGTTAACGCGTCTCCATGCCGGAATACATTGACAAGATGGCGATGGTGTCCATATCCGCTAGGTCTTGCCATAGGAAAAACTCTGGCAAGCGGAGCTCTGGGCCATTGAAAATTGGAACATGGAACGAAACCACAACACGGACTCATGAATATGTAAGCGTGTTCCGTAATTATGCGAACCTTAAGGTACACTATGACGGCTAGGCAGCCCCAAGCACTATAATCAGACGTGTCTGGTAAGGTAGCCGTAAAGGAATATACAATTCAAATGGCAACGTAGCCACAGTTGACAGTTGTCACGATTATAATAAATCAGTAATATTTCATAATTTTAATAAGTTAAAGCACGGGGAATTAATCCGTGTCGATTAGGAAAACGTAACTCGTTGACTTGTCGAGCGGTAAAATGGGTGTTTTTATTGTCCTTCAGATTTTTCGAGCCTGCTATACGTGCCGCGAGTGCGAGAGAGACGGACTTATGGCCGGGCGCGTGCATAAGAGAGAGACATGCATACCGACAACCGGAATCGTGGGTGACTTCAGTACTTTCATAGATGAAGCTCTGAGTGACACGAACAGTTATATGATTCGATATATTTATATGATCTAACAGTGATTAACTCAATAATCTATGTTATTAAACTTCCCTCTCTTTTACTTGCGTACAGTGCTGTCAAATTTCACTTGACTATAGGGCGACCATTTGACAGCTGTCAAAATCTTTTCACTGGTGCTAAATAATCCTGGTACACGCAAGGCTATGTACGAATTTTCATATGCTGTAGCTTTTTCCATCGAACTCTGTTCTTCCGTTAAACTGGCTTTTTTATATTCTTTTTATTTTCTTTTTCTTCGTCTTCATTCGTGCGTACGCTCACGTCTATCAGCAATCTCGCTAGAGCCACGTCCAATGGTCGTGGCACGTTTGCCGAATTTCAAGATACCCAACATCATGGAATAAAAGATAGCTGATGCAAGAGGGACTAGGAGAGTGGTTGGTCGGTCCGACGGACAGAAAAGAATAAGAAGAAAAAAGTGGCTCAGGTTCCGTAGCGAAAATAGATACCGCCAAAATACGCCGGCTAGCAGGTGTCCCGTCGAAGGCGGATCTATCCGTGCTCGATAATCCCGAGGGATCTTGAATTTAGGCCAATCAGGTATATACATATATATGCCAGAACAACACGAAAACTCATAGCAACCTCCGTGTGGTACTGACTTTTCATACTGTGCGATATTTTCTGAAATCATTAATACCTTCACTCGCGCATGCGCGTACGTATGACTTACAGCTACCATTGGCTGACTCTCACGATTCTCTAAGATTATCATCTCGACGGCAAGATTAATTTATTCGTTTATTTTTGCCGTGCTCGATCGTAAGTTCTCGTCAAAATTGAAATAATGCCGGGCCTCGAGTTTTCTGCCAAGCCGCCACTTTGTATTATTGTGTAAACGATGCATATAATTGTCAAAGGGACGTCTGGGTTCGAGGGTACGTCTTTGGGAGCAGCCATATATCACTGCGTAAGTCGTTCGTACTTCTCTCTAGCTCGACGTTTGACAGTAGTAAATAGAAATGCCATCGAGCTGTCTCGCGCTTTTGTCGCACCCGTCCAGATCCTGTTTCTTATCCTCGTTGAAAAATCGGTCGAAGCTGTAAGCATTAAATAATCAGGCAATATCGTATTGCGCATGCGCAACTTCACCTACCGCAAGCAATTCTCGTAACCAGAAAAGGTCGATGGATCGATTTCTCATTTTTCAAAATTGAATAACTACATCCAATCACTTGTTTTTACAACACAGAAATCGCTCCGGCGCCTCGTGGGAGTCTGTTAATTGTTGTCATTTATAATACCCACGTATCCAGGTAGACTGTCGTTCACTCCCGGAGAAAGGAATTTACAATAATCTTATAGTGTTTACTATATAGATATCTTCACTAGTAGACAGGATCCTGTCCGGTCTGTTTCTATGTGAACAATATCGTTATATATATATATATATATATATATATATATATATTCTATACCCTTGTTGTTTGTACCTTGACTGCTGACTTAGTCCCATTTTATTCCACGGAGATCCTCAGCGCGGAGACGCAGAAATCGGGTTCGAAGTGTTAACTGGAATTTCGGATGGCTCCTCGTCGAGGTCGTTCTTTTAATTTCTTTTTTTTTATTTCTTAGCAGGAAGAAGGAGGGATCGGCAATAAGGTGCGACCCTGAACAGGGATTCTCTTATGTTAGTTAGATACACACCAGCGGAGACTCAAAGTGGTTCCATGGCGAAAATAGTCTCTGGATGAAAACTATTCCATATGTATAGCAAACATAGTATACTCATAGTAGATACGTACGGTAGTGGTACAAGTTCTCCTCGTATTCGGATCTCGAATTCAAGTTTGACCTTAGCCACGAATTTGCGCCCGTATGCCAGTATCGTGTTGGAGACCAGTTTGAATAGTGGATGCGGGCAACGAGCATTAATCTCCATTAAATTTCGTTATTTTCCTTTAATTTCTCAAACACGGAAGCCCCGCTTAGCCTTATATACCTATACGCGTACACACGCCACAGAAGTCCCAAGGAAAGCGACGCTAATGAAGGTTTTGAGTTTTTCCCTCTTTTTTTATTCTTTATGGCCAACATAGGAAATATTACTAGTTAAGGCGGCATACATTTTTTTTCGTATTACTTTCAATGTCGTCTCAGACACTTTTCTCTTATTTATTGTATATTTTTATTTCTTATCAAAAATTTTAAATAATTTATCTCGCGCTTACGTATAGGTATGGCAATACTGCCGTTGCTCGTCCGATCGATCGATCGATCAATCATCCAACGGCTCGCTACCATAATCATTGCTGAGCTTGCTTCAAGTTCGTCCGAGTCAAAGAGTCACGTGTGACTTTAGCTCGGACTCAAATGTTAAGTCGCGCTCCTCACGCACGGGAGTCCCACACAATAGTCACATTGTGCGCACGCACAGGAAGCATAAATTTTACGAACACCAAACATAGCGGAGCCCGTGGTATGAAAGGCGGGCGAGAGTGAAATATAATGCGCTTGGGCTTGCGGGCGTTACGCTCGGAAGAGCCGCTAAAGTAATTCGATGTAATTAGCCCGTATAATTGGGTGGCGGTCGAAAGCTACACGAGGTCCCTTAGCGCGTAGTTCTTACATCAAATTCTATCCCGCGTTTCCTCGTTCTTTTTTCTCCCGCCCCGCGCCCCCCGGCCACCGAAAAGAAACAGAGAAACGATTTTAGGTTAGGTTAGGTTTAGTCAGCTATCCCTTGGGATTTCTCCAAGTAGATGTATATAAATTGATAAACGACTATTAGCGTTATTATTATTATTATTATTGCTGCTATTATCATCATTATTGTTATCGTAGCTCCTTTCCTTTCCTTTGCGGCTTCTTGAGCCTGGTCCGAGTTTATCGCCTTCCTCCCTTCCATTTTTTCTTTTTATGTACTATTCGGCTTCTCTCCTTTTTTTTTTTTCTTCTTTCCATGTCTCTTATTCTTTTCTTCTCTCATTCATACTACTCGTCTCTCTCTTTTTCTGTTATACTGCTACCTCCTCTTTTTACCTCGTCGATAATTCTCCTTTTTATTATTCGCACTGTTTAATATTCATCGAGCTTCCTCTCTTGTCTCGAGGCTCCTTGCACGCCTTGTACTTAAGACGTCTCGCGGAGTATCCTCTGCCGTTATAATAGCTGATCGACTGGAGACGCGCGATATTAAGGCGGTAAGCGCCGACTCACGGGCGTCTTCGGGTACGACGTGGCGGGCCGGGGGGACGTCGGGAGGACGATGCGTTGCGACGATGAATTGGGCATGCTTTGCAGCGTATGCCCACGCCAGTGGGATCTACCAAAAAAGCGCGATAAAAATTTTCTCGCCAGATGGAAGCGATTGCGCAAGATCCGTATGATGTTTCGTTACATGGGAATACTTGGGTGAGAGAGTTTTTCGTTTTTTTTTCACTGTAATAAAAAAATATATGTATGGTACTGTATCGAATAAAAAAAAAATTAATACGATCGTCCCAATGCTATCTACGTGTATTTTGCCTGTATTATTTCAGTCGCAGGTAACTTGAGGCTCAAGATCAGTTCAGTGTAGAGTCAGCTTGGTAACGGTCTTACATACGCTAAAAGGTTACAAGGAGAGCCCTGTATCGGTTTTGTATATAATACAGGCAACCTCCAGACTTCCTATCTGGAGATAAGGTTGATAAAATGGCTACGGTCGATGCACGTTTCATTTGATGGGCTAGGAGGATTAGGCGGACGATGGACGTAGACGGGAAGGAGCGACGAGTTGTATACTAAAGTAGAAGTTGAAGGGAGCGAGAGGGAGAGAGAGAGATGGAGGACACGAGAACGAGTAAAATAAATTAAAACGAAAAGAAGCAAATTGACCAATTCAAAGAGGCGCGTCGCGATCGTGCCCGATTATTTATAGACGCGACCCCTTCCTTCTATTCCCTAAGCCAACCAACCGCCCCCGTGAATAACGCGGAGTGCAACGACGACGACTGGCCAAACGAATTTTTAGCGGTTTTCCTATCGGAAAGCTCGGCCTTCTTTTTTCGACTTTGTGAAACAATTAAAATATCTCGACGACCGACGCCATTACGCTTTCCCAGAGATCACCCGATCTAAACGTGTCAAATCATACATCAAAATCAAACATTTTCTATTTATAATCTTAACGGCCTGCAGCTAGCGACGGATAAGAGTCAACATCTGTTTCTTCACGTCGATCAATCAATCTTTTATTATCGTACGCGTTTTTATTGGCTTTATTGTTTTTTTGACTTTTTTTTTTCATACGTCATTACATCGACGATGCATTTTTATAGGTTATATCATCGTTCGCAGTGCGTACCTTGTTCGATTCATTATATATATTCCGTCAGCTGCTTCATTCTAGCTCTGCTAGGTTAAGATCCTTTTGTTAATTCTGGAAAAGCTTCTGCGTGATGGAAGTAACTGCCATAGAAAAATATCCGCTCTCAAAGCCGTCGCTCGGACGGACTCTGGTACGTTGTAGCACAGTCGCCGAATGTATATAGGTCACTAGGTATGCCGTCTGCTAGCAGCGAAGCCCTTTGTCGCGTCGAGCGTCTGTGTTGAGAAGTCGAGGCCCGAACGTCTAGAAGAGACGGCGATTTAATGTGTGGCGAGTGTAGAGGCGATTGCGTATTGTGGTTTGAGGTTATGGTGAAGGAGGATGTTTGCGATAGGGGGTGGCGGGGAGGGAGTCGGTAGTGAATGGTGTGTAAATACGAAGGAGGATGAGGACAAAATTGAGGAAAAGAGAGAGTAGAAGGGCATTAGGCACCGAATACGGAACGAGTCGATAAAAATTCTTACGAAAGACACGACCGTTGGGCAATATCGAGACTCCGCACGATGCGGAGTGTCCGTCGTCGCGGCGAAATGTCGCTTCTTTGAAAATTCTCGAGGTCGAAAACGCTCGCGTGATGTTTACATAGTACGTCGTCTTGTGCGGACGGGGCCTGAGACTTTCGTGACGTTACTTTGTCAAAACTATTTTTGACACGCATTGACAGCCTTTTAACGTCGGTACGGATCACCCACGTTGTTTCAACCTTTCGAGTCGTTCGTTGCACTCGAAAAATATGTATTCGCTCATTTAATACGCGCCTTTAGTCGCTACAAGAGTCGCGATATCGATTTATAAATTTTTCGTAATATTTTTTTTTTCATTTTTGTTTCTGTCTCTCACATACTTGCACATTTCAATTCATACGCATGTCGGTGAATACACAATGGCATTATAACAGATAATACAGATAGATAATGATCTTGACGTCCACGATAAAAATGTGCTGATGAATCATAAATAAGAACGTACCGAGGATCGATCTACGTACGATTATCGAAGTTGTTTTGAATCCTCGCAAGCGATCCTGAATTTCGATTGGGCAATACCTGTAAGTGATAATTTTTATAAACATTTCCCATGGACCTACTCGTACTGGCGTTATGGATTTTTCGTGAAAGTATTAAAAAAAAATTTTTCTCGAAACGCAATCGATCGATAGATATCTAAATAAATCTGACGTTTATCGAGTGGTGCATTATTTTAAAAAGAGATAACCGTATTTCTTTTGCAGGTTAAATGTGAAAGGGCAACATGTACAATTTGAACGTGAATGTGAATCCCAGTTCGACGGCTGCCGCGGGTCTGCTTGGCGTCGCGGCGGCCGAGGTCACTCCAAGGACACCGGAAATCGTCAACTCTCTTATCGCCATGACCAATCCCTTCGAGGGATACTCGAATGAGAAAAGTCGGGATCGCACGGATTCTATGAGCAGCAACGAACCGAGTCCGCCCAGCGTTCAGCACACCTGCAGTCAGCTTATAAAAGAAGGTATATTTAATGTAATTTCTTAGGGCGTTTCTATACGTACATATAGAGATAGTATATCACGCAGCGTTTCGTGACCGGCCACTGGTCGGGATATAGAGGACTCGCTGACGCTGCCGTTGAAATAGAAACGGGAAGTTGGACATTGATTAAATACTAGTGAATGAACACGCAGGGTTGAAGTTGACACTTCAGACGAAGAGGAGGGCCAACGGGAGCAGCGATGAGAGTAAGAAAAAGTCGCGGAAGGAGGATGGAAGTGCGGACGACGAGGAGGAGGATGAGTCCAGTAATAACAGCACACGAGGCGGTGTAAGAATTATTATTATTATTTTTCACATAATCTTCGCAGTCGACTTCATTTCAAAGTTAACCTAAAATCTTTATTGCTACTCAGCGTACCTTTTTGTACCGTGTGCGACACGTAGAGCCAACGCCCTGAATATTTTCTTCTCCAGGGTGATAACATTAGAGATTTGTCTAAAGGAACTTGACCTGTCCTTCTAGCTGACCCCGGAGGACGAGGAGAGACGCCGTAGACGACGGGAACGGAATAAAATCGCAGCGACGAAGTGTCGTCTTAAGAAGCGAGAGAAGACTGTCATCCTGGTACAGGAGTCTGAGATCCTCGAGACCCAGAATCACGACCTCAAGTCTCAGATACAAGAACTGGAGACTCAGAGGCGCAGGCTCGTGGACATGCTCAGCCTGCACAGTCCGACGTGTCTGAAGCAGGGCGGCTCGACGGACACCTCCTTTCAGCAATTTGCTGAACCGTTACCACTGCCGAGCTATCAGGAGAACTTTGCACCCCCGGCTCTCAATCAACCTCAGAATTGCGTCACGGAGTATCCCGTAAAGGTCGAAGGTTATGACGGTACGACGCAGGATTTTTATCGACAAAATAGTCCATACGTGCCGACGTCGGATGCCGGTTGTACAGTCTAGTAGTTGTACTCGTATCCTAGTACTCTACCTGGGGACACGATGTCCTGGTTACCATTGAAATACCGGTCGAAAAATCACTAAGCTCTCTCTACGACGGTCCATCTGTTTCATTCTGTAATCTCTAGTGATTCGTATCGATCGACTTTTTTTTCTCATGCTTCGTGATATGTTCTTTTCTCTTTTCACGATTCGTCTCTTTATCTCTCTCTCTTTCTCTGTCTCTCTCTCTCTCTATCTGCATGAATCAATGCTATCATACCAGGACATACTTTTCGACGGTTTGCACGATGTATCGAAATTAGTTGTTTTACCACTGTTTTCACAAGCGTAGAGCTGATTGACGCGACGGAAGGAAGGACAATGCATTCCACGTTTGTATTAAAGAAAAGAAGAAGAAAAAAATATGAATAATCAGATTATCGAAGATCGGTTCATTGTTTTGTTTGTCTGTTTGATATTCAGAGATTCTCGAGAGGTGCTTCGGTCGGCAGGTGCACACGTGCACGTAGGGATTACCAGCTTCACGATTCGATGGAAATCAGCAAGAGACGATCGCGCCTCTTATCCTGGTAGCCAGCATCCGTCCCCGATATTCTTAAGCACTAGCGATAAGTTCTTTGCGATACTTTGAGTGAGAATATCCGTTTCTCTCTGACTCTTGGACTTTCTCTCTATACCGTTATTGTTGTTTTTCTTTTTCTTTTCCTCTCTTTCTCTCTCTCTCTCTCTTTCTCTCTCTCTCTCTCTCTCTCTCTCTCTCTCTCTCTCTCTCTCTCTCTCTCTCTCTTTCTCGTTTTCTCGTGTCTCTCACTCCGCCTCGCATTTTTCTGCCATTCAACTCTCGTATTTTCCTTCTTTAAATTGGCTCGTTGCACACTTTCCAAAAGATAAAAAACAAATGCGATCGAGGAAGAGGGACACGCGTGCACTATTACGTGTGCACGAAATAACGTACGCGACGCATCTCTGTCATGCGTACAACAGACGTGCGCACCACTCTAAAACATTCCTTCGTAGTAACTCTACTGTGACATTCTTAAGGCCTTAAAAAATAATTGATACCGTAGCGTAGGCGTATGCAACCTTCGCGATCTCGCATGGAGGCGAGTTTCTTTCTTTCTCTTTTTTTTTTTCATTTCTTTTCTTTTGTATTTATACGGTTACACGTTGCGCCGCCATTGTATGACACTTTCGGGAGGTTCGTCTCGACGACAATGCAATTGTCGTTGCTCGATTAGATTCTCGGGCTCAGTTTGCTCTCTTACCACCGATGATCAAAATCATTGATTGAAATACGAATTGCGGTGGGCAGGGACGCGTGGGGACGCCCGTGGGATCGCGAAGGTTGCGTGATTTATTAAACGGAATCGGGACGACCTGAGATATCGTTTCGAGTAAGTGCAGGACATTACTTTATCTAACGCATACGAAGTACTTCTCGATTCCGCGTGACGAAGTACATACCCAGTGTATGATAATACTTGTTGATATATATATATATATAATTATATATATATATATTTTTTGTTCAATTAACGATTAATAATCGTGCCGCCGCCGCAGCCCCCCTCCCCAAAAAATGCGTACAGAGGATACTTATAATTATATTGTATTACGATAATATTTAATAATAATTGTTACGTACACATACCTTTATAATCTGTTAATGTTTAATGGACATTTAATTATGACGATTAAGCGTAATATTCGTTAAGGAGAGATATAAATGAAGAACCACGTGCCTAACAAACATACCTCAATGTTACTTGCGGGTAGTTACCCCCCTCCCCCCGAGATCTTTTCGCGTTGTTATTTAATGATTTTTTCATTATTATTATTATTGTCGTAGTACGAACGTTTTTACTGCTTAGCAACTAAAGTGAAAATAACGTAATGCAATTACAATGCGGCAAGATTAGCAAGGATCATTGAATATGTTAATGAATGTGTTTGCTTTTGAATTTTCAACACGCGAAAATACCTCGGGCGACTATTCGAGCGTTCACGTAATTAACGCGAGTTAATTTGATTATTGGAAGAACGCTGTAATTAAGGAAACGCTTAAGGTCCCAGGACTAGACGCTTTTTTTCGGAGTGTTGTTGCCATAGTAGTCGAAGCAACGTGATATCGTTTTTTTTTTTTTTGTTTTTTGGAGATTCTAGAGAGATGTCGAATAATATGAAGAAATATAGAAACGTTGCATCGTTCTCATTATCGTACGTGTGACGCAAGCGGACTGTATGGCAGAGACATATTTTTATCACGAAAATATTCCAAACACGTTCGCCACGTCGACTTAAAAAATTTGTTAAATATGCTTCGTAGCTTTAATGTTTCTCCCTATCCTAAAAGTTTAAATGGCTGAACTCGATTCGACCGTTGATCCATATTTGAAGTTCAGGGCGATGGCAAAGAGTAATATGTCCGGGACACAACAAATATTTTAAAAAGAAATGTCACGTTCAATCGTAATACTGCCAGCGCAAGTCGCAAAGCATACTCTAGCTTTTAAGTGATCGTAGATTTTGAATTTGGCGGCATTATGTATATATATGTTGTCCCGTGTTGAGTTATCGTGAGAAAATCAAGTGTTGCCTTTCCGTTCAGGTAGATTGATCTTTAATCAACGTTTGCGATGTTTTATCTGTTTCGTTCAAGACTACGTAATTTTATTACGTTTTAAATGTAAGCATTGGTGTTTTTACGGTTTGTCGCGACGCACAAGACTTTTAACAAGTTTGAAAATGTATTTAGACGGTATGTTCATTATTGTACTGTAGCAATTTATTATTTGTACGAAAAACTATCCTGTAATTTAGAAATGTATTGGATGTGGTATGGAAACGCTGATTTTTCAAGATAATTCAATACATGTGTATTTTGGAATTCCTCACAACTTCTATGGAGGGAGATATTTTAATGAGCGATATTTTATGATGTATAAATCTGTCATATTTCAATGGTCGAAAGAGAGTTGGCGCGATATTATTAATACTTTTTCTATACTCAGTACCTGGCTATGGGTTCCCATGCGATAGCCATTTTTCCATGAAAAGATTATTATTAACACGTTAAGATTGATATTGGAAAAATGGCTGGTGAAATTTTACTATTGTAACCTAAAGAAAAATCTATTCTTTAAATAAAAGTGCCTTAAATAATATTATCTCATGATATTTTTCCATATCTCCATGATAAATTACAATATACGAGTGCGGTAATTGAATAAGTAAAATATATTTGCAAAAGGAAGTTAGTTCATTTTATAGGAACTGTTACATACAAAATAGACGTAATAGATTTATGATTATGTCAAGAAGCAAAGTTAACTGTTGATAGATCTAAAAGGGTTGTAACGTATTTCAAGATAAATGTAAAATGTACGTTCCAAATATGTTAGGTTTGAACTTTGCGGAATTTTAGAAGGCGCTGCACGCGTAAACGCTTTTATGTTGGTAATATTGATCAAACAGTTGCCAAACATTATATCAGAAAAAGGCATGCTTGGCCTTGCTGTAGAGTGTTTGTATCTGAAAAGTAAACGAATCCTTTTGGAAAAATGACAAATTTGTCAGGAAATTTATATATAACTCTGTAGCGCGAAGAATTCACGAAATACAAATTCTTCGTAGCTAAAAGACATGACTCTGCCTGGGAAGTGTCCGCTCAAAAGTATCACTACATAGCATCTACACAAGTATCGAAAAGGTCCATGGAATACCGGCTTGGAAGCAGCAGAGGTTAAACTTTGGATGTTCATTAATCTTTCAAACTCGCACTCAACACTGCAGTCCAGAAAGAGAACTACTGACAAGTGAACTGTACGCATCCTGTGTGGTTTAACGAGAAAGAAAAAAATGTTTAAAAACACGTTTCAAAGTGGATTTCTATCCATTTTGTACAGTATTGGTAGCAAGCCACTCCAGATTTGGGATAAGAAAGTGCGAAATGGACATATCAAGAGAATAACTGATAATGACATTCAGAGTTTGGTGTTGGAAATACTTGGTAGTAATGTGAGTACGACATACATCACTTGTCCTGCTGATCCAAGAAAGACACTGGGTATAAAGTTACCATTTTTGGTAATGATCATCAAAAACTTGAAAAAGTATTTCACCTTTGAGGTTCAAGTAAGTTGGTTGTATAGATTTAATTATGTAGTATATGGTTTTACTTTGTGTTAATATGAATTTGTCTATTCTAGGTAATCGATGACAAGAACGTACGACGTCGTTTTCGTGCCAGTAACTATCAATCGACAACTAGGGTAAAACCATTTATTTGTACAATGCCAATGCGATTAGATGATGGGTGGAATCAGATACAATTCAACTTAGCAGACTTTACACGCAGGGCATATGGAACAAACTATGTGGAAACATTGAGAGTTCAAATTCATGCCAACTGCAGGATACGCAGGGTGTATTTTTCAGATAGACTTTATTCGGAGGATGAATTACCAGCAGAGTTTAAATTGTTCCTTCCGATTCAGAACAAAGCAAAGTGTTGAGATTAAGAAAGTGCCTATTTAAAAGTAATTTAATCTAAAAAGACTATGTTTTTTGTTAAAAAGTGATTCAGAAAGAATATCAAAACCACACTTGAAAATCTTTATCAGAAAAGTAAAAGGGACTCATTATACAGTTTCTTTGCTTGTTTCACTTTATTCAATACGCACAATAAAAAATGGTGTATAATGTTCAATACAACATTTTTCCTTATGTTACTTAATTTTGAATTTGTTATGCAAATAGTTCTTTCTCTTAAGATATATGTTCATCGAACAGCTCCAAATTCATGTTTATTTAAGCACGATTGTCGTTGAAATAACACATTTACAGCGTCAACTTCGTTATATTTTTCCGTACCTTCGATAATATCACAACCGATCTTGTCCTCTTTTAAAGATGAACAATTCTGTATCATATTTTCATCACATGTATTCCTTTCATCAGCATATAACATTTTTTCCTTGAATAATTCAATCTCAGACACAGGAAAATTTGGAGCATTTGATATTCTTGAAGTACTATTAATAATCTTTCCAACCGTATCTTCCACCATATCAGGAGTTATTCGAACATGAGTCGAATTTAATTCCAATAATGTAGTATCTAATTCATTTCTTAATTCCATACACATTTTATCATTTAAGACCAACTGTTCACGTTTCAGTGACATATCAACTTCTAAAGCTTTGATTCTACTGAGACCAGTGCCTTTACTAATACAACCTTTATGGCTCTTAATTAACTTCCCTTGTCCATAAGAGTTCCGACGATTTTTTGAGTTATAAATTGATAGTTCAATTTCAGTCATTGTTAAACCTTTATTGTGCAATTTTTCTAAGAGTTTCTTGTTTATCTTATGGCGCAATTCCAAAAAATTGCCTACAGCTTGATCAGTAGCCAATACTGTCTCTTTTGGTTTCCCATCTGAGGATTTTGACTGAACTTCAACAATATCTGGTACATTTTGTGATAACTCACTTAATTCATTTTGGGATTTAATATTCAATTTCTGTATATTTCGTTCTTGATGATTCAGTTCCTCTCGGATTCTTTGTACTTCGCCTATAATATTCTTTATGGTTTTGACGTTTTCTGTCTTTAAACGACTGCGACTTTCCTTAATTTTTGATTTATTCAATACTGAGTCAATATTTGGTTGTTCGTACGATTCTACATTTTGCTTGGAAATTGCGAGGCACTTATTTTTTTGCATTGCAAAATTGGAACTAAAATTCTTTAGACTGGTGTGTGGTTTTAGTACTTTTGTAATAGCTTTTGATTTCATATGGGCAACATTTTTTGATATATTTTTATCAATGGAATTATCAACAGAGGTATAATTGGTAGGCAATTCCTGAAATATTAGTCCTCTATCTTTGGATGGTTCATTACCAAAATTCTTACATATTTGTATTTTAAGATATTCGCTTTTCTCAATATACGGAAATGATTTTATCAATGAGTCGTGTTCGTTTAAATTTTTATATTTCATATTCGTTCCACTTGTTTGCACTTGTCCGTTTTTCCCCATCATTTCTTTCTGTCCCCTCGAATTTGTTACTTCCTTTTTTTCTATTGGTATATTCACAGAATAATTTGTAATGCTAGTCCTAACATTACTCTGCATTCTACCCAATTCAACGTTACTTGCTATCTTGACTTCTTTCCATAGTTCGTTAACGGATTTGGAATTCTTTTTAAAGACAACAGTTCCTTCGTTCGTCAAATTAGAAACAATATTCCTATTTTTATTAACAGGTCTTTCAATTAATCGCTTATTAGTATCATTAAATGCAACTGGACTCGAAGCTGTCATTAAAACTGAGGTTGTACTGTCAGTTGTAAAATATACCAAATCGCACGGCTGCAAAGGACCTAAAGTATAAGCATTAAATTAAGTCATTAAAATTAAGAGCTTACACATTATTAATATTAGGTAAGAAAATATCCGTATAAGTAATATACATAAATTATTTAAAACGCACCAGTTTCGGATTCCTCAGTTTGAGAACTTCTTTCAACTAAGTGGATACCCCATTTCAACATGTACATATCAAAAAAGGCTTGAATCAACTCGACTGGTATCTCTTCCTGTCCATAATGACGATCTTGTAAATGCACTCTTCTAATTCGACAATTTGGATATATGATAATACGTTGTAAAGCCTCATATTCCACGCCATAAGTACGTGAACATAATAGTTGAAAATTTATTTCTAAGTTATTCCAACCCTCTTCTAGTTTTAATGATAAGCAAGCTGCACTCATATCAGCAATTGGTAATTTTTCATGATTGTATGTAGTCAGTGTGAATTTTCGACGATATCCTTTCTTGTCTACAAGCTAAGAAGATGCATAATTTGGTATCTAAAATTAAATTTGTAAAGACAAGCATTTTTTGTGTGTAATTTTTACAATATTCAGTGCGATACCTGAAACTCCAATTTGAACTTCAATTCCAAATTCTTTACGACTAGTACAAGCACAGGAAGTTTTATGTGTAAGACTTCTGTAGGATTTGAAGGGCAGGATATATTTGTGGGCACTGGTGTCTCGTGTGGTCCCATTATTTCGACAACTTTATCGCCATTTAATGCATCGTCGTTCAGTCTACGAATTTTTCCATCCTGCGAAATGTGCTTTGACCAGAGATTCAATGGTTTCTCACTGACACTGTATAAAAGAGAAATAAAACCGCAGCGTTTCAATCCCGACATATTTTCGATAATTTATAAGAAATGATATCTTATATTTCTCATGGAAATGACCGTATATTGATTTTGCAAAACTTGTTTACAAAATTTGTAAAATTTTATTATCATATTTTCTTGAAATTCTAAAAATCATATTTTTAATATAAATAAAATTCTGTAAAAATACTTTGAATTTAAATAGATAAAATTACTATAAACTTGTAGAATGAATACACATGATGAGGTTAATGATTTTTTATTTTCTTTTTCACATAATACAGTCATTTGTTTCAATTCATTTCTTGCAATATGTCACGATATTGAAATACTGTGAATATTCAAATGGACACAAGATGTATAAGAAACCGTGATTCCTAACCTCGCTTTCATACACTTATCATTATAACCTGCATTACTGTTCTATAAAAGTATTTTTCAAATCAATGAAATATCAATATCTGGCATTACAGGTAGAACTCTATTAAAAAATTACATGCACCTAATATTTGTATATAATTCTATGTTTTCATGAGACATAATTTAGTGCTTCTTAGATAGAATACATTTTCTTCGTTGCAAAATTATTTCGCCGTTATCATTTATTTTAAAGGTAATTCAGATTCTCGTTAATGAAAAATGTTAATGAAAAAATGTGTCATTGCGATATTCAGGTTTCTCTAGGATAATCCGTGTGTCGCGAGCTGTTCGAAGTTAGTCTGTGTATTAATTGGTAATTATTAAGTATTGATTTTTTTAAATGGGGCCGTGGCATTGCCGCGAGACCAGGGGGAGGCTGTCCGGTCGCGAGTATTCGGAACTACTTTTTGTCGCGTGAAAAAACGAATAACACAAGGGTTGCCAGGCGTAGTAACACCAGTAGGCAAAATGGCGCGAACAGTTAGAACCGAGACGAAGAATTTTGAAATAGGCAAAGAACCGGTACAATTTTGAGCAGGAAATTGACGTGAGAAAAGCATAAGAATTCGTATTAAGCAATCTATGAAATATTAGCGAATAAAGATGGAAGATGCGTAACTGTCATCGCGAAAAATGCAACGCGGGTAGTAAAAGAAAATGGCGGACCAATTAAGAGAAGCAAGCTGATACATTATATTCTTTATTTGCAACGAGAGATGCTATTTCAGGTAAACAAATTTTTGGGTTTGGACTTAAAGCAGGGATGAATGGACATCGCGACATGTATACAATTAGGGCGGAAAATGTTTTTGTCCATCTTAAAATTCGGTCGTTAGGTAAAGGCATCGAGGCCATAAATAAAACAATTGGTTATATACATATGTTTTTCAAATCGACGAATGCTATTATATATTTTGTATTGAGCACTCGTTTCGGGGGAGACGCCGACGCCCGGCGCCGACGTCGTTTTTAAAGCGTCGACGGTGTCAGAGTAATCTCACCAATCCTAGGGGTCATAAGTAAAAAAGATCGTTAGAATAATCATCCCTCCCAGACGCTGGCCCGTTGTAAAGATGCATCGCTGAAACGTCCCACCAACGGAGGACGGGAATTCGACTGCAAAACAGCCGAAAAATGTGTTCGCTCTCGTAGAGCGCGACTTGCCGGGATTTTTTTCACGTATTCATTGTGCTCGCGCGGTGCTAACCCTTGCTCGTGGCGGCTTTCTTTTTTTTTCTTCTTTGAAATGGGCACGGCGGCATGCGATTTCGAGCGCGATCGTGAACGTGAACAGTGTAGAATTTGTGCGGGGGAACTCGCGAGAAACGATGGGGTGCACATTTTGGCCGAGGAGGGCAGGCGACACTGTCTACAGACCAAAATACGAAAATATCTCTACATTCTGGTGAGTATTTGTGCTTCGCAATACCATTTTATCGTTTTTTTTCCTTCTTTCTTCCCTTATTTACGTTCCTTCCCTTCTTAGAAACTTATTGCCTCGTCTTCTTTGACAGCGTGCTGGAATCGCAATGCCGAACTTCGCTTCGCTCCCTTTTTCAAAAAGGTTTGCGCGCGTGTGTGTGTCCATCTCGCGAGTGTGAGACGCGTGTGTCCGGCTCAAAATCAAATTTGAAAAGTCCTACGTCCCGTCGTGCTGTTCGGCTGACGATGGGAAACGACGCGTGATGTTGAGCTTTTATTTTTATTTTTATTTTTATTTTTAACGATCGGTAGCAAATTTTCTTAGAACGTAATTAACAGATTGGAGAATTGAAACGTATCGATAACAATACATTCATGGCTGTAATTTTAGTTAATTAATTTCATTGTGATGCTCTTATGAAAATGAAAAGTTTGATTTGCTTGAATCATCGTGAACTTTATTTATTTTTGTATCCGTTTTTTTCTGACGGAGAACTATTGAAAATCATGTGATTTAATAAAATTTTAACAAAAATACTAGTGAAGGAAATGACATGTAAATCGTACGTAAACGAAATTGTAATGTAATATTTGTGCGATCGCGTAAAATGATTTGAAATATGAATACTCGCGTGCATGCATAACGATAATTTAAAAGAAAATTTAAATAAATGGTTAGCCTATTCGGAAAACTCAAAATTGGTTTATTTAAATTATAAATAGAATTGAAGATGGTTAAAAATTTATTTTTATATGAACTATAATTGTTGATTGAGTAATTTGAAATTATTAATCTGAACAAAAATCGTTAAATCTCTTTTTGAGTATCGGTTGACAGTAAAAATGGTGAAAGGAAACGGTCTGAGCGAGAAGAATTGTAACGGGTAAGCTTTATGGCAACCATTTTGTCCAGTGCTGTAAAAGTGTTAAAAATTAGCATTTTATTGATTGCTATGAGTACTGTACATACCGTGTGCGCTATACAAGAGTGCGCCTATAAATATAATTGGGGATAAAACGTCAGCGATCCTGGTATGACGTCCTACAAAAAAATTATACTGCAATGAGAACATATCAAGAGTAGCATTGATGCATTTTCTCATTAAAAGGCTATTCTAGAATTGCTGATATTACTAGTTTGAGATAATATTGAGATCATTGAAGTTATAATCCTGACATTTCGCAAATGGTTGATGCATTTCTAAAACAAAATAGCTGTATAATATATTTATGAATTATGCAATTGTTTATGATATATAAACAATTTTAATTACATTTTAAAAATTATCATATGCACCTTACAGTCTGATAATATATGGATACATATAATGAATTACTGTGTACTGCAGAAATATTTTTAATTTAATTATTAAATTTTTACTTTAGGTATCGTCAGAAGACAAACTACCAAAGATGGTTTGTTCCACTTGCATTAAGAGATTGGAAGGGGTCCATAGATTCGCGATGATGGCCTATCGTACTCAAGAGAAGCTACGCTTACAATTCTATGGTGTTTTTGATAGTGTAAACTCTTCGCAAGACATTGACAGCGAGAAGATCAAAGACATTCAAGATGCTACAAAAAGAATGGAGGACCGAGGACTGTTACATTCTATATTAACTAAGGTAAGGAATCGAAGAACAAAATTCTTAACATAAAATTTGTCATACTCTATGTTAGCATTGATCGATGCACAAATATTGCAATTCATGCACCTAATGATAGTAACAGAAAATATGGCACAGCCATACTACATTACATATTACTATCATTAACTATTGCATAAGTATTTTATTATGCTAGTTGTGGTGCAATTTCTATTTTTTGCAGAGTCATTGATACTTATATTGACATTTAGATATAATTTTACTGAATGCTAGTATTCATAAGGAAAATTTCATGTCTGCAGGGTGCCATAGAAATCTTAGCGGAAGGTGAACCTTTGGGACCATCAACATTACTGACCCAGGATGAAAGTCAGCACACACCAAGTATGGAAGAGATGGAAGTCAAAGTGGACCCAATGTTGTTTTTGCAATGCGGTTTGGAACAATCTTCTTCTGAAATGTCTGACATGTCTGATAGCGAAGAGAAAGTGGACAGAGTACCATCCCCAGAGCCAATGTCACTTATTAACAAGTTAGTGACAAATCCTATTAAACTTTATATTTTTCAGAAAAACTTTTTGCTCTATCAAAACTGATAAACATTTCAGTAACTTGAAAGAATTTTAACCACTCTTGATCACGTTGTTACAGAAATGTCGATACAAAGAAAGAAGAGGTAACGGAAGACGAAAAAGAGACAAATAGCATCAAACCATCTGAGGAAAGTGAAGAGGATGTATCAAATACAACAGTAAAACCCCATGGGTGTGCAATATGTCCACGTTCTTTCATTTCTCTAATCGGTTTACAAAACCACCACTGGTCCCATTTACCAAGAGGTAGTCGACTTGAAGGAAAAACGGCCCTACGTTCACAGCAAGTTTATCCTACAAATGGAGTACTCCAAACAAACACAGATAATAATTCAACAAGGAATTACATTTGCCCAATATGCAGCAAACGAATTTCAACAAGAGGAAATTTAAAAGTACACTTGGAAACACATCGGCCTAAAGGAAAATATGGATGCGACATATGCGGTAGAATGTAAGCATTCCCAATCATAAACTTACGAAAATTCTCCTTAAAGTAACAACAACAAAATTCTGCCCCTTTCAGTTTCAAAACACAGTCGAATCTATTTCGCCATAAGGAATATCATGGTGGTATACAATTTCCCTGCAATGTCTGTGGACGAGTTTATCCGACGAATTCGACACTGCGGGCTCACAGTATAACGCATTCGGATTTAAGACCCCATGCTTGTCCCTTGTGCGACAAGACATTCAAGAGGAATCAAGATTTGAAGTTTCACATAAATCAGCATACAGGCGCTCGACCTTATCAGTGCCCCTACTGTCCAAAAGCTTTTGCAAGCTCTGGCAATTGCTTTTCCCATCGAAAACGAATGCATCCGCGAGAGGTTCATCGAGATAGACAACGTGCAGCAGATCTGATGAGATGAACCATGGGGAGTCGGTTCGAGGAGTGGTTATAAGCAGGATGGATTTTTTTTTTCTTTTACGAGGATAAGATCAGATTGACATACTTGAGTTCATGAGATTCGCGGTGCTAAACATTAGGTGGTATTATTAATTTAATTTGCAATTAATGATCAGACACGTTATGCCATACGTATAAGTCAGACATTATATTTATAGATATATAATTCGATAAATATTTTTTTTGTTAACCAGATAGATTTTATTCCGTGATTGGTATGTTCTCTGTACTTTGTCTAACAACACAGAGATATACATGTGTAATCGATGGTATTATCAATACTTCCGCTATCATTGGTATTTATTAGTGCCAAGTTTTACGAGTTGCATTAAATGCCATTGATATGCAGTAGGGTCGAAAAGTTTCATAGCCAGAAAAAAAAGAAATCAATATTCTTTTATTCAGCTTAATCGAAATGTATTTATGGTACGGATACAGGAATCATTTGTAAAAGGATTCACATAATTAGGTGTCACACTGATTTATGCATTTCTGTTATATATTAATTGTTGTAAATCTTACGTATACAATACGTAAATAAGGGTATGCTTCTATGCCACTATTTCTATGACATTTCAATCCTCGATCTTCTATATAACTGGTTATGAAATTTAGAGCTTTACTCAACAAACAAGCCAATACGCAGTGAGATTAATTGACTAAACTTAGACTGTATTAGCTTTAGGGTCTTAGCAGTGTTTTAAACATTAGCTAAAAAGTTACAAGAGGATCACATGTTATTTTGTCTATGCGTAGAAATAACCAAAATTACATCGGATTAAATGCGTCGATAATTTTACACGAGGCGCGTGAAAAAATTCACAATATTGCCAAAGAAGTTGATAAAGAAAGAAATGATAAAGAAAGCGAGAGAAAGAAAGTAAAAATGGAAAAGAAACCAAATGAGCTGCGAAGTGAGATTTGACGCAGGAAAAAGAAAATAATGAAAAAAAAAAACATTTTATAGTCTGTGACATTTTAGCATAACAAGAATATCACCGTAAGCGTTAAGACTGTATACGAAAATTATGTGTCAAATTAGGATAACGCAAATTTTAGGTCATAGAGTAGGTCACTTCGATTTTATGTCACAGTAAGTACGGTTTTTAGTCATTAGGAGTCTTAGATACAGAAAGGGCGAGGCGAAACAAAGTAAAGGGCGTAGCTAGGAATCATACAGGACTGTAAACGTTATTCTTCTAAGCAGGAAGCGTATGGAATAAATGTTATAACTCAAGTCTGAATAGAATTAGGAAATCGACGATAGATTAGAGACTTTTGTGTACCGTAGGATCTAGTCCGTGCTTCCTTATACGAATATACACGATGTGCGTTTCGCGTGTCGCGTTCATAAAATGATGAAAATGCTCGCGAGGTCGCATACATCATAACGCCCGAAAAAAAAGGATTGCAAACTGGCGAAAATTTAGCAACGGCCGTAAATATCACACGAATCGAATTAATGAATAATAATCACTTGTTTTGCAATAGTTGGCACAGATAAATATGTATTTTGCGATTACGTTTTTTGCAAAAGCTTCCCAACGTTCGAATGTAGTTTATATACGTGTCGGTATGTTAGGTATACGCTATGGCGTGTACGTTAAAAATAATCAATTTTTGAAGTATAGAAAATGAAAAAAAATGTTTCTCATACCTTCCAGATGTCGCTTTGTGGTATATACAACTAATATCATTAACCCTCTTAGAGAAATCAAAAATTGAATATTTTTTTAGCAGCTTAACCAACCAACTTTAGCGTCTGGCTAGGTGATTTTAAAGGGCCACTAAATAAAAATGTAGTTTAACCACGTGGATGCAACAATACAAACAAATATTAAAAAACGTTTTCGAAAGACGTTAATTCGATGCGTATTTAAATGAGAACTGTAGTTAAACTCTAGAAATTAAGGCACAACAAGAAATTACACGGTATTATACGTATTACAGATTTGAAAAAATGATATAAAAAATGGGAATTCGGAATAAAAAAAGAAAAATATTATATAAAACGTATGCTGTTCGCTTATATTATTCTTAGCTACTATGGTTTTTTAATTTTGCAGGAAATTTCAGAATGCACAAATAAATCAAGAAAAATGGTCTTTAATGCTTTTATATATCTTGGGCAAGTATACCTGGTCTTCCTACCTCAGTGGTATATTCATCTAGACTATTTCAAACAATTATAGAACGTTTGCTGAACTTTGCACATGGTAAATATTCAACTATTGAAAAAACTTCATGAGTTATCCTAGTTTCCAGAGGTTAACTCTGAATTTCTCAGACTTCAGTAAAAATATTGCGCGAACGCGATACCGTCTAGACACGAAGATACAATCATTCCATTAAGTTGCCATATATAAATATTACAATGCACGCATAGCAATATAGTTATTTACAAGATTTCAATCATTTTTCCGCAGATCGTTGCTGGGAAAATTATATTGTATAAAATTACTCCTGACTGTTCTGAGTATAAAAAATATTCTACCATTGCACTATTGCATATAGACTTCAAAGTAAACATATTTCATGTAATACAAGGTATTCGTATATTTGCAAATAAAATTGCAAAGTACATCCCATAATTGCAGGTAATTATACGTCCATTTGTATTTACGTTAAAAAGAAGAATGATGGGTATCAAAGAATTTTCCTATTTTCTTGCGTCTTATTTACAAAACATTTTTCAGATTAAATTCATATTAAACAGTAACGTTGTGCTTGCTAATCATTTTTGAAATTAATGTCGAGGTTTTGTTAGCTATACCTACGCGATTCTTTCATCCGACTGTTATCATCAAGTTTTATCAATAATCGCATCCGAAAAAACGACATATGGTGCACGACCATGAAACAAGATTAAATTCAATTTAATTTCTCTATAAATTATAGTAGCCACAGTGCACAGCTGAATCAACAAGAATATCAGGTATAATCCGTCATGATAGAATTAGTCAAATCACCGTCCTGTATTATGAAAGAAATTATATCACATTGCGGATGTGTAGTTTTACTATATTAATCGTAAAACAAATGATCGATTATATATTTTTTTAGAGCTTTTTTTTTAAAGCACAACTAGTTGCAATCTTAATTTTGTTACATTTAGAAGAAGTTTACTGAAACTTGTCATAACTTTGATAATTCCTCACTCTCTTTATTTACACCAAACAGAATTATTAAAAGGTTATCACAAAGAAGTTTCGTACATAATTATTGAACGATTGTACTCCAAGCAGCTCTGGTAACTTCATGAATAATCGTTATCAAAGCGCATACAATGAATTAATAATTACGTAGTAGGTTGATACAATTGCCTCAGTCATACTTCATTTCAGATTGTTAGGTACGAAAGAAATTGCAAGAAAGACGGAATGAAAAAAGTCGTAAATCAAGAATCTTAATGTTTGCAAAAGAAAAAAAAAATTTTCAAGATCAAAGAACAAATTAATATATGAAAACCTGCTATATGTATATATTACAAGGGGTACAGAAGATTTTATGAATATACAACACATGTGCGTTTAATGGAAACATTCCAATTACTACGGAACCAAATAATCGGAACACACGCTCACTTGAACCATAAAAATTACATAATCAAAACTCAGTACAGTATGAACCAATGTGGAAGCATTGATGTGCTGCGTATCACTGTGAGTTCATTCTCTGCCAAACTTCAGTCTTGTCCTTAACGGCGAGTGTACCTTTGAAAATAGATTCAGCATCCATTTCCTAGTCTGTAAACTTGATGCACTTCAAAGTTTAAAAATGCATCATGGCGGATCGGTGGGTATCATTATGAATTTTTTTCTACGATGAAATTAAATACACGCACTCGATATACTCTTTATGAAGTTACGATAGTACTTATCTATATTTCTCTTACTACAGGAAATTTCTTGCCGCTTTATCGAATACAGATATATATGTATATGCAAAAGACACTATTATTATTACTACCTACGTACGTGCAGATACGTAAACTTCGCGTCAGATTACGTTGACGATTCATCGGCGTATAAAATTACTGGAACTCCATCCTATAGTTGATTGTGATTAATATTATTTTTCTTAGGAAGTTACGATACAGAGTTAACTGCAGTATCGTATTATATGTCAATTTTATATGTATTAAGAGCGCGTTGCCCCTGACGACATGTTTAGTCGAAAGTTCAAGCGAAGTCACGATGCTAATCAAGTTAAAAATATAAAATTAAATGAATGTAGTGTCTTGAAATTCTGCGTTGTCTTTGAATTAACATATATTATTACATCTACTTGAATAAAATTTAAAAAAAAACTTTCAAAATATTTCAGACAGTTATGAAATTTTAAAAGTTGACTATTGATCAAGTAGTTTGATACAAAAATTATTTTTATCAGATATGTATGACTTGTTAACGGTTAACGAAACTATATTATGTTGCGGTGGGGTCACCAAATATTATTATTTTTCAGTGAACTAATCTTCGATTGCCTTAAATACTTGAATATTAGTAATTAATAATCTCGAAGTCATAATGCACCGACATAACCTCAAAAATGCTGCGTTTCAAGGAGCGGATAATTAAAAATAAATTAGTTGAACATCGTCCAATGCTAATTGCGCCTAAAAGTTCAATGTCGAGCTTTATATTATTATGCTTCTTTATTAGATATAAGACGAGGAAAAGTAATATTAAAATAGAATCCGATTACATTATTGTTATTCATTTTCATCGTGGAAGACTTTTGCTGAAAGCTAATCGTAATGTTTAAATAATTACACAATCCGTCAAATGATAAGAGATAACTTCTTTGCATTCGTGAATTGTTAGTGTTACGATTGTTCCTCGGTGTAAGATCTTAATAGACTGATGTAATATGATTAAGATCAAACACTCAAGGATATCGTAATGATACACATAATGCCAGTTTTGTTAAAAAATACACTAAGTACACCAATCGTAACAAGTAACGACAGTTCAATGAAATCGTTTTGCATCAATTAAATAAACGATTACATCAAGAAAATAATATTACAATTATACAAACCATGAATGACATTCCACACAAATTTTATGTATCGATTATCATCTATACTATAGTATAAGATGACAGTCATGATTTATATTAATCGCTTTTAATATAAAAGAAAACGAACCGTAACTGCGCGGGGATCCAGAATATTAATGGCTGTGAATGATCAAGACTACATATACTGCAATTAAAAATAAGTATTAGTCATCACTTCTCTATAATGAAATTTAAAACTGAATTTTTCATAACCCCCTCTCCCCCACATACCTTCAACGCACGCCCATTATAAAACGAATAATTATGAAATCTTGACTTTTCTACAATTTTTATATTGTAGGAAGTTTTCGTTCTGCAATAAAATGAATAGGTAAAGTTCAGACGCGGCTTAGCAAGAAAAGGATATAATCATAATGACTGGTAATAAGCGCAATAAATGGTGAGTAGGTATCAGCAATCAAATGTGTTGTTAGAATGCAAAAGTAGTAGAAGTTGTGCCTATCTTTTATACGTTGGTGTTATTCCGATTTAGTTAGTACTGATCTAATGGAAATAACAAATCAGAGACATTTCCTCTTCTAAGGAATATTTGAGATTGATCAATTCCTTTAGATTAGTATTAACTAAACCGGAATAATACCGCCGTGTAATCATAATTTATATAATTTCATGAAGGAGCTAGTGTTTTTGTTAGTGGTAATCGTAACCGTTGGCGGAACTGTCGGCAAGAAGCTCGAACGGCCTGAACGTCCTTCAAATGTTCCTATCGATTGTGGGGAACGCAGGAACGTATATACCGTGGTTTGCCGTTAAACTATGTTAGTTCGTCAGTAACTGCCGGTGTGCGCTTAATAAGTACCCGTCCGTTTAACGGGTAAGTGTTGTGTGTCAAGACTAAAGAAGATACGAAGAGTGAAAGGGAGAAAAGTTGCCTTTTCTAAGAATTTCAGTACTTGATCCCGGATTCTTCTCCAGTTTGAAAAATGTCTGACGACAGAGACAGACTATGCGGTCGTTTAAGACAGAATGGCGTTGTTCAACCGCTACTTACCGGTATTTATAATGTCTTTTGGGATTAGATAGCCTTTAGTATATTGTATTTGTGTAAATGTAATTCGAATCTAACCTCGAAGAATTCCTTGCTAAATTCGCCTTCCATGAGTGCACATAATTTTCCCTGACTCTGTCGCGCATGCAGCGCGCGATTGATTAAAAGACGCGAAATTACTACAAATTTTTTCCTATATCATTTTCCGAAATCGTCTATTCTGTCAAATTTTGAATTTTGGTTATGACGGCGCATTCCCGCGCTTTCGTTTCACATAGATTTTTTTTATTTTATGCACTATGCAAGTGACTTTTTTCGAGGATTAATAATTTTCATTTCTCTTGCGCCGTTGGTCAACTTTTGTGTTTCATTTTAGAAACAATTTTATTTTCTTTGATAGGGTATGGATTTCAATTCTTGATCAACTTTTGTACGTTATGCCGTTGTGGTGCGTTTGAATTTTTTAAATTATTATCAATGTTTCATTTCATTTTTCAATATTCTGAATTGGCAAGGAATTGTCACGCCAATTTGTCATTGTGTGTTATGATAAGGATCAATGACGAGGATTAATACGACTTTTCACAAAATCCATAATGTCTTATCCATAATATCTTGTTTGTATGAGTTTGAAGTGTGAATGTGGTGCGATTCCAATGTATACACTGATCTTAATATCGTAACTGTTTATTATGTAATTACTGTTTAATTAACTTAGTGTTTTCCAAGCCCTGATAAAGCAAATAATAATGTTTGCAAAACTTAGGCAAGTGAAAACTACTGAATGTGATTCCAACTTACAAGTCAATTATTATATTTATTAGTATCAGATTTTTTATACATTCAATTCACTGTTTGTCATTTCAGATTTATATCAAATTACAATGGCATATGCATATTGGAAGAGTGGAAAGATGCAAGACCATGCAGTATTCGACCTATTCTTTAGAAAGAATCCATTCCAGGGTGAATTTACAATTTTTGCCGGATTGGAAGAGTGTCTAAAATTTTTGGACAAATTTCATTACTCCGATAGTGGTATGTTTCCAGATATTCCATATAACTTTCATATACTATTATACTTCAATGTAATAATATTTCATTTTCCAGACATCGAATATTTAAAATCCACAATGTCATCATCTGTGGAGCCCAAATTCTTTGAATACCTGAAGAAGCTTAATGCTAAGGATGTCACTCTATATGCTATTGAGGAAGGTTCGGTAGTATTTCCAAGGTAAAGAAATAGAATTTGTAATATATTTATATCTCATAAATATGCTTCTGTAGGATGCTGTTGTATTTTCATTTGATGTTACTCTAGGAAATATTCAGTATTGGTACAGAAAATAATGGCTGTGTTCAGCAGAAACACCGCTAAGGGATACATTTGATTGGTTAACTCTCACAACTATTACAAGATTATTGATCAAATGACCAATCAAATCGGTATTCCTGTTGAACACGGCCAATGTATAAAGTAAACATTAGCATAATTATTTACTTGATATTGACCATTTGTACATTGTATAAAGTATACTGCCTGTACAGGGTACCGCTTATAAGGATAGAAGGTCCTTTGATAATGGTACAGCTTTTGGAGACAACGCTATTAACGTTAGTTAATTACGCAAGTTTGATGGCCACAAATGCAGCTAGATATCGTATGGTTGCTGGGAAGAATGTAGCCCTATTAGAGTTTGGTCTCAGACGTGCCCAAGGACCAGATGGTGGACTCAGTGCCTCCAAGTACAGTTACATAGGTAAGTGGAAATATTTCCTTCGCCTATATTTCGCGGCAATTCCTAGTGGTAAATTGCAGAGCGCGCCACCTTTTTGCTCAATTTATATTTTACGACGATCGAAGCATGTAAATGCCTGGGTATGTATTTCCGAAACTTTAAAAACGCATAAGCCATATAAGCACATAAAATATGAGATTATCACTGCAAGAGGATATAGGATAAACTGCTGCAGTGTCCTAATTCGAAAGTAATCGACTCTCATAGAAATAATTGTTTCTAATGACTTTATAACATGCAATACGATTAGGCACTCGTCATTATCGACTTTCTCCGTATTACAAACTAATTCTATATACAGAAGATATGCATAGCATTTCATGATTCGATTGCGCATATTACATAGTACAGAAATTCTTAATCCATTGGTTGACAGTTTAATTACCATAATCATATCAGTCAATGCTTTTGCATTATTGGTATTGTGCTGCTGATAGCCAAAAGCGAAAGTAATTAAAAAAAAGTTGATTGTGAATCATACGGATCACGTGCGGTTGAAACCCGCAGTTTATAAGATAATATTGATGTAGTAATTTAGTAAAGGGTAATAAAATATCGTGATTCCGAGGGGAGATTCCCAACGCCGGAGGTGTCTGGTACCATTACACCACTAACCGTGGCTGCCAAACAATTTCCTGAAAAGTATAAAATCAATATCCTGCTTCGTTTCGTGCCAGTAGGTATCATCCACCTAATGCGTAACAAGTTTCTCCTTAAATTTTGCATATATCTTGCTATGTTCTTATGACTCAACAAAACTCAATTCAGACTAGCGAATCCCCCATTAATGAGTTTCTTACTTCTAGGCCATCGCGCTATTCTAGAAACTATACAAAGTAGATATCGATTTTACTTCGTATGTCTCTACAAGGAACTCGTTTTGAAGTTCTCAAAGCTGCACTTAGGTTACCTGGTAATATTACTTTAAAAAAGTATGGGAAAATGAACAGTTATGAAGCTAAGGATTTCCAGTAACTTAACAAAATTATTGTTAATAAGGAATTTAGAACAGTAATACTCTCCTTACGAATAAGGAAATTGAGGGCTATATGTATACTTGATGATCGACAAGAGTCAATCAATAATTTTTATCTCGACAGCTAAAATGAGAAGTGATATACTATTTTGCATAACTTTATTACAGGAGGCTTTGATGGTACCAGTAATGTCTTAGCTGGCAAGTTGTTTAATATACCAGTAAAAGGAACGCATGCTCATGCATATATTACGTCATTCACTGGTGTCGAAGAATTACAAACAAAAGTAAGTACCGCATTTGAAACTACTTTTTAAAATGTCACAATTGTTATATTCCATAAATCTTTGAAATAATATTAAACTGTCTTCTATTCTGTCCTACAGACTCTGGCGCACAAGCAGACTGGTCAAGTTCATGACCTTCTGGCACTTTCTTCTACGTATCGTGAGTCCATCGCATCCGATCTTGGAGCTCTTGTGTCTGAGGCATCTGATGGTGAACTTGCTGCTTTGATTAGCTTCGCCATCGCATTTCCTGATGGATTTATGGCGCTCGTAGACACGTACGATGTTAAGAGGTATTATATCAGATGCACCTTTATTTAGCAAAGAACACGCGTTAATCGTTGCTTCCGATTCTTACAGCATATGGCACGAATGAGATATGTGAACGAGATTACATGATGATTACTTGATTTATTAGGCCACTGTGTGAACGGTATTCAATTTCTTGTATGGCTAAAGCCGTCATATAAATTTCATGATCCGTTTTAGTTTATTGTGACAAATTCAAACTCTTTATGCTTGATCTTATTACTCTTTTTATACTACTTTTCCTACAGTTTGATTACAGGAAATTTAGTTGCGTAAATTCGTTATTGGCCTTAACCGTATCTTGCATATGTCTTCTATGCGCTGTCAATAACATGAATTAATGGGTTAATGTACAATACAGTAGATTCCCGTACAACGCGAATTCGTATAAAGCGCTAAATAATAAAACGCAGGAATTACCTGATTTAGGAATTAAATTCACGATTTTCTCCCGCGTTATACGTGAGTTTGCTGTAAGTCTATATTAGCGCGGATCGTACAAATTTATATATTTTGAATAATCTTATTCTGTTGTTCATGAATTTATTTTCAATCGGTGTACCTTTTTAGTGATATTTGTACGTTATTAATAGATGCAAGTAATATTCACATGTTGTAGATAAATGCTCATTGAACACTTAACGGTAATCCAGATTTAGGAAAATGACATTCTTAATTATACTTGTGTTATTTTGAAAAAGTATTTATCAACTTATTAGTAAAAAAATAATACAGACTTTAAGACCCATCAATCATAACTTTCGAATGCCATTTTCCAAAATGCTCTGCTTTTGCATTAAAACTGCAGTGCATTGTATGTTACGTGTACATATAATATTTATGTTTATGCTATTTTGCCTGACACTTAGATGCATTTTATATGGTACAAAGACATTTGGTACATCATGTGAGTAATATGCTTTATAAATCGTCTTTATCAACGTAACTTAGAATACAAGAAAATAAGAGATTCGTTATACCACATGAAAACAATAATACTTTTCTCCTATGGCTAATGAGAGTACATTTACAAAACTGTACTGTTAAATATAATTGCACTGGTTTTCAAAAGTTTGGTCTCAAAAATAGTTTACACAAAAAAAGAAACGTGTAACGCACCCGCGTACTTTAGCTGATCACACGCACTTTAACCTAACAGGAGTGTGTTTGTAGCATAGAGGCGTCGGCCAAGCGACAGGCGCACGTAGTCAGCCTAAATCTAAAGAATAAACTTCTAACTAATGGGGCGAATAAATCAGCCCAATACAGTGTGAGAAACGGCCCAATTATATCCGAAACGACACCGCCTCACAAGAATGGCTTTTTAAGACGAGGCGAATTGGGCGAGCTCTATGTGAGGTACGATTTTCGCGCTGTTTGTCTGTTCTACTTGATATGGGGACTTTTTCTTTTAATCATATTATTAAGACCTGCATCACTAATAAATGGCTTAGTTGCACAATAATACGTAAATATTTATGAATAGAATTGAATATCTTTTAATGTCGATGAACGTATGAATGATTGTACGTTGCTATTTAACTTATTTATTCTAACGATGTATCAGAGTTACATCATTGGATGGGATACGTTATTCATTTTTATATTTGAGCAATTTATTTTCGTTTAACGTATTTATGGATTGATCCCAATAATATATTTACATTGAGCTGTACGAGACAGACAAGAGTTTAATGAAAAAGTTCCTGACTTTCGGTAGAACAGATAAATAATCGTTTCCATGATATTTCATCGCATCATTATTACTCACACAGCATGAAGTTACGGAGTAGAATTCAGAGGGATGTTGTTTGTTTGTTTATTTATCAGGAAAGCTTTATATGTTTTTCGTGCAGGGCCATTATTGCAATGTTCGACCTTATATAGTGCCCCACCCCAATTCAGCCCCAGTGATATGTTATCTGTACCTTTATTAATGGATTACGTGTATATTCGTTTAAACTTGGTAAGCTATGACCTTTCATTAATAAGTGAATCGTACATACGGATGTGTTAATGTTTTTCGAAAAATATTAATTAAAAAGTCTACATTGCGGTAGAAGGATTAATCCATTTACTCTTACAGTATTGAGATTTAGTGGATTTTTGAAAATGATAAAATTCTATCGACATTCTGTTATTTCCGTTTTACTAGCATTTTTGAGTTGCAATGATATTTTGAGTTGACTATTCGTCAATGGCTAACAAATTTGTCAATTTTCGAAGAATCTTAATTATATACATAGTTTTGCACTGTTTTCCTTTTGTTTTAAGTTTTTCATATCTGGGGATTAACTTTGCTTATGCTTTTATGTTCTCCTTTGTTATGCTCTTTGGTACAGTGACATTATTGTTCAGAAATTTCAATAGTGAACTGATTTTAATATTTTTTATTATAAAGATCAGACAAATACTCATTGGAACTAGAATTTTTGTGGATTGATTCAATGCATATCAATAATTGTATTGTATACTAATCTTTTATAACAGATGCTTAACACGCAAAGATATAAATTAATTTAATAAACATATTTAGGACTCGCTAAGTTCTGTTGACTACAATGAGATCTATATTCAAATACGCTCAAAAGTATCTTTTAGATATTTGTTATTATAGTTTTTCTCGAGATTGTTGCAACATTAAAAAATTCATTGTGTTAGAGAAATATGTTGCATAAGTTTTGTCGCTGGCTTCGCTCTCCAACTGCATGTTATAACATGTCGTCCGTTTGTCTAATGTATAATGTACCTAATATCTACCTAAATTCATAATGTCAAGTCAAATGATAATAACAACCAAGTGACTAGATAATGAGCTTTTTTACAAATATTTTCATACTGCGTTACACTGCAGTCAATAAAGAGTATTGTTCAATGTGTGCACTTTACACCATTTACATTAAATAAACTTATGAAATTTCGTTAATGGAAGACACATAAGAAAGAATATTACAAAACAATTCACGAAATAGTTGCCTATTGTGATCTATGTTAAATTTTTCACGTTATTCATCACATAAAACGATGCATTCTCAAAATCGCAAAGAATTGAAATTTATTTTTTTAAATTTAATTGTATTGCAAACAGGAGTGGTTTACTGAATTTCTGTGCTGTGGCATTGGCTCTAAACGATTTGGGTTACAAAGCTGTTGGCATCCGAATTGACAGTGGTGATTTGGCATATCTAAGTCATGCAGCGAGGGATATTTTTGAGAGAATCGCTACGAAGTACAATCTACCATGGTTTGCTCGATTAACGATCGTAGCATCAAATGACATCAATGAAGAGACAATTCTAAGTCTAAATGAGCAGGTACTTTAGTTTAGTAAACGTTTTAACTAGTGTAATGTGTATCAATTATATTAATCAGATTTAAGTATTAACCGTAATCTGTTTTCCAACTTTGCATTCAGAATCATAAAATTGACTGCTTTGGAATTGGTACGCATTTGGTAACATGTCAGAGACAACCAGCTTTGGGTTGTGTATACAAAATGGTTGAGATCAATGGTCAACCGAGAATAAAACTCAGCCAGGAAGTGGACAAAGTCACTATGCCTGGAAGGAAAATTGCTTATAGGTTGTATGGAGCTGATGGACATGCATTGATTGATTTGTTACAAAGGTGCTGCGAAGATCCACCACAGGTTGGACAAAAAGTCCTCTGCAGGCATCCATTCCAAGAGTCGAAGAGAGCTTATGTCATTCCCACTCAAGTAGAGCCACTGCATAAGGTATGCATCGAAGGACCTAGGTAGACAATACTAAAAATATCTGCATCGATTAATAATATATTTAATAATATTATAAGGTATATTGGGAGCGTGGCAATATATGTCATCCATTATCAACATTACAAGAGATTCGTAACAGAGTACAGGAATCTTTGAAGACACTGCGCAATGATCACAAAAGGAATTTGAATCCCACACCATACAAGGTAAATTGAAATCTTAAATAAATGGTATTTTGAGACATTCAGGTTATCGATAGATAATGTGGTGAAGTTTCTGGTATTTTTTCAGGTGGCTGTAAGCGATGATTTATATAATTTCATTCATGATCTATGGCTACAAAATGCGCCTATTGGCGAACTTTCATGAAGTTGCGAACGACTCGTAAATTTAAAGCGATTCAAAAGAGAACCTTAAAACTAGCCACGCGAGACACGATAACGTCACAACTCAAATAAAACCATTGACAAGTTTCAGAAAATTATTCAAAATAGTATAGATTCATGGGTGCGTCTTCGCGATTGAATGGTATTGTTTTGTCTTATGTGAAAAATTATGAGTTCGCGTGGCAATGATCATTTGTCATATTGTCTCATAGAGACGCAAAATACATAAAAACCCGATTGACGCGAGCCTGTTAATTGATTTCTTACACAAGAAATTGACTTTTTCTTATGCACCCATATATACAGAAGTCACATGAGGAATATTGTAAATGTTGTTTTGCCAATGGCACTACAATATACGTATCAGAATAGCATTAGAGATTTGAGGAAGATTTACCAGGAGTAAGTTTGAAAAAATTCCTCGATAAACGCTATCTGGCCGTAACGTGGCATCTATTGGCTGTTTGTTACCGCTATGAACTGATGATTCTAAGGATCTTAATTCGATTTTTAGAGGCCGTAATTTTTTAACAGTGCTATCCTCAAGCGCGTTTATTCAAAAAAGTTGATTATAGTGGGCAATAAGACCCACAAGCGGACCTACCCTATTGCAGTATAACATAAAATAAACAAACAATCCTGTTAGAGCTTATAGAGTTTTAAGTTATACGATTATTACATTGGGAAGATTTATCTGTGCTCGCTCTTTTAGAAAAGTACAAAAAGTAAAGTACACGTGCGAAAGCCACGGATTATTGAAATACAAGTCCTATACTAGGTAGTGAATAAATTGTAAAGTAGGTATGTTTATGTGTAAATAAGCGGTTCAAGAAAGGCAATAACAAGATAAGATGCAAAAACAAGATATCCTAATTGTATGTATGTACAGGATGCAACCAGTAATTCGATAAGCAAGGTCACACCTGTGTTTAACCATGTCGGACAGGTCCCTGATTCTAAAAGATTTCGCCTAGTTACTAATTAAGAAAGTTTTTAGCGGGTGTTCGTGTCGTGAGTCATCATATTTGCGACTCATTACGAACAGAATTTTTGGGTAATTAATTAACCAAATGGCGAAATGTATTCTAGTCAGGGCGTATTTATAAAAGGGAATGCGATCAGGGTTTGCAGTACGATTAATTCGACTTGTAATACTATTGCCTTGTCTGGTTATACGGTATTTCACAAACTTCGTATGTCGCGGTTTATTAAATTAATGGCTGTGTATAATGGTTTAGTGCAATTAATGAAAATTTTTAATTAAATAAACGATAGCTTTGTTTATCGTTTCGTGCTATCTGGAATGTAGTTACGAAATCTAATAAGGTCAAATCAGAATATTTATTTTTGGCATTGCGAAATGATATTTTTTTAGAGGATATATAACGTTAATTTGATGTACGACATCCGGAGGTTGTGATGGCACACATGGTTTTCCATTTGAATACCATTTGTGATTTGCTAATGTGTATTGTGAATATAAATAATTAAGAGCAACGGAATGTAAGATACATAAGGGAACATTATTGCTGATTTATGCGATATATAAGAATCCACAGAATGCAAAAATGCAACTGTAAACAGAAGACGTAGTACAGTCAGGTGGTATAGTTCTCATAAATTAAAAGTATTTTATGAGATATCAGGAAATCATATTGCAAATAATGCAGAGGGATTATGGTATAAGTCCAATTTTTATACCTGTTGAATTCCCTCTATTATGCATTGCCATGTGTTTGTATAATATTGCAAAATTTAAATTGATTTTAATCGAAATATTTATATGAATTACACGTTCTACTCGTTATTTCTTATTCTTTATTTAAACCGTGGAGCACAATACGCCAAATTACTATTTTCATTTACTGTATAAAGGCAGTTTTTTTTTTTTTGAAAACTTATCTTTTCAGTCTATTGGTTATAATGAAATTTTCTGTACTGCGTGTCTATTTGACAGCGATGTTTAAATTTTTAAAAAGTTTCATACCCATAAAAACAGCTTGATACAACGGCTGGTTATTAGACTTACGCCACTCTCCATCTGCATTCTTATAAATAATATAGACTTAATATATTTTTACACGCAAAGCGTTATTTTACGTTTCACGTATGTAAGAGGATCATTCGTAGTTTTATGATAACTCTTTACACCAAGGGCAGTATGGAGTAAACTCCGGTGCTACATACATTAAAATAACCCAATAGTATATTGCCCTTAGTCGTCTTGTTATACTTGTATTGTTAGTACGCGTGAAAATTACAGTACAGAGTATGCAATTTTATAGCAATCTTTTTCATGTAACTATTATTTTATTTGTTATTAACAGAATCGTTAATATATGCCTATAGTCCACGATATGATGTTTTATTTGAATCTTACCCAATGAAAAACATGTAGATTTATTTCAATTTATAAAAGGTAATTAATTAATCATCTAATTGACATAGTAATGCCAATCCTCTCTTGATCCAGTGACTTACGTGATAATCAGTATCCAATAAAAGTGATAAAACGTAATTTGTAGAATGACCTGTAGTTTTGAGTGTTCCAAATCGTGCAGATGTTATGTACAATGGACATTGATAGCGATTATTTACATTAATATCTACTGCCTCGCATGGCTTCAGCCAAATTATTGGCATTTGATCCCAAAGGACTTTTGGAAGACTTTCAGAGAGTAACATTTTTTTTATATCCCATCTGGCGCCTGCCAAAAACATGCCATATACGTAGACACCGTCATCAGGAGCAATGTTGGCCTCGTACATGGGCATTACCTATTTCGAAATATTTATGTTTTATAATATTCAATTTAAAAAAATTTGAGAAATACCTTGAAATCAAAATCAATCTTGTCAATGGATATTTTATATTTTCTGGCGTAGTTTTGTGTTGCACCAGTTAGGAATGCGTGTACGAATGAAAAGCCAGAAATCCAAAAAGATGCTGGTTTTCCTTGTAACAGCCATTTTTTAAAAAACGCTAGTCGTTCTAGAAAATCATTCACAAAGCTTGGTAATGGTTTTAAGCTAGGATACGCACTGGCTTTTATCCAAGTGGGTGGAATTTTTGAATTGAGCATATTAGTTGAGAGAACCTATAATAACGTAAATATAATTGTCGAGAAAAAATGTATTAAAAAATTACAGTCATTTATTCTGATCTGGAAAACAAACCTCCATTGCTGGCGTCATTACTATCATTCCCTTCACAGCTTTTTCAAGCGTCACTAAAGAATTCCGAACTTCTTTCAAAAGTGTATTATAGCGTTCCATTTCTTGTATCAATACGGTATTCATCGATTCCATATATTCGATTGGATACTTTTTTTGTGCTTCCTCAATATCGAAAAGCTCTGGCATTTTATCATAAAGATCTTTCTTCATAGTTAAAAGCAATTCGTCCTGTTTGGAAGCATCTCCCACAGTGACTGTTCCCTGAATGAGTATCATGGAATCGAAAAAAATTTTGGAAACTCCAAGATCCCTTGTAATTCCTGCATTAGTATGTAGACCAAAGACTTCCGGTGGTGGATTAGTAGGAATTCCTTCTATTTGTTTCACGTAGTCACGATGGTCGCACCTTTAAATTCACAGAAGTAAAATTAGAGCTGACTTATAACATAGCGATTACTAAATTTTGTACTTTTTTGGTAATGTGTATTCAGGTCCGATGTCAGCAAATGAATAATTTGGATTGTTTATCACTTCTGGATTGTAAAAATCTTGGAGTATAGTATTCAGACATCTGCGGTCTCTGTCGTCAGTCACCCTTCCACCATAATTACATTCGCCAGTTAGATACATGATGGCTTTAAATGGAACATTGTCATAGTCATTGATGAATATCTGAAGTTGTTGAACGGATATGAGGAAATCAGACTCGTTGAATCCTGTAGTATAAAAATGATTTACTTTCTATTAAATTATGATAGAATTAATTAGCATTGATACTAAACCATATCTAATATTCCATCCTTGTGGACCATAATTTCTTCGTTCTTGTACGACAGCATGAAAAAAGCATAAACCATATAAAAGTTTTGTAAATTCTTTTTCCTTGCCAGGACAGCCTTCAAAAAATTCTGGGTCGTTGACGGGATCAGTATTGTATGATCTGAAAATGATTGAAAATACAAAATAAAGAGAGCCTGTTATTATACAAAAGTTATTTAGAATCTGAAATACCGCATTAGATTTTGTTGAAGTCCCGTAGGCGGTTCGTTTGTCATCTTTACTCCATTTTGCAAAACCGTAATAGGAAATTTATCAGAAGGATAGCTAGTTAGCCAAAGGCGAAAATTCATGGAGGTATTTGTGGAATCGAAGTTTTCACAAATTTTTTCCAAGGCGGACATCCATGAAACCGCCAAGTGGCAGTTTTGCAGACAAACCCAGCATCCTTCATTCTGTCCTTGTTCTATAAGCTTTCGAGCCAAAGGACCTTGACCTTGTCCAAGTGATATTGAATTAAATCGCGATGCATAGTTCATATTCTCAGCAAAATTCGACAGAGCCCCCATTGGATCTGATCCAGGAGATAAGATAAATATCAATGGTATAAGACAGTTCGAGTCTGCATATGATTTTGAGAGATCAAAAGGAGGTGGAGTGACAAATTTAGCTCCCATACCGCTTTCCACAAATTGCATCACCTATTTAAAATTATAATTACATATAAATAATGTATTGGTGATAATTTTTATCACAGAAAAACTTAGAGCTTATATACCTTTATGGTTACTTTATCCGGTCTAATCATTCTCATTACAATTAATTTTTGAAATGAAGTCATTGAAGTTTCCCACGGTTCTGGTAGTGGTGAACTCTGCGGATTCATTAAATCATAAAATCGTCGCCATGCAGGTAAATTTTGTTGAAAACTGTTGATAAATTGTGAAAAAGCACTGAGAGTCTGACTAGCTCGACAGATTTCGTCCCAGGATTTATCCAAGAGCCATTCTGATGCAGGATTCTTTATGACATTGCCCATTGCCATTCCTCCCGATAAAAAGAACATCAGTTCATCCTTATTGATCTCATTGGTTGCCAATAAAATCGTGGTGTAAAGGACAAACGAGTAAAGTACCTGTTTAAATTTTTTTTTAAAGATACCAATGTCAGTAGAATAGTTTTGTCAAAGGCCAGTAAATTCTTAGTATTCAAAAGTACCTTATCTTTTTCAAATAATGATCGACAGACATTCTGATACAAATTATAAGTAAAAGTTTCTTTCAGAAACATCAATCTCCGCTCAAGAACTTTACTCTTGTTTGCGCTTTCAATTGATATGATATATAAATTGATGAACCAGGACAGAGAATATTGATACATCGGATCGATATTGGGTAAATCTGTTACTGTGTAATAAAGAGATGAACTGTGTTTGGCTATTGGTTTGTAACTTTGACGAAAAACTTCAATTTTAGCTTCAGTCTCCTTGGCCACTTCCTGTTTCTTTAATATGTCAGTTGAGAGGATTTTTGAAGAGTCTAAAATCTCAATAGCTTCCTCATCCTCAAGAATACTTGCACCAGCTACTGATAAGGTCTTTAGTATGTTGTCTTCGACTTGCTTAAGAGCTTTTTTATTTGCTGCTCCTTGAACTATTAAATGTTCTCTTTTCTCTTGAAGATCTGGTCTCTCTTTAGCTACTACTATCCCAAGTAATTGATCATCCAAACCTTCCAAGGTCAAGGCAAAGTTTATCAGCGTTACTTTGTTAAAGACTTCAGGCAGATAATGAGGATTGCGCAATTTTGATGTAATGTAAAGTCGAAATTTCAATCCGTATTCCACTGTTTTTTCACCCAATGTAATATACCAGACGCCAGCAATTTTATATATGTTCTTCATTAAAATGGGATCCAATGGTGCTTCTAATTCTTCGCCAACATTCTCTAGTAGCACTGGTTTACCTGTTAGATAATTATAATAATCATGGTTTGACGCAAGAGATTTATAATTTCTAAATAACAGTACCAAATTCGATGCATTGTTCCAAAATTTCCATGTAATTTTTATCTGTCAATTTAATCACTTCTAATTCACTGAATTTTTCCATAGCTCGAATCCATTTATTGGCTTGACTTTGAGGATCAACAAATAGACTCCATCTTTTTGAATTATCCATTATTATTGCATTCTCCGTGGAGAAAGAATCTCGCGGTAGACCATGTATGTTCCACGAGTTGATTTTTATTTCTGAGCCCAGGATATTAACAAAGCTGTAGATTTCCGAGCAAGGTATATTTAAACTCTTGACGTAGATTCGCCATTTTTCCAAATTCTCAATACGATAAGCCGTCGTGAATGGTCCGAGATATGCGATCATTCCACAAGAAATCAAAATGTCACCAGCAAGCGTGTCGTAGGATTTTTGTAAATTTTCAGCACACATCATCCACCGATCTTTTTCACCACCCAAACCGTTGATAAGCTTTTCAGCCCGAATCAATTTGTTTCTGCAATTGGTCACCTGAGCGAGTGAACCAAAATTGAATTAATGTATTACAATTATTATTATAATTTTGCGATTGTCCATACGCACCTGATTTTCCAAGTCAATTTTCCTCGACAAAGTTTCACGTAGACTCTCATTTAATGCTGCTAGTTTTTCATTCAGTGCGGCCAACATTTGACGTTTCTCATTCAAAAACGCCATAGTGTCCTCAAAATCCTTTTGTGCTGCTTCAAGCTTAGCTTTTTTTGGCGCAACTTCTTTAGCCACTTTATCATACAGCACCATGGCGCGTACCCACTTGCAAAGTCCTTCTGCAGCTTGGGAAGCTTTGGCCACGATCTTTGGTTCGAAATTCGCATCCGTCATGTATGTTCTTTTGATTACCTTTTTGTTTATAAGACTGTACAGTAATTTATATAGCACAGTACTAGCAAGACAAAGAGAAGTGTTTTGGCTAAGTACCTGCATCGTGCTGACAGGAATATTATCCTTATCGTAATCCCGTAAATTATCTAAAAATTTAAGATCGCTTAAAAGACGTTTACTGGGTCCCCAATAGTCCAAAATCTTCTTTCCCGTTGCAGCATCATTTACTCTATCCGGTGGAATATTCATCATCACGCAAACCGCGGCCATCACAAGTTTTACACCCTCCGGTGGATTCTTCATTGATTTCACCAGAGTAATATCAGCCGGTTTTAACGTGTTTAATGCAGCTGTTAATAAATTATTTATATTAATAACTACACAACTATATACTATAATTGTATATACCTATTGCTTCATCAAGAACCGGAAGTGCTTCCGCCAGATCAGCTTCACATTCAGCTTTGAGTGCTCCAGCAACTTCGGCCTGGGCATTTGCAGCATCTTCATCCTTCTTTACCATAATCGTAGCATTTTCTACACTTATATTTTCACTTTCAATCTGCCTCATAGTCTGCGTTGTTAAAGTCGCAGACATCTCCAGCTGCGGTCGTAGAGCAGTCAGGGTTGACTTCATATTTGTCACTTGTTGAGCAGCAAATTCTAATTTATCCAAGCCACCCAGATAACGGTCTCTGTTACAGATCATAGAAAAATATTGTTAGAGCAAAATAAGTATTCTAGAATCCCATATTATACCTGGCAAGGATGAGCTCCTCCTGTTTTTTCCTCATGAGCTCGGCAAAGGTTTGTATGAGGTCTAAGAAAGCTGCTGAGGTAATATAAGTTTTTCTTCCACAAGCTTCATAAAATCTTATACTTATATCTTTGGCACAAACATGAAAGTATTTGCAGGCTACGACAGAATTGATCTTGATCTCATCCGCCACATTGATACCTGTTGTACACCTGATGGCTACCTGTTCCAATGCATCTTCAGGCCAGACTTCAAACCAATCTATGGTACAGCAACTGACAAGACTTGGATAAAGACGCAATCTATTCCTGAAGGATTCACCAATGGGACTGAAGCACAGCATTATGTGAAGCTTTTCTTTGCAACGATTTACAAAAAATGCTAGTACAGCAAGCACTGAGATGTCCAGGTTACGGTTTCCGCCTTGTGCAGCCAGTCTGGTCATTTCAATGACTTCCTGTCGTTCTTCGACTGTAAATAAATTCGGCACTTCTCCGGAGTTCAATAGACTGTCGATATCACCTAGAAATGCTTCCTCTTTGATTTGACCTTCAGTAAAAAGAAATACCAAGTCCTTTCCGGTTCCACCGGAATTTTTTAAAACCTTCTTGATATCCTCCCGCCACTCGTTCATGCCATAAGCACTTCCTATTTCCGGTTGGAATAAACCATGACCAGCCATTCCTGCTGCTAGTCTAGTTAAAGATTGTCTTCCTGAGCCCCCGACGCCAACCATTAATAAACTGCCACAAGGAATTGCCAGAATTCGACAAACTCTTGCAAGGTGCTCCAAAGCGTAACGGAATAGAACTATGTCCATTTTGTTTTTGTGAGTGTTGTTGTACTCTTCCAGACAAAGAAGAGCTACCCGCTTATATTCGTCCATCGATGTGATCTCTTCGTATTTTTTGTCTTCCGGAATGGCGTCTACGTCCATGAAATTTCCAAATATAAGATTTTGCAAACTCGCCTCAGTAAGCTGTTCGTTAAATTTTGGTAAATGATCGAATACAAAATCGAATGATTCCTTGAACGTGCCTTGGGTAGTATCTTTTAGCTTATCGAACAACCATTTACGATCGCCCAGATCTATGAGACGATCGCCAAACACTCTAAGGATTTCGTGAACCCAAAGTCTCACAAACGTCAATTTTGATTCCGCAGAATCCTTCTGAATCATTGCACAACCTGTTATTACTCTTGAGAAATCACGTAAGTTAAATAAATAATGGGACTTTGCTGGTGTCGGCCTTAAATCATTAGTGGCACTCTCGAAGACGTCCATTGTTGCATTTACCAGACTGTTCACCACGATAAGAACATCCGTTGCAAATCCATTCTTCTTTAAACCAGTGAGAGCCACGTTGGTGAATATTCGAAAGATACTCTCTCGTGAGAATGTATTAATTGAATACAAATTAAAATGTCTTAGGAAACGATGGTAAACATCTTGACGACTTCCGCCTGGTGGTGCCATGGCGCAGATGAACATAGTATCAAAGATTCGAACCTCTTCCGGTTCCTTAAGGTCATACCATTGTCCATGGTCAAAATATTGTCGTAGCAATTCAATGGCTGGTTGAGCTCCATAGACTTCTTTAGCTGGCATATTAACGTCATCTACAAAAACGATACAGTAAGTTCCTCCCATTGGTCCAAAATGGCCTTTACGCCTCTTGAATAATTTAGAAACAACAAGTTCTTGAGTTTGTGCAGCAGTAGTTTTAGCGGTAAACGTTAAAAAATTAGGAAGATAAAATTTTTCGTCCAACTTGTTCATCATTAATTCTTGTACATAGAAACTCTTACCGGTGCCAGTTTCACCATAGAGTAAAAATCGTTTACGGTGTTTGATATGACGTAAGAAAAGACTTTGGTACTTTACAGTGTCTATGGTAGGTACCATCATTTGACCTATACTTTGGGTCTCAATGATTTTTTCTGATTTTGCTGTATCCCCAAAATATTTCCAGGCACCTTTGCCTTTGAACGTGTAATAATTGTCATGTATCAGTCCTTCTCCGGGCAGAGAAATAATAATATCACCAATTTTCTCGGGTACTGGATAATCTGAATTTTCATTTTTCCAAAAAGGTAAATAAAACTCATTAAATTTACAACGTGAATCGTAATCCAAAGTGCCACCTGCGCCCCATACCATTGACATCATCATGGATGCTTGTAACCAGGGTGTAATATGTTCTTTATAGTCATCTAAATTTTCCTCCACAGCATCATCCATAAACATCTCAAAAAGATTTAACGTCGAGACAACATTATTAATCTGGCCGGCAGTAAGGGTTGATTTGCATCTTTTGCGAATAAATTCCAAGCAAGGGTCAGCCAGCCATTCAAAATATGCTTCCAAGATATCTTCGTACGCAACACGCCATTTTTTATTTACACTGTTGATCCAGGATTTAAGGAATGGTCGCCAGCCTAGAACGTGTGGTTCTATATAGATCATTCCACAACGTGAGACAGTAGCTGGTGAAGCTTGAAGTAAGTCCATAACTTCAAAAATCATTGACATGACACCTGTCATTTGCATGACTTCACCAGATGTCAAACATAGTTTTTTATTGTCATCCAATACAGTATTCAAATTCTCAATCCATACAGCATCTACCGGTCCGTCAAAGATGAGCCATTTTCTATCTGGATTATCTTCAGTACAGTAACGCCTAAAAGCAACAGCACACACGCCATCGGTCCATTCCGATGATACTGGATCAAATTGACCATATAATTGGCCCATGGTTATTGCTTTTGGATTGACAGTCGTGTATTTTGTTACCGCGCCATTTTCATCGCCCCACCCATGCATCAAAGTTAGCGCATCAGCCAAAGTTCTCAAAACTGATGTTTTTCCGCCAAAAGGATCTCCTACCAGCATGAATCCATGTCTAACTATCATCATCTCAAACGTTTGTATAATTTTTAATAAAAATCCATCAACTGGCTGAAGATTCTTCTTCAGGACGACTTCGTTAACGGCTTTAAGAAGAATGTCATAATTTGGCGATGGCAATTCAACTCCAGGAAATAAATCTGAGATGATACCCTGAAAGAGGGGTACGTCGTGTGCTAAGAATTTTGGAAGATTGACGTCGATGATGGAACGAAGTAAAAGTATCATCTCATCTTCGTTTGGAAACTTCAATTTGATATTCTGCGCAGCAGTCAGTACAGTTTTCACAGCACGCATTCCATAATCGTAGTGAGATTGAGATGATAATTGTTCTGAGCAAAGTTTATAGGTCGTTACAATTTTAATGGACAGCACTCTGGCAGTGCTAAATCCTGAAGAATAGAGAAATATTTCGCCAATCATGGCATAATCAGGTACCATCATGGCCACTGTCCTAAAGAGGACCTTCAAGTTATCAGGGAGTTCAGATCTGCCTGCGTATCCCGGATTCATAGTGATACAAACGTAAACAGCTGGATTTAATTTCAATTCTGTTCCTTCGAATATAAATGTCTCCAGGTTGCCACGCACTGCTTGCACTATACACAGGATCTGCTGAGCGACCACAGAAAGTACTTCTAGTTCAATTCTATTGAACTCATCGAAACATGCCCACGCACCACACGATGCCAATCCTTTGAAGAATTTACCCATATTTTTGTAATCTAAACCATCTGAGCAATTGAACACCACGCATTGAACGGCTATTGCTCTGCCCAGATCTTTTGTTGTTTCTGTCTTTCCCGTACCTGCTGGACCTTCGGGAGCGCCATTTAAATGGAGAGAATAGGCACCGATTAAGGTTCGATAACATCTAATGAACATTTAATTAATGATTTAATTAATTTTTTTGTTTTTTTGTTGTAATATATCATGTACCTGTCTGTCAACGGCGTGATAACTAATCGAGGACAATTTCCAAGATATTCATAAGCATAAGATACAGTTGCATTGATAATTCTGACAAGGACATCATCTTCCCAATAATATCGCAATTGTGCCAACCATTCAAAATCAGATTCGTGAGTGATATTTTTGTCGATTAATAGTTTAACAACATCCTGGGCATGGACGTCGATAGTAATTAGTGCATTTAAGGTGGTACGATTCTGCTTTGATAATTGCCCTGAAATACATAAATGGTCAAAAATTCGATATAGGCATTTTTACCGAGCTTTTACGAAATTCTTGCAGTTTTGAAAATATACCCTTTACCAAATTGACCATTTCTAAAATCTGTGCCTTCAATTGGTCATACAGAGTCGTCATAGTCGAAATTATGTGTGTCATTAAGCAATTTTGCACTTCTATACTCCAATATATTTGCGATACGCATAGTACAACCATCCCTGGCCAAATTCGCACCCACATTACACGTTCGTTCACTTCGTAATCAAAATAACTCATTAGTATCTCATGTCTAATTGACTTGACCATTTCCTCTTCAACCTGTTGAATGATTGTACTGTAATAAGCGATAATTGCAAGAACAAATATAAAAATTGTCACACCTGTACAAGCCAACGTTCGACACATCCTCGAGCTGCGACAGTGGATATAACATCTTGAAATTTAACTTCTTCTTTGTCGTCACTGAACATGGAATGAATTTCCAAATCTTCATTAAATCTATACAAAATTAAGGAATGTATTAAACTAACTATACATAAAAATAGTAGCGTTTATAAGTTTAGCTACCCAAGTTTAGCAATTCCCTCAAAACATTTTTTTAAGTGAGGTTGCACACGTAGAGGATCCTTAGTCTCAGAGAGTATCTCGAGCATGTCATCATTACTGAGAAAGAAGAAACGTGGAAAAAATAATCTCTTCTTCTCTAAATAATTAGCGACACCGTCATTAACTTTTTCCATCATTTCATTTGCTTCCTTCATAGCCTCGTACAGTCCAACCTAAATAAATATTTTTTTGTACAGAATTACTGTTATAAGATATAGTATAGAATATATTACTATGATCTATATATATTGAATTTTAAGAAGACTTACTGAACCAGCAGTCTCTCTCACACGAGCATCCTTTGCTACTCCTTGCATTGCTCTACGATAAGTCCCATCAACTTCTGAGAATAAAATACCTTCTTCAGGTAACTGAGCAACAATATCCTTGCTTGAGAATATTGGTAGCAGATACATCCACTGTACTTGAACCTATGAGAAAAATATTATTTATATAATTAAATTAGAAATAAATAATTCTTCTTACTTTCTAATTCAACACCTGATACCTTTGTCCACTCATCAATGGTTCTTTGTATTCGAAGAATTAAATCATAAAACACCTTTACTTCCTGTTCAATAGGTTTCACAAATGCTGAACCACGCATTGCTTGAACCTTGACGATGTGTTCTTCTAGCAATGCTTGAATATCATCAAGCTGTGTTAATATATGAACACCTGAATCTTTGAACATCATAGTTGTGAAGTTCATTCCGTCCCATTCATGAGTCATTTTTGCCAGGAGTTCCTGGAGAGAGAGTTCCTTTGTCGCACTCACACTTATCAGTTCATACCTTATGATACAAAGTTGGATGAATTATTATTTTAATTATTAACCGTAGTAGGAGGAATATAGGTAAATTTTACTTGTCCAAATCACTCATTAAATTCATATCAATAATTTTTTGCAGTGTGGTGCCAGCGTCTGGGGTTAAGTCAAAACCAGCAATCTCAGACATGTCATCCCAATGTCTTTGGCGTAATGCAGGATTACAGAAGCATACTGCTAATGGTACGTATTGCTATCAAAAATGAAATTAAGTATAGAAGACTAACTAAATAATATGATAATAACTATGTACCTTGAACCACTTAATATGTTCAAGTAACTGGAAGCAAAGTTTCATTGGCGCTGGTTGTTGAAATGGATCAGGATCATCCACAGAGCCTGCAAAGCTACCAGAGAAATTGTTTGAATAATTAATTTACAGCAATATTTACCTTAAGCAACTTTATGGAACCTGTATTGGTAATTCGTAGCATTGTGCATCTTTATCTTAGTTCTGTATGTTTTGCTAATCTTTGTAAAGTCTGTGAAATAATCCGTCGTCTTGTTCTCAATGACATTTGAGTCAAGATATTCAAAAGGACCATAAAGCCAAACTCCTACGTCACGTTGCCACTGATAAGCACGATATATTAGACTATAATAAGGCATAATAATTTCCTTGAGTTCTTTAATTCTAGGATAAGCAGTTTTCGGAAATTGAAAAAGGCCTTCCTCTCGATTTATCCACGTTGCTTCTTCATCCATACGATCCAATCCACGTACGAATTTTCTCATATCCTCAATGTAATCCTTTATACGATTTATATCGTCCATATCGTCCATTATAGAAAGTCTAATATGAAATTGAAATTATTTGATAACAGAAATTCGTAAGTTACTTAAAGGGATACTGATACCTTGGAAACATTTGTTCAACCTGACTACCCAGGATGGATGTTTTCTGTTGCAACTGTTCCTCTAGATCAAATTTCATCTGCTCGAACATCGAACTGTTTTGCTCAAAAATTGGTTTTATTCTCTTAAGCCAATTTATTGTCGTATTGTTCAATTCTATATGATCCTGATCCAATGTAGTCATTTCAATTAGAGAAGCCATTATGCATAACGAATGTGTAATCTTCTCACGTAGTTTTTCCATAAGAGTTGTAGTAGCGTATATCATATATTCACCTAATTTAAGTATGATTAAGTTTTATCAATTCACAAATTTTCTAGAAAAAGTATCATAGTCCCTTAGCCCAAACCTAATTCCAACAATTCTTTCGTGTTGCGAGGAATATTGAGTGAGCGTTCTTCAAGTCTCTCAAAAGTTTCGCAAATCTCTAAATTAAAATTACGATGACGTTTAATTAATTCGCCAATTATTAATTCGCGGACGTCCTTCGTGTATTTAGTTAGTCCAGCTTTCGCATCCTCCTGACGAAGTCGACCGACACAAAAATATTCATTTCCAGTCTATGATAATTAAATATATTAATAAATTAATACCGGAAAAAATATACAATTCAATTACGATTATGTTGGCGATTGGATCAATTATTTACCAATCCATAAATCTCTCCCACGAACCGATTGAAATCCTCGACTCTAGCGACACAATTTTCAAAATCATGTCCTTGGGCAACATATATTACGACATCTTTATGCGTTTCTGGATCGTATACGACTCCAAAACGCTCATGTAAACTTTTCACGTATTCATTTAACGGCAAATACATATTCTCGAGAATGGTATCTAATCGAGAATGAGATTGCTTTACATACCAGTCTGGTAAAACGACAGAAATAAATTCCTGTTGCGTTTTAATATTCACCCAGGACTCTAGAGTCTGCAGTGATTGTGCAATATCTGCTATTTCATCGATTAATCTATGAAATATTGCGTATATATCACGTAATAATGGAAATACAAATAATTCATGGTTCTCGCACTTCAATTCCAACTAATTAAACAAAATTAAATATTGCATTAAATTCATGTTGCATGTCCTTATGTGTTTTCGTGTAATTACTTTAAATTACCCTTAATAACGGCGTTGTACTCCAATCGCTTAATACTTTTAATAAGTGTTCTATAGTGTTCATCATACGGTTCACTATTTGAAGTTCGAGAATTTTAGAAGCACAACGTAAAAAACTTGGCACAATTTCAGGCGGTACATCGTGAATGTAACGTGGTTGTGATATCAATCTTACTATGTCAGTATAATAAGTGTTTGTTATTATCAGCGAACCTTTTTTCATGTCTCCTTCAATTAGATCAAGTAGCCTAGAGAGAACTTAAATATTACCCAAAATGCTGCAAGAGCGCATGTGTTTAATACAACGTACCTGTTTAAATCTTGAAATCCAGAAGAGTGATAACGTCGAAAATCGATAATCAATTCAGGCAACACAAAATACGCTCGTGATATTATGTTTTTGATGAGTTTGTGTGGGAAATAATATTTTTTGGTGATGATGCAACGATGTTTTAGAAATTTTGGACGGAATTTTGTACGTCCTTTACACTTGTGCGCTGGCTCGACATATTCAGGCCATTTATTGCCATCTTCACTTGCAATAATACGTCTTACCGCCATATCGTGCATTTCTTGATAATAACGAGTCTTTGTCTCATTTAATTGATTTTCAAAAAATTCATTGTACTTTATTCGCAGAGACTTTGGTACTAAGTTTCTTATGTTTCGTTCCCAGTCCTGTGTAAAGAATTTAAAAAATATATTCTATATAGTGTTGGAGAGTGTTTTATGGTGTTCAAATATAACCCGATAATGTATTTACCGGAAGAAGACCAACAGTTGGTAACATTTCTGCAAATTCTTTAATTTTGCTGTAATAAAAGGCTTGTGGCATTTCGAGGTGGCATTTTCGTATGTCTCCTTTCACGCCAATACGAAATTCCGCAATTTTTGCTTTGCTTGCCGCTTCTTCTACCATATTGTAAAATTCCCGCTTACGTACCTAGAATTCGTCATTATATCTATCATGAATCACTAATTATGTAAGAATTTAGAAAGGTTACTTTCTGCAGTTGAAAAGTGCATAATGGATTTCTTTCCATCTCATCTTTGTCTTTGAATTGATTAATATCCGGAATTGGTGACATTTTTGGTAGTGAAGTCTTTCCATACAAAATGTTGTATAATTCCCATGATTCCGACATTTCAAAATCTAAGAAATGTTCTTCGCCAGTTCGGACTGTCAATAAATCAAAGTAGGTATTATAGAATTCTGTGTTCTAAAATTCTCGTTTTTCAATTTTTTTCTTTATCATCTGCCAACAGAACGAGGATATCATTATAATAACGAATATAATGCCATTCGCATTTTACAACGGTGGGAGATATATGGAAAGCATTGTATTTAGTATTCTTACGAAAGCCTGATAAAAATAAGTGATGAAGACTCATACAAACCGATAGAATTCGAATATTTGAAATCAATCGTTCGCGATAAAAGATTGCTTCCTTATTATATTAACCCTCAAACGGCTGTTCACTACATCGTTTATTTATTACAGAATTTACGTATGGAAAATTCGCTTTAGGGCAATTCGATTTACACCAGGGACCGTTTTACAAGACTATCAAACACTATCAAACGATTAGAAGTAAAAAAAGTTTAAAAAATAAAAGTTAGCTAATATCACACAGGTTGTAAAGAAGGTAACTGAACCGATATTTCTTTTATATGCAGTCCCTGCTTCACACGAATGAACTCTTTCTTCATGAAACCTAGGCTAAAACTAGATAAATATTTAAAAAATATATATATTTTTACTAGAGAAATCAGTGTAATAATCTGAAATTCTAATTATATTACGTAATACATTTCTCTAAATTCTTTACAAAAATCTCATTCTTTTTCCGTTTAATTATTATCGACATATCTTCTATCCCATGTCGTTTAAAATAGGCTTGCACATTGACAGATTGCGCTGCGTTCTTGTAGTGGTTTACTATGCTTGAATAACAAACCTGAAGTCGCGAACATGGCAGACTCGGAACAAGATAATACAGATCGGGGTGATGGTGATAATTTAAAGTCAGATAAGCTTTTTACATTAAAAAAATGGAATGCAGTGGCTATGTGGAGTTGGGACGTGGAGTGTGATACGTGTGCTATTTGTCGCGTCCAAGTAATGGGTAAGTTCATATAGTTATCATAACATAACCTCTCATTCCATTGTTACTTTCAGGTAATTCTTTCTAAGCTGATATTATATTTATAATTTTGAGAGAATTCTAAGCTTTATATGTTTTCTCAATGTTCAATACTTTATTCCTATAATAAAATATTTGCTCTTTTAATTAGGGAAATCATACTGTAGAAATTGGAACAGGGCGAAACTACATATTGCTTATTTCATGTTATTTCTTATAGTCATAAGCCCGTATTCAGAACTCGCTTTTAGTGCTAATAGCGCGCTTTTAAATTTTGTCTTATTGACTTTTAACTACAAGAGACTCTGTTAGTGACTTTAAGAACGAGTTGTGAATACGGACTATAGTGAATTTGGCTTAGTAATGTTTATGAATTGAGTGTACGCTTTTAGAGTTGTTACAGCATGTGATGATTTATATCATACTCGCATCACAGCATTAGTCTGTACGTTTCTGAAAGGAATATCTTATACATCCTTCTGTACTTTTATTTCTTGCACAGAAATTTATTTTCATATTTCTTATTTTTTTTTATGTATAGAACTTACATTTGTACTCTTGTTTTATGTGATGTAATTTGTACATTATTTTAGGAAGATAAAAGTCATAACTTACTTATATGCATAAATATGTAAAATATTTTTCAGAAATCAAGTAATAAATAGTTATTATTAATGAAAGAATAGGAGGTTTTGGAGGGGTATAAATAATTAACAGTTTTACATAAAGATATATCTGTATCGTTCCATTGTCATAAAAGTATCTGGAATGTACAGTGTCTGTATAAACTTATCTTGAGTATTAAATTATCCAAAATATTTAAAGTTTACCGAATGCTCTCTTCATAAATCTTACATACAATAAGTACCTCTACAATAATTAAGTTTTAAAGTTCAAAACTGTTTTGGACATTAGGTTCTAATGTCCAAAAACTCTATGCATTTTTTCAAAAATATAGATCATATATTTCTGCCTATTGTAACACTCGTTAAAAATTCACAATCAATAAATCTTTCAATGAAAAACAATTATTGTACTTGTCGTTTTAATATTCAAGGCATTAAGGCTACCATAGACTCATCGTACTTTGTAACAGCAGGTAATCAGAACCTGAAGTAATTATATATCGTATCATTCTAGAATGAAATCTTGTCAGAATAAATATACAGTATGCACTATTAAAATTTTTATAAAAACTAAAGAGACAATTGTTATCCCTATTGACATTCATGACTACGATTAAATTATTAAGTGACATTATCAGGTATCACCACTTGCTACTACGCAAGGATGAGATTCAAAACAATTTAATTTCACAAACGATTTCTTCCTTATTTTTGTTCTTTCAAAAGCAAAAGCACTGAATTATACGAATCAAAAAAAGTTTAAGTACATACGTACGTCACCGTGTAAGAATCAATTCTCGCGTATGCCCTCGATAATAATAATAATATTAATAATAATAACAACAAAGATAAGAATAGTCGATCAACGAATTAATCTTACCCTCCGAAATTTTTAAAGCTTTCAATTGTCTCTACCTTCGACTATACTCTAAATATTTTCATTTTCAAATTTTAAAGTACTAGTGGAATTCGTTTAAGACTCATATTGGGTATCGTTTTTACTAGTTGACTTATTTAAAAAATATATTTTCTACTATTGTCCCTTATTATCTAATACACTTTCTGTCGCATTTGTAATATTTACACGAACTATCTACATGTCGACCAAAAATAGCTACGCAAGCCTGTGACTATTCATATATACGCATTCGTACATATATATATATATATTTTTTTTTCTATATCTAAATATATCATATATGCCCACGCGCATAGGCTTAGACGCGCGTGCGCATATATTTCAATTAGTTAAATAATTGATAACAATAAGTAATGATACCTCCATATATACCGTTGGTAAATCTGTACGCATCCGTGCAACATTATTGGCTTGAGGTAGACTCTGTAGGATTGTCGAATAACAAAAAACAGAAGCTATACATCTAGTCAACAGCAATTACTTATCCGTCATCTCCTATATTCAAATGCAAGACTCTGATGTATCACAATGGACCCTGACGTAGATCAAGAAGTCACAAGGGATTCTAGAGTCCCATAGGAACGAGCTAGGTAAATACGAGAATGAGAATTCTTTTGTCTTTTGAGCAGTCCACGCGGACCTCCTCGTGTCTGTCAGTTAAAATCAAAATTAAAGAATAAAAATGGAAAGACAATGATCGACGTCGTATCACAGTCTTTATCTATATAGATAATAATCATTAACGATGTCGACGATTGACGAATAATTTTCGTACTCCCCATGGTATAACCACGGAACAGTAGAAACACGGCCTTAAGATATCGCAGTACAGAAGTTTTAAAAACGTGTCCGAATGAAAATTAGACTGAACAAATTTTAAATAAATAGTGCAAAGGTACGAGTAGGGCGACGAGGGGCACTGCGACGGAAAAGTCGATATAAAATTGATTAAATAATAAAGAGAAAGAGAGCAAGTCAGTTGAAGAAAATTGATCACTGATAGTGATTGAAAGTATGGCAGATCAATTGTTTCCAATATTTTGGTATGGAGCTTTTCAACAGATTCGTAATTCATTAGGTTCCTGTCGCGCTTATGTTTTTCCAGTGCCGCTCCTCGCCCTGACAAGACACGATCGATGTGCCGCACGGACGTCTGAACTACTTTTGAACTACACAATCTACCGGAAATGACTACGACGAATGATTTTCATCAATTCTCTCACTTTTTGGCGCAAGTAAAGATCATCCAACTTGATAAACTAACACGCCGTCGGCATTGGCTTCATGTTAGCGACTGCACTCATTCTTCTCACTGGTCCCGTTAGCCTCTTCTCTATCTCCTCCAAGGACCTACCTCGTGTCTCAGGTACTGCTATCACAACGAAGATCAAACCCACGACACATATCACAGCGAAGAGCCAGAAGGTGTTACCGTCACCGACGGCCCTGCTGAGGTCTTTAAAGGTCTTGGTCACGATGAACGTGCACGACCAATTGAAACCGGTGACAATGCTGGCTGCTGATCCTCTGATCTTGGCCGGAAGTATTTCACCCATCATGAGCCATGGGATTGGTCCAAAGCCAAGGGAAAAGCCAATTACGTAGATGACCAAGCTAGCAAGTGGCAACCATCCGTAGGATGCAACATGAGCTCCGCTTTCTTTTTGGTAAAAGAAGAATCCTAGAGTCACCAGTGTCAGGATCATTGACGCGCTACTGATGTAAAGAAGAACCTTGCGTCCTAGCCTGTCTATCAGAGCGGTGGCTATGAACGTGGACAGGAAATTCACGATGCCTACGATGATCGTGCAGATGTTTTGGTCGATGGTGCTGCCAGCATTCTGTAAATAGAGCAAATATAATTTATTAATTTTTCTTTCTCTTCATCCCTTCAGGTTAAGGGTGCAATAAGGATCTGCAATTGAGCAAGGACCGTCCAGAAAAGTTTGTTTACGTACCTGGAAGATTTCAACGGTGTAGAAGATAATGGCATTGATACCAGACATCTGTTGGAAGAACATGAGTCCGAGAGAGATCAGAAGTGGCTTCAAGTTATTTCCTTTGAAAAGTTCAACGCAGGCACTCTGAGAGGCGTTTCTTTCACTGTCAACGTGCGATTTCTCAACTGCAGTTAGTTCCTCGGATATGTCACTGTTCTTGCCACGAAGCCATTGCAGAGATTGGCGGGCCTTCTTCGTCTTGCCTTTGGAGATGAACCATCTTGGAGTCTCAGGGATCATGAACACCAGGATCATAAATGGTATCGGCAGTGTTGCACCGAGTAGGGCCAGGTGCGACCAGTTTAGGTACATACCGGCTGCGAAGCATAACAAAATTCCTGCGCCGGAAAGATAAACATCTCATTAAGATTTCCATTACTTCAAGACTCATTAAGTATTTCGATGAAACAAGACATAGGATAGTTTTAAACTTACCGGTATTACCAAAGGCCGTCGGTAGTAAACCTAATGTTCCTCGGACTTCCGGTTGGATTGTCTCGCCTAAGTATACGGGTAAGGCGAGGGATGCGACGCCCACGCAAAAGCCGCTCAAAGCTCTTCCAGCCAGGATCATTCCGATATTAGTAGCCAGGGCGATCAACAGCCAGGCTAAAAAAAAAATAAAATAAAACTGTCGATAAATTATGTTTTTCAATTAAAAACTTTGAACTCTTTCAATTATAAATATAAGATCACTGTGAAAAGAGTAATGAAAAATTTCATTTCAAAGATTCCATTATACGAAGTGCATATAAGCACAACATTTTTAACAGTCAATTTAATGGCTTAGTCGTAGATGCAAATTCAATTAGCTGCGAGGCATTCGATTGATTAATACAACAAAATAACTGTAGCACTATGTGAAGTAGCTATACGTAATCAGAAGACCGTACTATGACTGTGATAAGAACGATTGTCCTATTAAACGATTCCCACGACGACGCGTAATCGACGCCCACCTTACGGAGGCGCCTCGACCTGTCACTCTGGCAATCTTAGATACTATTATTAATTGATGGAAAATTGCATAATTCGAAGACAAGGTCATGCCTCAAGCTCTTAACAATTACCACTCGTATATCAGATTTGAAACTAGCGTACATACAACAATGTATACGAGGCAAAATATGTATTGTTTTCTTATTAAATTTTACGTAACGCAATAAAGCGCGAACGCGGAAGTGAAACGGGTCATGTTTTTGCTAGAAAATTGACTTTGCAAAGTTGCGTCTCCGTCGTATGTATAGTAGATAAGTATAGATCAAGTAAATATTATATCACTCACCTGCGATAAATGGAAAGGCCGTGGCTAAAATGGTATTTCTTCTTCCAAGATATTCGATGCTCGGACCACCAGCAATTCCACCAAATAATGCGCTAAGTGGCATAATGCTGCCGATCCACGATTCCTGCAAAGTAAATTTTAAGAATTACAATTGTACTTATGATTTATATTCAACTTGCATCGTGCACGTAGAGTCTTTGTATCCGATAACCTTCCTTGCGTTGGTGGGTTATCGTACGGTTTTAAGTAACGTATCGTCGATGATAGGTTATGGTTTTTCGCAAGAGACCATAAATAGCCATGCAATTCATTTTCGGATTACTGTCACGTATCATTGACTCACGATATTGTCTATGGTTTTTTAATGTCGTATACAGGGTCGTATTGAATGATTTACCAAGTAACTTCCCTTCCGGGTCCTTTTCGTTACTTCCGGGTGAATTTTTTAGATGGCTGTTTTCTAGTTTTTTTTTTTCCAGTTTCGTGAACAGAGCATGGCACTCGTGGTACGGTTACTTGCGAAATTATGTATAAACACTTTCTAAAACCAGTTTCGTCTTTTTCAAATTCATTCACCGCGTATATACTCGGACTTTACATGGAATTCTCAACTGATCGGCATAGCAGTTCGAGTTACGGATGTTGATCTTGCGACAATGACTGTAGCGCGAAATTTCAAACTCAAGGGAGCCTCAAGTTCTATTTGACTCTTAATACCGGCGTGGTCAGGGAATTGGCCAATCGTGCTATTCGATCTTCTCTGAGGACGTTTAAACCAATCGGGTCACTAATCGAACCATCGAGCCCCTGACCACTAGACTAGTGACGCATGTGAGGTTAACTTTTTAACCATCGATTGATCTTTGAATATCAAAGGAGTTTTAACGTTTTAGCTTCGTAACCATAACCTCGAAAATTTCCAAACAGTCGCGTAGTCGACTTGGCTTTATTTGGATTCATTTATTAATTTTTTTTTTTTAATTTCAAATACTGCATTTTATTGCACAGTGTTTATCGCTTGGGATATGATTTGGAAAAGTTGCCGTTTAATGTATCTGATATGTCACTTATATGCATGTCTGTCTTGAATAGGCTAACGTATATGGTGTATGTATTATTAGTGACCTAGTAACGGTGAATGCTCCAAGAATATTCTAGATGGTGGCGAAGAGCAACAAAGAAACTGAAAACACAAGGACGCCCCAAATATCGATCACGACTGCCTCTTTCTTTGCCATTTGGAAACTTTGCATGCCCGGGGGTTTTCTTTTCGTATACCTAATTCGGATCGATAATCGTTTGTCATTAATTCGTATGAACCTTTTTTTTTTGGTAATTGACGCCGCTCTCTATATTCGGTAGAAATAGCCGACGGTCCTTGTTATTTGCCAATGGAAACCACATAAGGAAACGTGTAGAATTGCAATGAGCGATACGACGCAAAGTAACATTGTATTCGCAAATTTTATTCAAGGGATTGGGAGATACGGAAAAAGTCATTGATACCATAACCGGTCTTGGTAGTAGCTAAAATGTGGATTTGACTTCTTTTTGCGAATTTAATCATCAAGGACTTCGAACGTATCGACCTTTTGAAATTTTTCGAGACAAGGTGTCAAATGATTTTTATTCAATGACTGTCGATGATACGAATGTGTCGATGCAATTATGGATATTTTGGTACATTTCAATGTATTTAAAAAATTGTACTTACAATTTGTGCATTCAGATGTAACGGCGTATTAGTATCGTTGTACATGCTTATGAGAGCTGGTGACGTATAGGACGACGAAAATCCGACCACCATCGATCCCAACGATACCGATAAGGCCGCGAGTACCTATAAAAAAAAAAAAAAACGTTTTCTTAAAAAACTGATATACTTAAAAAATGCCCAACAATCTTTTAACATCATTAAGTTCCAAAGCGTAATTAAAAAAGTATGAATAAAAAAATTCCCCAAAAATAAAAAATGACCCAATCGAAAAAAAAAAATATAAATTAAAATAATCCTCACATTTTTTTTGAGTTCCAAAAAAAAAAAGTCCAATTTTTATTACAAAAATCGAATACCTGGCTGAAGGTACATTTCGCAATAGGTGTGTTCCCTGGCACTTCTATATTAATATGGGTATCCGCTCTCATTAATATCTTCATGACGAAGACTTTTTGCGCGACAATTTTGACGAGAAAAAAAAATTTAAAAAAATTCGAAAAATGCGCGGCCGCGAACCGCCTTAGCTCGTATTCACTCTGTAAAGCGTCTGAAGTTGTACGCGACTAAAAGTACTTTGCGCTTCTCTTTATTGATCGAAACGATGACGAAAGTCGATCGCGTTAAATACGATAACAACAACAATGCAATATGACAGTAGAAACGAGAAAATGACGTTTAATGATCCAACAATTTATTCTTATTGGATCGAAGTGGATTGCCGATCGAGTGGAAGTTTTTGGTGTCACGGAATAATAAGCTATTGACACTCGTGGACCGTTGGTTCTCTTATATAGGAAGCACGCTGGGGGCCGGCTACCCCTTCCTCGATGTCCATCGCTCGCGAATCGTAGGTACATTCGTGCACGTATACACAGAACGCGCAAGTATATGCGTATACTATTCATTGGACCTCAGTGGTAAAGCCATTTACATCTGCCGGCATTGTCCCTATACGATTCGCCTCTATGTACTATCATAGACTAAAAAAAAAAAAAAGAAAAGGCCAATGGATAAATACGTTCACAAGCAAATTCAAGGGATTTATGATCTTCTCGTGTAAAATTACGCATATTCACTTACATGTAAAAAAAAGAAAAAAACATCAGATATACCTAAACAATTTTTATACTCAAAAGATATATACCTATACGCGTGCTCATTTCCATAGATGGTTATAATAGAGAATTATTATGAATACGTTAAGTAATTTTGAATGACGCGCGCTTTTTTCAATAACGATCTTTCAATGCTTACACCTCTGTACTCTTTGCCTTTTGCCTCTTTACCACCGTACAGCCCCTTTCTGCCTTCCCATCCTTCTTCGCCACTACTCGACTCTCTTTTTCCATGAAATCTTATTAATCAGACTTCTTGTCACTTTATCTCTCTCTCTCTCTCTCTCTCTCTCTTTATTTGTATGCCAATTATTTTTCATATCGAGATGTAACCGTATTCGCTTCACCGGTATATTTTTCGTTTTAACAGTACCAGCTAGCACGATTGGTATTGCCTTGGGCTCTTTACTTTTAGGGTTTTTTTTTTTCTTTCTACACTCGTCTTTAGACTCTCGAAATTCCTTGGTACGCAAAAGAGCGTTTTGGAATATGGTCTCTTGGGTCGAGCCCCTCTGTACTTAGCTTGGGGTTATGAATAAAACAGAGTCTGAAATGGTACGAATTATTGACCCACGTATTAAGTGCTTTTCTCGTATCGTTTAGTCAGTTTACTTAAAATTTCCGGGTTTTTTTTCTTTTCTTTTTTTTTTCCTTTTCGAATGATTTCGTTAATCCAGCGACTGTTTTACGACGCGACGATTAACGTACGTTTTCGTGTACGGAACTTCACGTGATTTCGATCGATCGAATAATTAATATTGAATTTATTGATATTAAAAATATTCACGATGAAATCCATCGATCATGGCTCCCATCAGTTTCCACCTTCCTCTATGAGAAAAACTGGCACGTATACTTGGCGCTTATCGATTTATTGAGAACAGTCCTATCTATCGCACGTCATTCAGTCGTAGAAAGAGTACGATCGTTAAGATCTGTAGTTAGTTAGTTAGTTAAGGACGACCGGTAGCGCAGGACTTGGTACGTGTTAAATTATTGCCGATCACGCGCAAGGTCGTCATTCGCCTTAGATAAGTGAACGATGACGTTGCGATCCCTTGTCACGAAGAATGCGTCGCGAGTGCGCAATTTTTAAACAATCGATCGATTGTTCGTTAAGCAATTGGCACAGTCGGTATTCCGTGCTTAAATGGAAAATAGAAGCAATTTTACACCTGATCGAGACACGCGCGTCATTTGACTACGAAAGTCAAGTGCAGCTACGTTGTATTTTTTTTTTATTGCGTCTCCCGAGACACGCCGACTGTTCTTGATAATAAAGAAAAAAATTATATTAATCTTTCATATAAGTATATGTGTAATGTATTCGTTATTTGATCCTTCAGGTCGAGGAGTGACCCGATTTCGAATACATGACTCATCGCGTGTTCCAAAATTCTCAAACTCGTGGGCACGAGGTACCTCTTGTCGCGCGATTCATGTAACTCCATGTGGACATGTAGATCGGTAAATTTCGATTCAGAAACAAAAATGTCCTTGTACTCCTCCCCCCATCACTTTCCCCTTCTCAAAAGATAATTCGAGAACCCACGGTGAATTTCCATCCGGTGAAATGCGACTAGTAGCTATGTACGTGCGTTCCATTTTTTTTATATTCGCCATATCTCTAACGCTCTTTGAGTCAGTATTTCGCAAATTTGCCTTTCGAGCTATGATTCGACGCTTAATCCTCTTTATTATATACCGCCGTCGTCTTGCGAGTCGTATTTTGCTCTGAGCTGTCGTGGCTCGTCCTCGTGACACTAGTGACCTCTGTGAATTTACAAGTCAACTAGTTTCTTGGTACTAGAGGATCGTCTTGATCCTTTTTTTTTCATGGATTTTCGATTGAGTCAAGTACATTTCGTCGGTGAGTAACCAGTGCGTTGCGGGAACGTCGCGACGTCCTTAGTCTTTCGAAACAGTACGAGTCGTTACTAATCGTCTTTCTGACCGTGGGCTAAAAATGATTTTCGTTCGAATCTTTCCATTCTATATTTTTTTCCCATTTTTTTAAAATAGAGCTCGTAAACGGTCTATTTGTTCTATCGGTTCTGCGTAGATATTTTGAAAAAAAAAAACGTCGGTCACGCAGACCAATTATTTTTCAAATTTTTTGACATTAGTGACAGACGGTAAAATCTTGACGTATAAACAAAAATACGAGTGTCGAACTAAAGATTACGTTCTCGAAAGTAAACAGACTGAAAGTAACGCGCGTCCTGTAACGGACTCAAGTATTTGACAATCGAGAAGACTCAACGCAGAGATACGAAGCCACGATACGAAATTATAATAATGTGAGTATATAGAACCGATAGATTGCAAATAACCGATAGAATACAGAAAATTATCTTTCCAAAATTTTACGCACATCCGTTTTGCCTTGGTAGTCTTTTAGCGATGCTCCCGACAATCGCATTGCGATGGTCGCGTCCTTAGAGATGCTTCATTACGCAATAACAATATACAATAGTTTGATAGCCACTGCAAAACTAAATGACAGTATGGTTGATGCTTTTTCCAAATTTCACGGTACGCTCGGTTCATACGCGGAAGCCCGCTCGATCCATTTTTAATTAAAAAAAAAAGATAAAAAATTTATATTGCGGAATAAAAAATGACGTCATATACCTTAATAATCACACTGGCAAGAAGCCTCCTGCTGAGTGTCGTACACATGGAAACGTCTGACCACGCCCGTACCTAAACTACTAGCAAGCGTCGTCCACTCGATTCAATAAAATTTCACGCCATGAAAATGCTTCTTCAGTTAAAGAAAATATAAGATTTCACGGCATATGTTTCTGTTATATATATATATATATATATATTGTATTCCTCAAGGGTCACTCACAACGAGCGACAAGTTCTCACAATGCCACACACGTAATTATTTGCATCCCTGAAATAGAATTGAGCATTCCATTCGCATAGTTTACCATCGGCAAGACGCGTCTCTATGTGTTAACATGTCGCAAAATGCAGCCACGGTCGCGAAGTGCCATTTACGGATTCGCAAATGAGTACGAGAGCGTGAATCACGTGTATGCAAATGGTTGCAGTTACATGAAAACGAAAAAAAAAATATCAATAGATTTACTCGAGCGCCAAGCAAGATGAAGTTTAAATTATTTCTATATCCTCGAGGCGGAAGGAACAATGGAGAGAAAAAAGTCACGCAAGGATCCTAAAGGCTGCTTCTAACGCGGGTATACTATTTCTGTGTAAAGGTCGTGGATTGCGTATGTATTCTATACGCAATGAAGACATCGCGACTGGCAGTCATTTTTTTTGTCTCTGTCGGTAAAAAAGAAATCTTCGTCGGTCACAGACCTCCCTGCTACATTATTCGGATCGCCATCGTATTCGCTGTCTGACTACGTCTGATTCATACTACTGGCGCTTAACGACATAAGCCTCTTTTCTTTCTGACCGTATCTGTATATCAATTTCATTTCACGTATATATATATATATATATATATATATATATATATATATATATGGACGTAAGCATTACCCGAATTTGGAGCAGGCTTTGTTAAGTCATGCGTTGTCTTGCGTGTTACCTATTGCGAAATTTGACGAAATCTCTATTGCAAAGTGTTACACAGTGTATATATGTATATATACGTGTATGTAAATAACCGTATATAACTTTTTAATATATATATTTAACATAGAGGAAAAAGATCATGACGCTAGTCGAAAAGTCACGTGCGGCACGTCATCGATTTAGCACCTGTCTACGTTCTGTTTGATGAATAGAAAGAAAAAAAAAATTTTTTTTTTTCTTAGCAAAAGTTGCCAAAGCGTAAAGCGATTCCCATTAGTAGCAATTGTTTACTCGGTTGCTGTAAAAATCATTGTCCTTCGATACGTAGTCATTACGCGAGGCGTTAACGGTACTAATTGCGTTTTAATGACCATAAGCGGCCAAGCCCATTGCGGCGCTAACTTTAAATCTTGCTTCTAATTCTTCAAATTAACTTTTTGTCGCACGGACACGTGATCCTGCTTCCGATTGCCGCTTATTGGCATATAGAAATATATATACTGTGTGGGATTTATAATATATGGAGATTATTATATGTGCCAAGGTGGCTATTTATATTGCAAAAATAGGAACATTTCAAAACAGCTGTTTCGCCAATTTTGGCTCGTTCCTTCATTTTTGGGGATATATAACCGGCGCGACCTTCACCTTTGAACGGTGAGCGAAAGCACAGATAACCAATGACAAAAATCTTTTTGATTCCGGGGGCAGCCGATTTGAAGCGAAAAACAAATAAATGAAAGTGACAGCAATAAAAGTTATTTAAGGCTACGAAATCTTGCATATATGTATACGAATCGATTGTTACGTCAAAGCGGAGTTTTAGATTGGACGAATAATAATAATGAGTCTAATTGGAGTACTGAATTGTTCAATGGACTTTTTTTTCATATGAACTTTCGAAAATTTGAATTTTCACAATTTAAGAAGTCATACGAACGATTGACAAGGAAATTTGGCATTCCGTATAGAGAAACAAAAAAGTGATTGTCTGATATTAATAATTAATTAATACTTCATTAATGAACACTCACCTGAGCACCATATCCTGCCTTTTCTGGTTTTGTCTCCCTTTGAAATTGATATGACGTAAGCGGCACGCTGTCCGCCGTCTTCTGCTTGACGTCCTGCATATCCATTGGATCTTTCGAGTCGGGACTCTCTGTGTGCTCCTTGTTGCACAAGAGCGGATTTAGCTGCTTGTAATCAGCGTCGGTTGCCTTTTCCATGTTATAAATCTGCGAGCCCTTCAATCCACTTTGATGATTGTTCCTCAGATTTTCAGCATAGTAATGACTCGCGGCGTTACTTCCATTGGGATAGCTGCCTTTTCTATCCGTTATTAATGTGATTTGACTGTTGAAGGGACTGGCGTTGGTTACCAGGGTAGCATTTGATGCACAGTCCGACACGAGACTCGATGACGTCGTCGCGGATCTGGCGATCGAGGGTACCCTGGTGTAATACTTTGGGAGGATGGTACGCTCCTGGAAGCAAAGAAAAAAAGCTTAATGAATTATTTGTTTGATCGAAAAAATATATTACCCAAGAGCAATGCTATAGATGCTACAATTCATCCGTGTAATTCAGAGGGGAAATGAATACGATCTCTTAAAAATCAACCCGGCGCCATCTACGAAATCCGTAGCTTTTTCTGATGTGAAATTTTTATTCACATATCCTACTTCCAACATGGTCCTTAAGTATGATAATTTCCAGATAAGCTCTTCATATTTTAGTTACATGGAATAAGCCCATAGATCCCTAAGGCATCTCTATGGGTCCCACGGACCCATGTAGACGACGGTGTTTCTTTTTGTGATGGCACCGGGATAACCGGAAACTGGAGTAAATGTATTTTGGGAACCGGAAGTCTATGCAGATTTTGATTCGGTTAAGCTTGGACGTACTTCGAACATGACTTGCTATTATTTTTTTGCCTTTGGCCTAATTAGGCTCATTTGACTAATTTGACTTTTCTTTCGGTCTAGACGATACTACGAGTGTCTTCGCTCGAGTGACGTAATCGTTAAGTAGCGTCGCTTTGAAAATATTCGAAGGACATAACGTTTCGTAAAAATATCCGTCAGTTTGTTGTTTGCCCATTGCGTTATATATTACATGTGCAATGCATTCTGGTTATCGTCATTATAGTAAACGTGTCATCGTCGTGCACTTCGAACGAATTCATTAAGATCGACAGGCGATACGTATATCGAGTAAGTTCAATCTTCAGGTAGTTATACGTGCATTCTTCTCCAAGCTCGTGAAGTAATAACGGAAAACGAATAAAGTAACGCACGCAGAGTATTGCCCGTGATCATTGAACTTGCGAAATTATTTTACAATTAAACAATAAAAATCACACGTTGGACGTTGAACTTTGTACTCTATCTGTAACGCGGTTGAAAAGTATCCTTCATTCTTATTATTCACGGTATCGAGAAGTTTCGCAATAGAAAGTACAAAAGAGCGTGACGAACGACGAGACAAATAAAGACTGTTATTGTTCACCGTACGAAATACCCTTGCATAGGTGGACGTCGAAAAGTACGTTGTAAACTTTCTACTTGTCTTTTACTGCAAAAATAACTCGTCACGATTACAGTAGAGGCAACGTGAAAAAAAAAACAATAAGGTGGAAGACGAGCGTATAACGCGATAAACAAAAAGTAATAACTTTACAAGGGAGAAAAGAAATATGAAAAAATTGAAGTACGTACTGCCAGTGAAAAATTCACTCGATCTTATTAGCGGCGGAGCAGGAGTTTTTACGTCGCTTGAAAACTCGTATGAAAAATTTGTTATTCCACTCGATCTATGGACGCTCAGTGTTCTCCTAGTTTAACTGAGGTGGACACGACAAACCCTAATGAGGTGATGAAACGACTAAGTGGTCGTATTTATACGGGCCAGAATTATCAGAATTGTGCCGTCAGCTTGGTACGATCATCGAATGAGCCAATAAGTAGGAGAGGAGAGAGTATGATGCTCTTCGAGTGATTAGATGACTTTTACCCCGCGACTCTGATAACCCCTATGAACTTTGTCGAGTTAAATTCTTTCAATGTTTTATATTTGGAAAAAGTGTCTTGTCGAACGTAACTGTTGAACCCATTCGCGGTATTTGGTTGAGGTTACCTCTTTTTTTTTAACAGAGTCATGAAATTACTATAATCTCTCAGACCGATGAGAAATCATTGCAATAGCTGCTGATTGCTGTCATATTCCTTATACTAGGGAAGACCAAGACTGGTTGACTAACTATTTAGATGGAATTAATTTGATCCAGAAATTTTGAATTTTTTTTAATATTAAAATCTAGTATACCTATCAAGATATATTTAACAGTCATTAGCATTTAATTTTTCGTTAAAATCACACAAATCAGTCATCAGAGTTGCAATTTATACACAAAACATGTGAAATTAACTTTATTGACCCATGTGCCCACATGCTGCATTAGTCCGATTTTCTTTTAGGACGACGCGTTGCTGCTCGATCCATGATGTCTGTAGGTATTTTACGTTGGTTGGATATTTCCTTGTACGTCCGCATAATATATCTGCGTGAAACGATAACTACTTAAAGTCAGAATATACTGGGTATGTTGAACACAATCAAGAAAAAGAGAACTGGTGACGTGCATCGCTCGACAGAATTCGTCAGTCAAGCAATCCCATTTGTGTCTAGCCAATAAGCCCCATTCGAAAAACTCATATTCGACGGTTTGTTCAAAGACAGTAGACGATTATATGTAAAATCGACCAATGTCAAAGATGCCTTTGACGATAGTAGAGAAAGATCTGGGTTGAAATTTTGTATTTTCCCTACAATTTGTTACGTTCCAATAGCTTGCTACCGTAAGACGTGGCGCTATGTTGTGATAATGTGTTAAGACTCATGCGTGACGCTGCCGGGCATATTTCACTGCAAAGACAGTTTCTTCGAGTTACGAAATCAGAAAGTATAAAGCGTTAGTAAGTTTACCCCATGCGCCAACTAGTCCCGGTTTCCCCTGGAAGTTCATTCTTCAGCCTTGTATATATATATATATACTGGTTCAAAATCTGTATTCCTCTCTTTTCTTGTATAAGTTTTTCTCGAAAAAAAAACAAACAAAAAAAAACGAAATATTCGTCAAACTGTATTAACGACAGTTTTTATTATTATTTATTATTTATGTTAATGTCTCTTATCGCGTTTTCCCTTCTTAGGCCATGGAACAAAAAATATGTAACGCGCATGCGCACGTTATGACGTTCGTGTTGTTGATCCGTTTGCCTCGTTCGCATTACGATAAGAATGATTTGTTCTTCTTCTTGGCAGCGATTTATGAGGAAACTAAGAAACATCGATTCTCGAGAGTGTATTGGGATTCGTTATTAAAAATTATTGAGATTTGTATAAAAATTGGAAAAAAATTTACTTCACGAAAATTCGGGTTTTACATTGTCCCTTGCATCGTTCCGTCTGCTATTAATTTTTTGAGCAGTTTATTCAACCATGAATCAATTATTTGTTTCGTCATAGTAACGCATTATCATTTCTTTTTAATTTACATGATCTTTCTTATGATAATAAACTCTCGCGCCTTGCGACTCGTACTCGATTCGGATGTCACACGTTAAATTTGAATTTACTCTTTGGCGCCTTCTTGTCTGCTGGATTCATTCTGGACGTATGTATGAAATTACTCGAATGTAAAACTCTCTATCAGTAAAGTTCAATGGGTCATGTCAAATTTGTATTATATAGCGAACTAGTATACACGTTTAATCGAAATTGGGAATAAATGAGCGTAAATGGAAATTTTCGATTTACACATTACAGAAGCAACTTGTTACAAACAACTAATTATTGTTATTATCGTAAATTGAACTTTGATCAAATGATAATTTTTTTTACTACGGAACTATTCATGCAAATAATAAAAGCAACGCGATTTTTGGACTCTCAATTAATTCCATAAATTTTCATTACAATCGCTCAATGAAATTTCGGAGACATATTTATCATGAGACTTGACACGATGACTGATCAACATTACGATATATATATATATGCTCTCGAGAATCTTCCGAGTTACGTATTACGCCCACGTGCGTTATTTCCGTCTTCTACCATGTGGTCAGCCGCTTATTCGCGAACGGCCTAGACAATTTTGGTTAAAAATAAAAAACCAGTGGTAGCGCGAAATAACGTTGCTTTTGTTCGAGCGTCTTTTTTCCCGTACATTCCTTTTTTTTCTGCAATATCTCCGTTCACTTATTTTCACGACAAACTCCCAGCTTCGATTTGCAATTCAAGGTCGGCGACTTCCGACACAATATTTTTCACGCACAAATCCCTACACGTTACGAAATTTGAGATATAATTTTTTTGCATGCTCAATTGATTGCACCTTTTTTTTTTTCCTGAAAATCCATAAACCGCCCTTTGTCAACAATGACAGAATCTCTGCGTAATCTTGAACCTCGTGCAGTACAAGTATCGAGACTGTTGACTTTCGCAAGGAGTGGACAGTCCGCGAAGGAAGTATCCTTGAATCCTAAAACTTCCTGTTCCCCTTAACTAAACGAATAATTATGTCGGTACAGTCGTGAATTACCTACTCGCACGTGTGTATCAATGCTGAATGCAGAGACGTAAAAATAGCACGGGGTTTATCAGCGTTAAATAAAATGTCAAGAACGCTCTTCCATTTCTCTCGATGAAAACTTCCTGCGGATAGACACGATTAAGTCGATAAATATAAAAATCGCGTGCCAATAATTTAACATAAATTAACGTCTGGTCAAACACCTATACTATACATATATAGTCTCTCGGTCTCTAAGGTTGCGATCACTCGTGAGGTCTGGATAAAAATCAAAGGCTAATAATTTATTAGGCCATTCGACAGGAAGAGCATTGATTATTTTCATTGACTGTATTTTTTTGGTCCATTTGTCAATAAATCAATTTGCAGCTCGTCTCACCGTCAGTGAGCTTGTCTCCCTAGAGTCTTATGCTAATCACGATTTGTATACGTTCGTCAGTGCTGGGTATTTAACAGCCGCGCTCTGTCTATGGTATAAAAATGTAACGTTACGTCGAGACCGGTATAAGGCATTGGTATCTTCATACTATAGTGTTTTGAGGATCCGACTGGTCGACTCGTGTGATTCCCAAAGGAAACTTCTCTGGAATTAATAGCGACATTCCTGGAAAGGTTAAAGATTGAGATTTATGATTTTTCAAAATCTTCTCTACTTCGAGAGAGTCGTTGTCAGAATTGATGGGAGACGGAGAATTTCTAAAATTTCCACTCGAGTGTCAAAAGCGTGGTCGTATTTTTAATGACGAAAAAAAAAGTAAGATAAAAAGAAAACAAAAGCACTAGAAATAGCTTGAACGATTTTACTTTCAAATATTTTTCATTTACAAGCGTCCATGCTGCTTCTGTGCTATTTTTCTTTCTGCGTGCATCCATACACAGTAGTGGCGAAGTGGAATAATTTGGATTTCAGTCACTTTTCGACATTCAAAAAAGCAGCGAGCATTTTTCAACAATGCGTGAGACGTTGATTTACACTTTTTTTTATTTTCTATGATTTTTGTGACGTACCGGATAGTAACAGTGACAGGGATGTTCTCTAGCGCTGCGTCCGTTAAAATAAAATTTCGGTGAACAGTAATTCTCTCTGCTACCTCGTGACGAAACAGTGTCTATACCGTCTCCAACTTGTGACTTCTAAGTGCAACGTGAAATCCTGTCATTAGAAACTTTGTCAATTGGATGTCGTTATACGATGATAAGCGAAAATACGTGCTAGACGTGGATAACCATATGACGACAGAAACATAATTCACTGCTGTGATTTTGCATGCGTGTGACGTAACAAAAAATTTCTATCCTTTCCTTTTTTTTATTTACTTTGCAGATTTTACTCTTGATTATTGCGAAGAAAGTACTCATTGTCGTTATACAGATAGTTCGTTATTTTACTTGTTATTACGTTTAACGTCGCTGACAGTGGAAAGAAGGCGACTTATTGTCGGTACAGAAAATATTTACATGTAAACATATTCAAGCCAAAAAATGATGACTACTCGACATTAAATTTGCTTTACAAAAAGGCGTTATCTTCGCACTATTGATATTCAAAAAATGTCATAAAGAATCCTCGTACTCTTTGCGTCTGTCTATCTGTCATTTTTACGTGGTTTTCTTTTTATGTCCCCTGTATAAACTTTTTGATACTGTAACATCCTTCCTTAAGTAACTTGTCTGGTACCACGATAACGATACCGGCAAACGTCGCTTATCGTGTGTGTTAAGTTTTGCATGGTAAGAAAGAAAAAAAAGTACGACAAAGTAACACTCAATTAGACTCATTGAAATGAACGCGTAAATAGCAAAGTTGTTCTTTGACATTTCTGAATAACTTTTTACTTTACTAAAGTGTATCTTGTCCGTCGGTAACTTACCGACGCGCTGCGCGCATCGATACCGGTAACTTATACTGTAACGAAAACTCGAAAATTTTATCCCGACTTTCATAATTCCTTTCAGTACGCATCGTTACAATCTCGCGTGATATATATCATTTTCAGCAAATGAGAACATACGCGACATTCGCACACGTGTCTGCTAACATCTTCAGACGGCTGTGACAAGCCGGTATGTAATCCTTATGCGTCAACGAGGTTTATTATCAGTCGAATGCCAAGTAAACAGAATGATAGCTAAACCATGTGCTTTAGCGAGTAGCAGGAACGTTACTACCATATTTTTGTATTTAAAAAAAATATTTATATATTTATCGAAATTATAAAATTATACTCATATGAGTAATGAACAATTTCGTACGTGGTACAGTATCTATGAAATAACTCTGTAAACGTCCTAGTGCTACCATCGGTAAACAATCTGGTGCGTCACGTGATCGATGCGCGGGAATATTTAAAAAGGGTGAAAATGTAACGGACGTCACATTTGCGCCGAAGCCGGTAGTGCTGAGAGTCATATGGTTTTGCGTACTACTGTGACCTTCAAAGTCGCGTAATTCCTGTGTAACAAAATAAACGGGAACTGTATGTATATCGGATCAGTGTTGGTGTGTGAGTGAGTGAGAAAGAACATAGATTGAGAGCGATGGGTATAAAAAATTGAAGAGAACGAAAGAGAAAGATGCATAAATAAATATTAGCTTGTGTATGGATAAGTAAACGCGAAGTAGTGGTTGAACGTGTTAAAACGAATGTTAGGTAAAAATAGAATGGCGTTTCGAGGAATGTGTCTGTGCATGCGTAACGATGGTTAAGTAAATATTTGCCAGTTGAATTCGTCCTTTTAGTCGTATACGTATGTATTATAGTGGAAGGATTGGTGAGGATGAAAGTGACTGTGAAACTGAGAAATCTCGTCAGGGCCGGCGTGCACGATATATAAGAAGGTGGGTTTTGTCTGATACAGGGAGAATAAATAAATAAATAAATTTTTCAGACACGTGCGATCCCCACTTTATTTACGAGCGCATTTGTGAAATATTAAACAAATTAATATGATAACAGAAAGAAAGTTGCGCCATTTTTACATTGCACTTTCTTATAAAAAAAAAATCCGTAAACATGAAACTTCGAAGAAATTCAAAAACAACAACATGGTCTCAACGTTTTAATTTGAATAAGTCTGTGTCGATTGGGCATTCTCCTCCATTCTGTTCCGCTCGAGTGGAAAGCCAACGACGCCGGGCGTCCTTGCTTCTACGTCATAGCGCCGCCATACGAAATATATTCGAGACACCCGTTGCATGCACTCTCCCGGCAATCGATAAATACTACAGGAGCGAGCAGTCTAGTATTCTTTTATAGTCCTTTGGTTTATATCTACTTATATCGTATCTACGTAACCTCTAAGATCCATTTTAATGCGTACTCCCAGTATAACGAATTGCTGAAAAAGCGAAAGCATTGCATCGATTTTGTTATAAATAACCCAGTGACTTTATTATAGTTTGCTATTTTTCACGTCGTTTTATAAATAAACTAACATGAGTGTCAGGGAACATTCAAATTACTCATGTCCTCCTCTCTTTCGCAGTTTCGTTGACGCGACCGAGTCTTGACGAAAGGGTCTCGAAAAGTTAGTGCCTAAAAGTAAGTCCCAGAGGACGCCTACGAGGCCACAGAAATGATTAAAAAAAGATACGTTTCGTGTACCGCGTCGTAGTGGCGAGTTTGGAATTTCGCACGCACATCATTTAACGTGACGTTGGCGACGGGAACGCGTGGAACTTTCCAGAAGCCTACAGAGTTCGCTAGAGAAAGAGAGAACGCGCGGTCGAACGTAAAAAAGAATAAGGACAGTGCGAGCGTCTGACAAGGACGGAGAAGGAGTGAGCGAGTGAAGCGAAATGTTTTAATCGGCCTGAACACAGGATACCGGCATAACCGGCAGTGATCCGCGTGTCGAATAAGAGAGAGAGACATATGTATAAATACAGAGTGAGAGTAAGATAAAGAGAGAAAAAAAGTATTAAACAAAAACAGTGTCCGTATACTATCAGTGGGTTACTGTGCTTACCTTGGATTTTGAAAATGGCATCAGGCACAGTGGCCATGGCTGCATCATTTGTCTCCTCTGCGAAGACATCTTTTCTGCCTTTCGTACTATGTATTTTTGCCTCCAATGATTCTTATAATTTCCTGACTGTCAACTCCTTGGCTTTCAGGCTTCCCGTCTTGCCGCGTCCTGTTGCCTCCTTCACGTCGCTGCACCAGTGCAGTGTTTTGATCTGCTGTCGACGTTTCACACACGTGGCTTTGTTATGACGGGAGCTCAGTTCGGGGTGACTATTGTGATAAACGCGCGAATTTTAAACACGACAATTCTACCCCTTACTTCGTACGTTCTTTATACGCAGCCTACGGTTGCACTATGTAATCGGTTCACTGCGATTTACTTGTGTCTGCTCTCGCACCCAGTTGGGGTACGGTTTTCACACAACCCGTTTCACACTGGGCCTAAGCAAAACTTCGAGTCTATTACTGGCTTTTCTTATCGATCTTTATATACACCTTCGTATATAAATTTCTTTTTTTTTTCTATCTTCTTTTATTATCCTCCTTTTATTCTGATGTACCTTATGCCGTCTTGATTTAATTACGCGTCTCTGTGTCCTTGTACTTTGTGACGCGTTCTCCCTTTTCTTTCTTTTATTGTCTCTGTGCTTTTAGTGGGACTGACGTTATGGTCACGCGCTTTTAACCGTTAATTCTTTTCCGTCAACGTGTCGCAGTCTCAGTACATAAAAATGAAATGCTTTGTGTTTGGGACTTTGCTAATCAGATCGCGGGGTTTGTCTTTTATATATACGCCGCTGCGGACTCAGGCACCGCCTCCAACTGACGACGCGATGTGGTGGGGCGCCGGTGAGTTGCGCGAATTTATCGTAGATTGGAAATATACGAGAATCTGTCAGACTGACGTTGAACCACAGGCGGATTCTTATTTCATCGTGATGGTCAACTATGTTCTAATTTCATTTGCATTTTTAATGGTCGCAGTATCACACGTTTAACTAAATCCTTATTTCACTTTGTTTTTCTCATTTTCTTTTACTTTATGGAATCTCGAAAAATTCAATGGTGCTCCTTCATAATTTTGTTTGGCTTTTACTCATTCACGAATTCTTCTAAAGTATTTATATCCTTCAGAAACGTCTTTGCGGCTGTCAGCATTCCTAAACAATACATTGGCAGGCACTTACAGACTTGCTGGAAGATTCTAGACTCACGATCTCCTTTGCTCAAACGTTTTACTTTCGTCGTGACTAATCCCGACCTTTTTCTTCCGCCAAATTGATCGTATACCGTTCCACGGATCTTCTGGTACTTTCGAACTATTATACCTTGTCTATGTGACCCTGAAAATTGTATCCCACCAACTTTCTTGGATTATTGATCCTCTTCATACGGATGACCTTCAACTTGATCATTCAGGTGTGAGCTATTTCAAGAGTGCCCTACCCCATATGTAGTTCCAAATAAATTATCCTGTTATATAAGTGTGATGATAATTTAAAAAAAAAAAGGATAACAACATTTTATTTCGTTCGGTGACGTTCTGTAAGAATTCTCCGATGTTACATCTTTCCACCCTTTTATCTCATTAAATCTTTTTCTCTATCTCCATTACTGCATTTCGCAACCCCATCTGGAGTTAAGAACATGGTAAAAAAATAGCTCAGGAAAAAGTGTCGTTGTGCAACAAAGTCACTCTGTCCATTTAGAGCTGCCAAAGACTCTGAACGTAACTCGATCCTCTGTCCAGGTATATGACCATTAAAAATTTGCGAAGCTACGATCAGTTCTCATCGCAGCGAAATTTTTGGTTAGTCGATAGAAATCGGCCTGCGATCTTTCAGTTAAATTTTTTGCATCAATGCAATTTAGTGCACAAAACCCTTCCAGTAATAAATTCTCATAGCCACTCGTCACCCTTTTCAACGTTAATAAGAATCTACACAAATTCCAAATTTGTTATCGGTCAAATATTTCTAAATTTGAACAAATACACTTTTGAAATTGCGTAATGAACAGTCATATACAATTTCATGAAACTGCCTACGTTTACGACTATCTTGGAATTGAATTTCACGAAAATTTTTCAATATCTATTTACAATAGCAACAGGAAGCAATTTCCCACTGTTGTCATACCGAATCATGACTGAGTCAAATTTCCTGTGTTCTTAACAATATAAATGAAAATCATATAGACATAGGATTCCTTTATTCCAAATATATTTACAGTACCGTTTAATTACAACACAACACTATTAACCACGCAAATTAGAATTCCTTATAATACATATACACTTAGGATCAAAAGTATCCTTGGTCGAGTCACAAAAGGATTCTATCGAATTTATGTATGCTGCCTAACAGACCTATTGTATAATACGTATATATGTACATAATAAGACACTTTAAAAGCTCACAAACTTCGTTCACAGCCTTTTGAATGTCAACATTTTCAATCACGCGTCAGTGCCGTTTTAAGTACCATCACAATTTATACCAATCATTATATTCGTCTAGTCTGTCCAGTACGCAAATTCCTTTGTATTCTGTATGGGGAGTGAAGACAAGTAGGTTGCGTTAGATCAGGTTGTCATGACTCTGACCTCGAATCTTCCATGACCACGTTCAATAAGAAGAGTAGCGTTAAGTTTCCCATGGTGGCGCTAAGGTCTTTGGTACGTACGAATTTTTTCTTTTTAAATTTCCCGCCACATACATCCTACCATTGAACGTGTACATACAATACGAAAGTGATCGAAAACTCGTCGGAGACGATAGATGCTTGAATTCTTTGGATATAATACTTCGATACGCCCCCTTGTTTCTTGCTGTTATGTAATAGTTCAATTAAAGAGGTTAATCAAGGGTTACGGGATGTGATTCGCCGAAATATTCCTGCCGACAATGTACGCCTTGAATGGAACCAATGTTAATGTTTTTTTTTTCGTAGCAAAATATTTTTCTCTTTTATACAAACTTCGTAGCTGAGCGATTATACTTTTCTGGCATATCAAATAACAGGCTGGTAACTTTCCAAAGCGAAATTTCAATCCTTTCTCGTTGATTAACAGAAATAGCGTAAATATCTGTTTGATAGTCTGTATTGATATTGGGGTAAAGTGAAGAATTATCTCTTGTCGTTGCGACTGGGATCGATAATTACATTAACTGATAAGATGGCGATAGTTGATATCAGTTTAATAATGACATAATGATATATGATATAATTTTTTACATAATAATATTGTTATATACAATATAAATATACTAAGTACTAGGGATATTTGGTTTTATTATGTTGTGTGCCAATACCCAGAATGCTCCACGTTCTTCGATAGCCGGCTGTACGACTAACCCTATGTAAATGTGGGCGAGTTATAGGTTAGGACCTTTTCTTTACCTGGCTTATTTTTAGGCCTACTCGTCAACTTACCATTCCAAAGGTTCGTACGCGATAATCTATTTCAGAAAGTATCTCCGTCAATCATTCTCTGAATACATTTGAATCTATCTCGAAGGTAATCCTCGTTCAACTTTAAATGTTAGTGACGCGATTGCATTTGTTTGTTATTTAATTAAATAACCCACGCTACGAAGTAAAGCAAATTACGCACAGTAACACTGTGAATAAACGTGAAAATGGCTGCTCGGTGTTTGCGAGTTTAAGGATCACGAGAAAGCAGAATCGACAAATCGTCAAACGCAAATAGTGTCCTGTGAGTCGACTGTAGTTACCAGGGAATAACCGTTCCTCTGACGTATTTTCAGGCGGTCAGGTTAGGCTTGGATATCTTAGAATTCTCAATACTAATTCATAACACAGTGACAATTAATTTCAGAGCTTGCAAAATACCGGGCCAACGATTTCTAATTGACTTTGTATATTTTATTATTTATTTAAGTAAAAGTTATTAACATTTTTATACGATTTCTATACTCTGTCGTGACTCGTATGGTCTTTTTTTATTCCTACTTACGAATAATAAGGCTGATTATTGATTTTTATGGTCTGCATCGTAGTTTAGTGTATCGCGTCCTTTATTGGATCATGTACGACAGAAACAATGTAGTTAAATGATCGCGCTTGTTATCATCGTATAGCTTAAGCGCCTTTCTTCGTATACAACTTACAATAAGTAATACTTGATCAAAGGGCGCATTGATGCAGATTGCTTGAGTGGGGTTAATCTGATCAGGGAAAAGTTCTAGAAGTGTCACGTTAGATTTTTATTTTATTATCGCACTCGGTAGAAGAATCGTCTAATTGTAAGATTTGTTATCGTACGTCATGAGAAAGCAGCGTTATCGTTCACGCTCGCGAATTTTGATTAATATATTACGAACGTGACAAACAATTCGCAGGACAAATAATCAGATACATAGATACAGTCTGATAAATTTGCAATTGAATGACGTCCCAATTTTGAGAAAATTTGTTTACATATACATTATATACTGTTACTTTTTTTTTGTATCTGCGTATCTAACAGGTACTCAGTCGCTTGACTTATGACAACTGTATCAATAATTCGAAGCAAAAAAAAATACTAAACTTCCACTGTGCGAAATGGCTAGCTAAACAAATACAGCATGTTCTCTCGAATAAGATGTATATATATATATATATATATATATTTCTACGGTATATACAAACAACCCTATCTTCATAAGTCATGCGATCATCTATTAGGTGGAAAAATAATTGCGGTTACCGTTATAAGCTCTCTTAATAAAATTTGCTACAGCATGTTCTCTCGAATAAGATGTAAAATTTGTTTACATATACATTATATACTGTTACTTTTTTTTTGTATCTGCGTATCTAACAGGTACTCAGTCGCTTGACTTATGACAACTGTATCAATAATTCGAAGCAAAAAAAAATACTAAACTTCCACTGTGCGAAATGGCTAGCTAAACAAATACAGCATGTTCTCTCGAATAAGATGTATATATATATATATATATATATATTTCTACGGTATATACAAACAACCCTATCTTCATAAGTCATGCGATCATCTATTAGGTGGAAAAATAATTGCGGTTACCGTTATAAGCTCTCTTAATAAAATTTGCAATTATTTTCGCACCAACCTAATATCTCTCAGATAGCAAAATAATATTGTTGGGACTTTTTAGGACCGGCCATATAAGTTAACGAACGTCCATTAGCCACATTTAATCGCGATAAGATAACGCGCGAGTAATCCGTTAATAATAAAACTATCGATAAAAAAATTGGGATTAATTTATCATATAAATTATAATATCTTAAAACAATTGATAATATCTCGTGCTCCCACGTGATAAGAATAAATAAGTACACGCCACGTGACACCACGTCGTACAATTGAATTACCAAACACGTCATAAAGTACATACTCCATCTCCATTGCAAAAGGTACGAAGATTCTACACTTTCGTTATATTATTTGCACGCACCCGCAAGTCACCACGCAATCTAACGAGTAATCCTACAAAATAGCAAAGATCGCTAAATAAATATTTCCCTCGATCCCTACTACTACCCAATTGCGATTTCGCCTTAAAGCTAATCAATAACAAAACTTTTAACGCCGTCGTTGATATCATTGAAACGCCTAGAAAAATCATTTCTTACAGAGTTCAAACAAGACACGACAATCACTACTGTCTTATACGCAATATATACACTTTGCTCATTATGAAAATCTAATATTGTCTATACATATGTATACGTGGGAAATGACTTTTTTTTTTCGATAACTATTATTCTCTATTATAACTGGCTGCATCTGCCGCGAACTAATTCTTGCCGATCGAGTCGATTTTTCGCAGCTTCTCATAACTTTACGGTACGGATGC